ACGAGCGGGCGCAGCCAGTCTGGGGCATCGGCTAAGAGGTTGGAGGCGATACGCACGACCGCGATGAGCGCTGAATGCTGTTGTGCTGTCCAAAACACAGTTTGCTCCAACACAGCGTCCAGACAAACCAAGGCGCACCACAGGGAAAAAGTTTTGGAAGATCCCGCGCAGCCCAAGATGCTAAGCGAGCTGCGTCCTTGTGCCCGGGCGGCCAGGATGGCCGAGATGTGCCCACACAGGAGGCCATCCGGACTGTTGAGTAACTCGTCAATGTGGCGGCAAAATGTCTGTCCCATCAGGGCGGCCAAGGTGTGCAACTCGGCTGGAATCAGTGTCGCAGGCAAGCGCCAGTTTTTGCAGAAAGGCTCCCGAGGATTGTGGCGTTTAGCCACTGGATGAAGAGCAAGGATGCGCTTCTTGAGCGCTACAAAATCGGCCGGCTTGAAGTTTGGGGCACTATTCAACAGGCCCGCGGCCTGAATCGAAAGAGAGGGCTGTGCTTGCAGACCCAGTGGGATGTCCGCAAGCGGAAAGAGCAGACGAAAAGTGCCCTGATACGCTTCCGGAAACGTAAACATTCGCGGATCGAACTTGCCGCGTCTGGCTGGAAGGAGTCCACTCTTGAAACACGCCATCAGCCGGTTAGCAATGGCAATTTGGGGCTGGCCCACCGAGGGTAGCCGGCACCTCGCATCTGACTTGCACCTCAATGTGTTGACCGTCACAAGTCGGAGTAACGTTGGCGAGCTGCAAAAGTGGAGCCGCAGGCATCTGCTAATGCCCGTGTGAGATAAAGCAGCAGCTGCACTGGCAATAACACACCACAGTGAAGCAGAGAGGTTCCTTGGATTGAGTCAACGCTCGTGCCGCCATCCCCAATAGTGCGCCGATGGCTGGATCCGGTGCCACGTCGGCTGCCTGCCGGCAGATGCTCTTGCTTGGAAGCCAAGGACATTTGCACCAAACTGCCGTTCCGAACTGGGAACTTCCGAAGGCACAGGGAAGCAACCCTTTGAGCCCAGCAAGCTTATCCAAGAGCAGCCACCACCAAATCTCCGGCCAAGCGAGCTTAACCAGGACAGGTTGAAAAATCGTCCTTTAGGTAGGCGCAGAACTGGGTTGCAAAACTGTTAGTGCGACGGACACTGCCAGCATGGGTGTCAGACAGACGCGAAATGCTTTGCCATTGGTACAGCGCCGCAACATAAGTGCCCAGTCAGCGAAATCAACCACCTTTACCCCAAAATTCTGCGGGCTGACTTTAACTTTACACGCAGGCAGAGACAGGGGAAGGGAAGCAAGGTAAGGGGTTGGGGGGTAAATGTTGCAGCGCACTAGCGCAGTCCACTTCCTCAACGGCCCAAGTTCTGATCCATTGCCTGGTGGCACAAGAAGCCAATCAGGGAACCATGCCTAACGGCAGCCGGCCTTGGTATCGGTTAGAACACCCGAGGGGCCAGAAGAAGTGGCGTGCTGCAGCCGAGACTTTTAAGAAACAGGGTGGAATTGGCCCAGGCCTCCGGGCCGCTGTTGCCTGCCCCGGGCTTGGTAGCGCCGGAGAGTATTATGCTGCTTCTCAAAGTTGTTCTCGTCTTCTGCCGGTACACACCGGCTAGCAATGGCTGTAACTCCAGGCACCAAGCGACTAGACGGAGTTTCCACAGCATTCAACAGGGCCGCCACACGTTGGCTCCACGTAGCTCTAGGGGCGGCAGGAAGGGAGGCAGCGCAACTTTGACTGCGCAACTCCGCGGTCAACGCAGGATCCTTCTTTGCAGGGGCGCGCCTGCCTCCGGGTTTTGGAGTCCAAACCAAACCAAGCTAGCCCGTGGGCCTGGTAAGCTTCTTCCAGAGGACGTGGGTGTAATGGAGGCATGAAGCTCTAAAGCGGCAACAATGCCCCACCAATGGGAAGGGGAAGCAATGATCAATGGGCCAGTGGGCCGCGTACTGCCTGCCGTGAGACGTTGGTGGGCGTTCTCTCCAGACATGGTAAAGCGCCCAGCCTTGTTAATAAGGCAGATGTCAACCGCACCCGTGGTTCCAGCACACACTGTAGTGGTGAAGAGGTCAACAAAGGCGCCCAATTCATTGTGATGGTTATAAAAGAGGGTGAAGAGGGATGCGGCCTGCTCCACAATGGCTAGCTGTCCCGGGGAAGGGGCTCCGGCAACCATTTTGCAATGAACTTAGCAAAGAAGGTGCCCTTTGCAGCAACCCTGTGTAAAACCCTGGTGGTTGGCGTACATTGTAAGCCAAGACAGACCAACAATCTAAGCAATTTTGGTGTTACTTAAGTGGTCTCTTACTTTTCTTCCAGTCTGGAACAAACACACGGACTTAGGCTCCAGAATAAATAAAATTCACAACTTACAACAATGGAAATTGGTTTTACAAACATGGGTGGCCAAAGCCCTGTTAATGGTCCTGCTTCTTGGAAAGTCTGGATTGCGCATTGGCCCAACATGGACATCAGCTCTGGAGCCCGAAAACGTGGGTTGCGCAATCCGCATAAGCTGTTACCTTCGTAATTTGGTTGCACAAGCTGAAAATTAGCGTTGCTGCCCGTGGGCATGTATGCTTTCATGGCATGGGCAAACCTTAAAGACAGCAGTTGCTGCAAGAGTCCGGGCCAAGAACTTCGGGTTAAACCCAAGTTCAAACACCTGGAACCAAAGTTGAACTTTGGTTTAAACACAGTGTTCAAACTCCAAGTTTGAACACTGGTGTTTGAACCCAGAGTTTAAACACTGGTATTCAAACCCCAAGTTTAAACAGTATCTGTGGGCCACTGCTCCGCAGGGAACGAGCACACCGTGAACTCTTCAGAAGAAGGCCACTGTTGCGCATGTTATTCTCTTGGGATAGTCGTCGCAGCAGGATGGCGGCGGAAATGCACAGGATTGTGCGGGAGGATTGTGTACCAAACAACAAGCCCACAAGACAGAGGATAACTTATTCACAAAGCAGCATGGTGAAACAATTTTCAATCATCCTCAGACCACAAGAGGACTCACAACAGAAGATGACTCTCTTCCACAGAGCTTTTAGTGGATGTGGGGGGCATTGCCTTTTAGTCCATCTTGATTTTGCCCCGGCATGTCTTTTTTTCTTCCATCTTTTCTTCAGCCCCGCAACAAGGTCTGGAAAAAGAATTGATCTTTTTTCAACCTCCACTCCACGATTTAAGCCGTCTTTTTCTCGGCCCTAAGATATCTTGTAACTGACCCCGTGTCTTTTTTTTTAACCCCGGTAAATCTTTTTCTGGGCATCTAATGTTTTTTTCTGACCTCTACAAAGATGGAAGCACGCACACATAACATATTCAGCAACACAACAAAGAGCGCCACAATACAAATTTTGCAACGCAAGCTGCACAAAACTTCCTTAACCATACAACTTCTTACACACAAAAAAAAAAGAAAAGCACAAAATCGCTTTTGAAGGCTGAAAGCAAACGAAAGAAATTAAAGTGTGTTATCGAAGAAACATTCAAAAAAACAATCCAACATTGTATTACGGAACCAACATAAAGAGCAAAAAAATCAAAGACAATGAAGATGCAACCCAAACGCAACAAGTGAAAAAGATTCTTGCAGCAGAATGCGGAACTGCTTAACGCAACTTTCAGCTTATTGAAGACGAAGCGAACAACCGTGTTGTGCAAACCATTGGACTTGAGCACATGTGACAAACATTGCAGGTTCTCTTGCATTACCAGTTTTGCAATTCGAGCACCAGTTATTGCAATTCGAGCAACTGATTAACTTGATCCGAACCTCTTTTGCTTAAAACGTCTTGGCTCAAGTCTTAAAGGAAAGATCTGATAAGATGTAGTGGGGTGGAAGACTGTCACTAAGAAGGTTCGTTGGTCTCTAGAGCCCCTCTCTGTAAGGACGTAGGGGAAGGAAGGCCTTTAAGACTTCTGCAGCGCGTTCAAACTGCCTAAGGTGTCTCTCAAAAGTTTTCCTTGGTGTAAGCACTCCACAGAGGTTTTGGAAGGCTCAGGTTTCTGCGGAAGGTGTCTGTCAAAGGCTCTTGCAAGTTTCCCTTGGTGTAAGTAATCCGCTAAGGTTTTGGAAGGCTTTCGTACATTCTGAAGGTGCTTCTCAAGAGTTACCGTCAGATTTTGGCTCAAAGGCAAGGGTGGCTCGTTGTCCGAGTTTTTCGACTTGAGCGGACTTGGTCGACAGTAAGGGCTCCAGTCTTTGGAAAAACCAAACAAAGCAAAACAAAACGAAACGCGGCGCAGTTACTTGAAGTACAAAAGAAAACCACGGTCTGAGGACAGTTCGGAGCAGAAGGGAGCCGTCACTCCAGTCTGCCCGGTTGTCGTTGTTCGAGAGACTGAATGATGGTCACTAAAACCCTTCTCACCGCTTCGTGTTTGTTGTCGCATTATATCTCTTGATTTAGAAGACTGAATGCAGCAGTAGCTATCGACGAAGCCCGCCCACACCAAAAAATGTTGCATCCAGCCAGCAGAAAAAGATTTACGTTTTTTTGGGCCGACGCATGTGACTTTGTTTGCACTGCACCCATTCTAAAAGATATTTCGTGCATTGCACGCGTTTTTCAAGAGTAACAGAAGAAACAAGAGGACACGCCAACGCTCACAAATGTTTCTTTTTTGTTTTTCGTGCGCTGCTTTGTGGTGTTTTGTGCCTACGCCGGCACAGCGCGCGCTTCGTCGGAATATCTCGGCATCATGTACTGTGGGTACATGTTTGTTGCAACATCGTTGCATCAGTATTCTGCGTATTACCCCCTGCTGCACCGCCCCCTCCGTCAGTACGGTGCAGTCCGCCTGGACTCCGACATCATGGGGGAGCTCAAGGAGTCAAAAGCGTATCACCATCATGATTCGCATGATGGTCTGGGTCGTCACTGTCACTGTCGTCGTCAGCGTCGTCTTTCACACCAGCAGGATGCAAGAACTCTCTGCTGGTTGTCCCTACACACTGCCTTGCACTAGCAAGGCCCGGTTGTGCAACTTTTTATCACGCAAATGACATGTTGAGACTCTCCAGACGCGAAAAACAGGCATCAATGTCCGTGCAAACTAACGGGTCAACGCATCTTTGCCCCTGAGGGACCCATGTTAAAGCCCATTTCCGAGCATGTTGCTGCACAAACCTCAGTGGGTACCCAGCCCTTAGGACTAGGGAGGTTAAGACGTCCCAGAAGGCATCATGACGCCCAGATCTGTCCGAAGACTGGTAGAAAGCACGGCAAAGCAATCCCCTTACAGCGTTCTTCTTCTGTTGCGGCGGCATCCAAGAGCACCAAGGAACAAGTGGAAAAGAGTCCACCCTGTCATAGCAAAAAGCAGCAAACGGATCAGGGTAAGACGGTTTTACAAACATTTGGCCACCCCTCCATGAGCAAGCAAGGCCAACAAACACTTCTGGCTCGCTGCCTTCCAAGCGCATGGTGCCAGCCTGAAATCGTCTATCAAATTGCTGCCATGCCCAGTTGTACAAGAAACTGCGCGACAGAGGAGAACTCGACCTCCACGCAAAAAACATGCGCAAGTCATCCCTGTAGGAGACGTCAAGCAACAAACAATTGGTGGTTTTGAGGTGCAAAAGTTTGCGTCGCGTTTCAGGGAAAGCGATACAGTTGGGGAGAGCAGATGAGCCGTGCCTGAGGACAAACTCTCGGTACCATTTCCAGAGGCGAAGAAATGCCGAGCTCAAAGCGTCCCCTTGAGGCACCCCCTGCAACTCACGTCCCAGAGAACCTTCTACATGGATAAAGTTCGTCATCGAAAAATGCTGCACAACTGCTCCGATGGAATCAAATGAGCAGTAAATCCAGCCGGGATCTGTACACATGCCCAAGCACCCTTTGCCGTCAGCGCTCTTTCGAAGGATGCTTACACCCTGAACGTGCTGATCCCGCCACCACGCCGAGAGAGCCGTCCACATGAGCGCACCGTCTGGACAGGGCAGGTGCCGAAAACAGTCCTTCATGTCCCCTGCAACAGTGTATCCGGAGTCGTACCCCAGTTGTCTGGACTGTACATTAAAATCATGGACCATGTCAACAACATCCTGTATTGACATGAAATCCGACCAAAGATGATACGGGAATCGGTCCAACAAAACATCCAGAGCCCTGGAGATGACGGAATGCAGCAAACAACACGGTGTGGCGTGTTTCTGTATGATCAACCGCCAGCGAAGTCCAGGCGATTTCCATTTGGGAAGAACAGCCACAGTTCCGAGCTGCCATTGATGCTTGGGAACCTTTGTGAATTTGTTCGGCATCAGGAACTCATCCTTCAAACCGGGAACAACCGCCATCTGTACAATGGCATCCTGCAGCGCCTTGGTATCAGCTTGTTCCCACACAATGTTGGGTTCCGGCAGCGGGCCTGAAAGATCAAGCAGCTTACAGGCCTGCTCATATGCCAATTTTTGACACGTGATGGCCAGACAGGAAAGGTTGTGGTCAAAAACAGTCACAAACATGCCCCGAAGCCACGTCTTTGCAGCTTGGATATCTCCATGCGAGATGGGTGTGGCACCACCAATCCCAGAAGAGAAAAGCGACCATAGTTCCGCTGTACATTCAACGATAACCCTGTCAGTACAGGGGTCATCTTGAGGAATACGACAGCGCCTACGGAGACCTCGGAAGGCCTCGCGAACCGCCGAAGCAAGATCATCCCAAGTGGGAGGTAAGGCAAAACTAGCTGGCCACCGTGCAAGGTGTTGCAGACTCTCAGGCCATGGGACGGTGCCCTGTGAGGCGGCAACATGCGGTGTGCCATCAACCACTACAGTGGGCCATGAAGGATCAGCTTGCCGGAGCTCCGCACAGCGGCAGGCAGGACATGATTTTTCAGCTAGCCAGTCGTTCATGGAACGCGAATTCGAAAGGAGGTCCTTCACTTTCGGAGTGGAAGACCAAGTGACAAAGCATTTCGCATGACGCAAGATAGGGACCCAGCACCCCTTCGAACGCCATGAAGAAATGAGTCGGCGCAAGGTTCGCAGTACCACCTGCCGCGCACGCTCAGACCCAAGCCACGGTATGGAAAAACTGACGATTGAAATCGGAAAACAAAGATCACGCCGCCGAACAGCTATCTTACGCAGCATGTTCAGCCCCCGCCGTCGACGGAAACCTTGAACTGTACGATCAATGTGGTTGGCCACAAAGGCCCAAGCTCCCGGGCTGAGCGCCCATGCAGACTTAGCTGCTTGTTGCCATCCCGGAAAACGGTGCCCACAAAGAGCAGCAGCAGTGAGACGCAGGCCAGCCTTCCAGTCATCCCTCCTGGCATGCCCATTTGCCGTCAAAGGGTTTTGTGAAGAGCCCCTGCTACGGGAGCGTATGCGGCACAGAGGCCTAAAAGTTCCAAAAATCCGGTACACAAACCCAGCAAGGCCCTTTCGGCCCGTCATCCGAGCGATACTTTACACACGCGGAGGGTTCAATGTCCCGAGAGCGGCCGTCAAGGAAGCTTCAGCTTCCAGGCGGCTTCGTCTATCATGCGAAGCAGCGGAGACGGGAAGCAGCATGAAAAAACTCACAGCGGCAAGGAGATGCGAATCACTCACACAACCTCGCCGTACAAAGTGATAAAAAGGCTGCTGAGTCTGTCCATTCGGGTCCAAAAGTCGCAAGATGTGCTCTTCGAACCGCCGTTGGAACGACACGGTCTCACCGACGTACACAACGATGCCATGCTTGCATGCTTTCAGGGGCACAGGCAGACAAATATACAAACATGGCTCGGTCCACAGACGACTCCATCCCAAGTCCCATGGATCACAACCTATGTGCTGAAGCAACCGGGCATTCCGCCTCGATTCCCGAGACTGAAGCCACATTAAAAAGACGCTACCCGAAACTCGGAGAAGCACAATCTGCCCCTTCCAACGCCCAGGGGATGCCAGGGTGCGAAAGCGGACAAGAAGGATGACATCAAGCATCGCACGCAAAACTTTACAGACCTCCGGGTCCGGACGGAGTCACAAAGGCTTGTGCATAATCTCCGATGCACGCAGCCTCGCAACTAGGTCAGGAAATGACGAATCACTCTCCACGTTCAGGTCGTCACAAAGTTTTTTGAGAGCCTTACCTTCCTTGGAACGCGTATTCAAATTGGTACGCAGCTTCTCAAGCTTCCGGAGATAGATCTTGTATACCACGGTGAATAATTCGCCCATAGCCTCGAGCGGCGGCAAGGACTTCAAGGCCTTCTCCGCAGACATCTTTTTAGAGAACTTGTGGGCTTTGGTGTCCAGCTCCAGCGAGGTCCAGGACAGGTTGGCCGTATCAACATCAACACGGCCTTTGACCCATGTCGCGTAGTCCTCCTCACCAGCGAGTGGGAGACCGGGCTTGAGAGGAGAGCCCGCAGCCAGATCCTGCAAGGCCTGGAAACTCGAAGTCTGCTGGCGCGCGGTCCGCGGAGGGGAATTCACAGTAGCTGCATGTCCATCTTGCAAGTCAGCGGAAGCCCACTCCACGTCCCTGGAGGTTGGGGTGCTCTTAGGCTTCTCAGGGCATTGGTCAACATGCTTCAAGACAGCTTTCCATCTGGAAGCATCAGTGGTGGCCACGGGGAGCCTATGATGATGGAACAGGTCCCAAAAGTGCTTCTCAGTTTGACGACTCATAGGTACACATTTGAAGCCATCCTCCTGATAGAATGGCGCCGACGCTGGAGATGCAAGGGGAGCCAGTCGCTCCCTGCGGAGGTCGTTCAGCCTCCTGCACATGGACATACGATCCTCTTGGTTGGTGATGCTTTGCGTGTCGACGACCAAACCCGGTGGAGCCTCAAGGGTCACTGCTCGGAATTCCTGCGGTAATTGATGGAAGACTTCCCGGAACAAGTTCACGCCTCCCCGTTGTAGAGCTTGCAGGACATCAGTACTAGTTGATCTGCGAGGGGAGCGAGAACGGTGTCGACGTCTGCGGTGAGCATCCGGAACACCTTCAGGCTGCCATGCGCCTGGAGGAGCTGATTGAAAGTGGTGTGCGGGCACACCCTTGCCGGCATACTCTGCAGAAAACGTGTCCGCAGAACCTTGCGAAGGAGCTTGTTCCCACGACAGAGCACCAAATGGAGAGCCCGAAACAAGACCTTGCGGAGTCATCGCATACTGGCCCTTTCCCTGTTGATGCTGCATCCATGCCGCACCGGTGATCGCCGGGTGTGGCCCCGGCTGAGACTGCCAAGAGGCAACTGATGGGTCTGCTGGTGGGGCCTGTGGAGTCAATGCACTACCGGATGTGCCCCATGAGCCAGGCACCCATTGCCCTGGGGGAGTTGGGGTTGGCTGAAAATGTGCGCTCATTGCACAATGAAGCCTCGCACAAATACAACCAACTGCAGAAGCTACTGCTAATATGAGCGGGGGATGGCTGCCAGCGACGCAAGCTGGAATTCAAGCCCGCTGTCTTAGCCCTAGCATGACCGACATATCGCTTCATGCCCGCAACTTGCGCAGGCCGTGCATCACAAAATGACTTATGAGCACCCCGTCTTTCTTCGCAGCACGACAGCGATAAAACTGATCTCTTTCGAATCGCAAAAAACTTCCTCGTACAGGTTTACTTCGTCCAAGGTCTCGGATTCATGAAAACAAAACCATATGTGGAGCAAAATCACACATGTGGCAAAACACTGGTTGTTGTGATCAGCAGATTGCAAAAACATGCCATGCAAGGCGCTTCTTGAGATCATGTTGACATGCCCGTCCCATAAACGGCTCAATCCGGCAAAACATGCAGACATGCACAAGCAAGAGCAAGCGACCTTGTTCAACATGTTGGTTGCTCAACTGTTGCGTGCTGCGTAAACAAACTGCACCATGTTGTTGTATCAAGAAAGCGGCTCGAAAACCATCTGCTGAAAAAAGTTCAGAACTTGACCGAGCACCACTCCTCTGTCGGTTGTCGGTGAGGAATTAGTCTCGGCGTGGTCCACATTCTACAAAGTCCCAGAAAGCATCTGATCTGAAGTACGCGCGGAAACGCGCCCCAAGCTCAAAAACTGCATGACAGCAGATATGTATCGGCAAGCTGTCCATGCTGCCAGGTATTTTTAATCAGCCTACGCCAGGAACTTGCAGCACGTAAGCACCACTCCTGGGGTCCTGCAAACAAGCAGGCACAGGCATCAAACACACTCGGCATCATGTACTGTGGGTACATGTTTGTTGCAACATCGTTGCATCAGTATTCTGCGTATTACCCCCTGCTGCACCGCCCCCTCCGTCAGTACGGTGCAGTCCGCCTGGACTCTGACATCATGGGGGAGCTCAAGGAGTCAAAAGCGTATCACCATCATGATTCGCATGATGGTCTGTGTCGTCACTGTCACTGCCGCCTTCAGCATCGTCAAGAACTGCACCTTGAGCTTGCAAAATCGCCCGTTTTGCGAGTTTCTTAGAGTGGGACGTGTCTTGCTTGTAGTTGTGGTTTTGTTTGCTTCAACCCTGTGGTGGTAGAGAAGTCTTGTGTGGCTTTAAGTGCAGAGAAGTGACTTTTTATAACGTTGACCGAGGAAGTCGCCAGCAAACCAGTCTCCACCAGAGGAATGTTACAGACAGGCATTGTTGCGAGAAAAACCAACTTCTTCTTTCTTCTCCTCAATGTTAAGGAGATTTTTCCTTGAGAAAGAGCAAGACTTGATTCGGACAGTGTGCCTTAGTCAGTAAAACTCAACCAGCCGGACCTGCTCCGCATTGGTTGTCCTTGTTCAGGCATTCAGACCGGCTGCAAAAGCGGGCGGGCTGAAACTGTGTGCAGCCTCGCGCTTGTTACTCTTCAGTTCATCATCCAAAAACAACTACCGACTTTACTGCCGCTTCCAAGAGGTATTTCGAGGAGCAATGGAAAGAGCTCACAAATGGTGCCTTTGTGCGCTCAATGAGAAACATATAAACCACCCCTATGGTCTTAGTTGACGGCGTTGGACCAGTCAGGTAACTGAGTCTCGCATTACGGAGTTGGATTTGGCTGCCAGACATGTTGCTTTGCCCTTCTGGGGCTTCTTGCTAAGTTCGTGCGATCCAGTTGTGCCTCGCTCGTCGCTGAGTTTCACGTTTTTGCTTGCCCGCCTGCTTTTAGCTCGGAAACGCTGTTGCAAGCCCCAACTTCAGCTTCTGTCTCTGCCATTTGGCCTTCGCCGACTTCTCGGCCCAGTAAAATGATCCTGCTGTGCGTGCTAGAGCGGTTCAAGCCTTCCGAGAACGGCGAGGTTACAACAATGGTGCCAGCCGCTGTTGATTTGCTCGCATGCTTTCCCCCAAGAGTTGGCGAGTTCAAAGCGACAAAACGCCTTCTCCCCCGCGTACCGGTGCGTTCAAGTTGCCCATGTATTTGGATTTGTGCGAATGCGCACTAGAGAAAAAAACGCCAGTGCAAATGCACTGCGCCATACTGCGCCACAGCGGAAGCCACGTCACAGGGATCGGTTTTTGCGTTAATTTGATAGGCTAACTGTTATTTGTAATTTTATGGTTTGCGCCGCCCTGTTAGGGGAATTATTCTTGACGACAGCAGCAATTCAAAAAAAAGATAATGTGCCTCGACGGTTTTACTAGGAGTTTGCGATTCAAACAAACTTCACATGAATCCACTCGGATCTGCTGCAGTTGCTGCAAGGTGCGTGCTGCGCCAGGATGCAGGCCTGTCTGTCACGGTGTTGTGCAGGCAAAACGAGAACTTGTCCAGACAGTGTTTGCATCATTTGGGACAAATGGCGATCCTCAAGTGCTAATGTGCTTTGTGCATGCGCCGTCTGCTGTTTCTACAAGTTTTCATGTTGGTTTTTCCGGGTCCGGGCGAGAGGGTGTCACCAAGACGAGAGAGAAACTTTGGAAACGTGCCGCAGAAGCACTATTGGGCATTTAGCCAGCGTCGGGGTTGTACACTAGAAATTCAACAAGATCGCTTCTGCGCCATGTCTGCCCCACGCTGGTATTTGAGGCTGCGACGTCGTCCGCTGTTCTGTTGTCTTGTCAGCAGATATGTTTGGCAATCCAGATGCAGGTCTTCGGACGAGGTGCCTGAGAGCGGCGCCTTTCCATTTGCCAAGGTCCCCGAACGTGTGATGAGCAGCAACGTGGTGTCGAGCATTGGCTAAGGATTGGCGAAACCCAAACACATCTTGGACAGGCTGAAACGAGTTTGATTATGTCTCGTGATCAGTAGCCTAGAGTGTGATTGGAATCACATGTCAGGTGGTGACAAAGCGGCTTTTCTGATTTGCTATGCCCTGTAACCCCCTCAGCTTTGCAGATCCTTGCCAAACATCCAATGTCCTGTCTCCGTGATGCCGAGGTTTTGGGTGTTAGTGTGCATCATCGTGCACTTCTGGTCCTGCACTTGCTGGATGTTTACCGAGAGCGCAGGTCTCCAAAAATCTTCGATGTTTTCAAACTAATTGTCGACCGATTCCCAGGTCCAAGATCGTGATTGCTTGTCGGCGTCTGAAGAGCAACATTGGCTTTGGTGCAAGAGCAGCCTGCTCAATAAGTTGCTGGGACTGCCTTTCAACGCTTGCTCGATGTCACAAGTGGTACTTTCAGGCACTCCGCATGCGTGACCAGCAGAGGGCGCCGCTGGTGGAGGTGTCACTGATCTTGCCATATGCTGATGACAAGTTTCGTAGAAAAAAGCTGTCATCTTCACGCGGCAGGATGTTTCCGAACTTTGCAGTCAGTCTGATCACCTTGCGATTGGGTCTGGCTCTTGTCCAGCAAGATAAGTTGCTCAGTTTGCTGCGACATCATTCCAGGCCAACGCCGCCTTATCCTGCAGACAGGACCAGAGAAGCTTGCTACTGACTGCGTGTGTTTCGGCGACCTCCAAATTTGCAGTGCTGATTCAGTGTCGAGACTTCAAACGCATGACATGACTTCGACGCAGCCGTGTCTCTCGTAGAAGAGGGATTCTGCAGTGCGGCCATGTTTGACTTCGATGAGCTTTCTGGAAGCTTGGACGCGAGCTAGTGACATTGTCATTGTAGTATGCCTCCGTAAACGGTTGTAGGTTCCTTCTCCAGGAGAAGAGGAGGCCGAGGAGGCCAAGGCCGCAAAGCAAGACGTGACCACATCCTCGCCCACAGTCACATTGGCCTCCCCCAGTCTGCAGGGGACAAAGCTCCAAAGCGAAGCTGGACAGGAATTGACAGAGGTCCTGGTACGCCACGCTATACACGGCTGGGAGCTCTCCGTCTCTCTTCCTCGAGACGCATCGTTCGCGCACTTGAAGCGCGCTCTAGCGAAGCGCTTTCTGAAGGACCGCCCTTGAGGGAACAAGCCGATGAAGATGCCCCCTGTGACAGCCAGGAAGCGGAAGCATCTTTCTCAGGCCAGCTGGTTAAGAAGGAAGGCCGGCTTCGCTGTGTCGGAATGTGTCGGAACGTGTTGGAATGTTTCGAAGTCGGAGGTGGCAGCTACTGCTCCTACAAAGACAGCATGGCACTGGGAGACCTCCGGGAAGTGCTGCTCGCTGGATTCGAGCCAAAGGAAGCACCGAATCCGGGAGAGAAGTTCCTCTTCGAGGTCCATGCTAGAGTTCTAGAGTTCTGAAGCACTCTGACATGGCTCATTTAGCCAATGACAGCCACGATTTGTTGCGTTCAGGAGATTGATACCGTTCGAGATGCCAAACCGGATCGCTCGCTGGAGTCTTTCATTGCATTGCAGAAGGCCTTGCGATCAGGGTTCGCCGAAGCCAAGTTCCAGGACGCGATGATAACGCAGTGTCGAGAGCAAACAGCAGGTAAATCAATTCAAACCCAAAATGATGCGTACAAGCTGTTTACAGCGATTGTATGGAATTCAAGGGGTCTGCCTCAGGAGCAACTCTCCAAGTTGAAGGAGCAATGCGAGAAGGGCGAGCTCAAGAAGACAAAGTTCTTGGAGCAGAGGTGGGAAATCAGTTGCATTAAGTTCGTTGCCTTGCATTCGCGACTTGCTTCCCAAGGCAACAGCTCTTCCTCACCGTTCAGAGCGAAGTGTTGCCCAAGTTTGGATACGAAGGGACGTCGCTTGGGGTGTACAAAATGATGGGCGACATGAAGCCCTACGTCCAGGCCCTTTGCTGACTTGCCGAGATGTCTTGCCTCAGTGGTAATTTAAAGCCCAAGATTATCTCGGGGAGGAGCCCGACTTTGTCGTCCTGGCTGATGAGATTAATGCACTGCTTGGCATTGACTACTCGCCGCCGGACACGTGGACTGCGCTGTCAGACAGCTGCCAGAAACTTAACGACGAGAAGGAGGGAAAAGATGGCATCACACAGGGTTTGCTGCTTTGCTGCTCTACTCTCGGATGCTGTCGCATGCTCGGCAGGACGTTCGTCGATTTGCTCCAGAAGCAAGACCTCGACCGAAGCAAGACCAGCGCAGACACGAGTTCAGGCCAGACCTCGGATTGTGCTTCCACGAGTCACGAGTTTCGTTTGTGCCCCGAAGCTTAGGCCACCACTGGGCCTTCTTGGTCCCGTGGGTGTTCCCAGCCTGATGAGTGGAAAGCCTTTGCGGTTGCCGGATTCCATCCTTCAAGGTCCGCCCTAGATGCAACGATTCGCCGCCAACCACCGCGAGGAACCAGAAGGACATGTGAACGAGCTTTCCAACACGGGACGTCCAGAGAGCGGGTGCTTCATGGGCCCTGAACCGCCCCGCCGCTTGCTCGGTGCGCGGACCCGCCGGAGCGGAAGATCCAGCACGCACAGAAAACAGAGCATTGATCGCGCATTCTCCCTTGACGCTGAAGACTCTCAGATTCAGTTCTTTGAGCACCTCGCTCCATGATTGAAGCTCTTGGAGAAGTGCAGGAGAGTCATCGAGCTTTTCGAGGAGCAGGCAAAGGCAGGACGAGCGGATGAGTTTTCTTCCCTCGATGTATCTACCATGAGTAGGTCGACGACACCGCATATGATATGATATGATATATATATATATACATACATAATATGTATATATATATATAGATATGTATACATATATACATATATATATATATATATGTATATATACACATATATATATATATATGTATATATATATATATATATGCATATATATATATATATATGTGTATGTTTATATGTAAATATATATATATATATATATATATATGGGCGCACCCCTATTTGGGGTCCCCTACGTTTTTCGCTACATCATCTGACTGAGCTCTAACCACCAGACTAGGTTATAACCAGCCGATTAGGTTATAACCAGCCGACTAGGTTATAACCAGTCGACTAATTTATAATCAGGTATACATTATCGAATATAGTATTATGCTTGTATGGAGCAGCTCGATGGCAATGGTGTACGCCATCGACTACAGTATTATATCCGGTTTGAAGACTAACCCGGGAAGTTGCAACAACCCATGCTTTCAGAATGCTGAAGCCCGCACAACGCTAAGAATTCTATGACACCCTCGTCGAAACCCCGTTACAATGTGCTAAAATCCTTGCCTTGAAGCCGTCGATATATCTTCGTAGTTCATCTTTGTGTGACTGTATCTAAACCGCTGTATTTCAGTTTTTTCCAACAAGCGCGCTGTAGTCATTAGTCTGGCTCAGTCATTCCTTATCGCGAACTAGATTTTGGAACGAAAAGCTTTCCATCTTTGTACTGTAATGCCACAATCCCATCAAAGTCTCTGTTGTTGGACGCATTGCTATCACGTTTTGGCAAACTGATAGCTTTCAATGACATATCCCTGTGCCCCTATGTGATTGCTTTTCAACACTGGTATATCCGGTAGGTATATTTGAGTGGTGCATTCCTTAATTCTGTATGACGGCTGCCCCAAGCCAACATTGAAAACTTGCACACTACAAGCTTAGCAAACGTTGTACAGTGTTTTTCCTGGGGGACGACATGAAGCGTCGCTTCTTAGGCTTGGCACTGTTTCTATATGCTGAGTGATGACCGACTGAAAACCAGAAGGCTACATCTAGCTTGTCCGAATTTCTGTTTGTGTTCTTGTGAATATTGACTGAAGGTCGAATAGAAGCCATGGTTCCCAGTCCAGAACTTGATCCTCGTGTTAGAAAAAGTGGTAAACACACACCGAATCACTCCTCGAAACAGGTTCATCCATGTAGTTGGAAGTAGCATTGCTAGGAATTTTCTACGTACCGAGCGAGGAAATTTAACAGTTTGCAAGTTGCACATTTTGTTTCGCTCACCACACATATTCTTATCAGTTTTGTCTCATCGAAATCCTGCTTCCTTGGAACGGTCTTTGAACATAGCGTTGCAACCAGTTCGCCTATGTACGAAGTGATGAAACCTGACCACGCTGTAAACTTTGAAATACTGTCTCTCCCTACAATGACGTCATATCAGTCGTATCTCAACTTTCTGTGTACCGTGATTTTCCAATGTTGACAACACTTACTGACCTACTGTAGTCCCGATAGAGCCCCTTCATATTCCGCATTTTGATTCCTGGGTCAGTGACATGTTAGTGGCTATTCTCTCAATGTGTACATAGATCTCATAAACCCGATGTACTGGAACGGACAGACCATTATGTAAAGTCCGCCATATAGCCTTTCCGCTAAAGTTGGGGAATGCGCATATGGTCCCCGGAATTTTGTCTGTTACAAAGCACTGCATCATGCCTCAACAACCGAATACATTCCAATTACCTCGGACCCTCTATTCTTCTAGTCCTTGTTTAATTTCATTGCGGTTACATTCCCCCTGAAACACCGAAACTTTCGAACGTTTGGATCTAGGTGTTGATGAAGTAGCGGTGGCACAGATTTGCTTCGTAAGGTTTATAGTGTGCAACAAACAATCAAGGCACCCCAATTTACAAACCACAACCCTGGTATGTAAGCCCCCCGGTGTTTCGACACAGTTTACCAATATTGCAGGTTCACCATCAAGTGTTGGGTTTGTTTGGGTTTTACTGCTTAGGGTTTGGCGCTAGGGTTTGGGGGAGACTTAAACTTAAACTATTATACCGGCTCGCTTGCGCGATACGACACGGAAGACTTAAACCATCAAACCAATAAGCCAATCCATTTGGTCTATAGGGCACGGCGGGAGTCTTCAAACCCTGAACGTATTTTGCCGCCTGGTTATAACCTCTGTCCCCGGTTATAACCAGGACACCTGCGTAGTAGGCAGCTCTAGACCCAACACTAAACCATTAAACCATTAACAAACCATTAAATTAGTACACCGTTAAACCAATCCTTTCCCCCAAAGGACCCAAACCAATAAACCATTAAACCATTAAACCAATCCTTTTGCCCCATGCCACTAAACCATCAAACCATTAAACATATCCCTTTACCCCATACCACTAAACCACTAAACCACTAAACCATTAAACCATTAAACCAATCCTTTCCCCCAATGCACCTAAACCACTAAACCATTAAACCATTAAACCGTTAAACCATTAAACCATTCCTTTTGCTCCATACCACTAAACCACTAAACCATTAAACCATTAAACCAATCCGTTTGCTCCATACCACTAAACCACTAAACCATTAAACCATTAAACCAATCCGTTTGCTCCATACCACTATACCACTAAACCATTAAACCATTAAACCAATGCTTTCGGCCCATACAGGGATGTGTCTCTCTCTATAGGGGAAAATGATTGGTTTAATGGTTTAATGGTTTAATGGTTTAGTGGTTTGGGTCCATTGGGGGAAATGATTGGTTTAATGGTTTAATGGTTTATTGGTTTGGGTCCATTGGGGGAAAGGATTGGTTTAATGGTTTATTGGTTTAGTGGCATGGAGCAAAAGGAATGGTTTAATGGTTTAATGGTTTAGTGGTTTGGGTGTGCAAAAACCCAGGGGACCCCATATAGGGGGGTACCCATATATATATCACGGCATGTACAGTTCATACTTGACCTGCTTTCCGATAGACGCAGAAACTATCCCGTGCACTCGAGCATGTCTGCATCAAGTGCAGAGGCACGCCCTGCTTCTACAGCTTTGATCGCAGAGTCCTTGGAGTGTGTGAGACCATCCTCCGGAAACCCCCAGTCTGGGCATCGCAAGAAAGGTCCCTTCATCAGGCCGAGCCTCCAAGGACCAGAGCCGATTGAGAGCTTTTGCAACCTCCGAGCTCCCATGATCCCAGAAGTTGCCACGAAGCTTCCTGAGGAGATCACATACAAGGAATTGGCTGCGTGTGTGGACGAGGCAGCCCAACGAAGACTCAGATGGCTCAGCGCCCTTCATTCCAAAGGACGCAGTGCATGGCAGGTGGCAGATACACTCCTGTCGCTGGGAATCTCGTGCGGGTCAGCCGCTGTCCCAGCAGCTGCAGCTCCACAATCGACCCATCAGCATCCCTGAGAGTGGTCGCGTGAGGTGGTTGCGCTGGTCATGGACCGGAGCGTGGCACAGGTTGTGGCAGTGTATGGCACTTTGAAGGCTTGCTGGTGTTAGGGGTCGATCCCACTGGTACAATGTGCGTGTGTCACTAGCTTCAAGTTGCTCATGGCATCAAACATGCAGGCTGGTGCAGCATTTCTGCCTGTGGACAACGCAGAGACCTCAGATAGCTCTGGAAAAGCCGAGAGCCCACTGTGTCTGTGTGTCTGTGTGACTGCGTGGGCACGTGTTTTTGGTCAAGAGCACGAGGATGCCCCGCTGGCGCGCAAGCAGTTTCTGCTGCATGAAAGTGAAGCAGCAGCAATGATTGCGGTCTCAGGTGTGGAAATCCTCACAATAAGTCAGTGGGTTTTGTCGGTTCTGTTCCTCGCAGGCGACGAAGTGGCTCGTGAGCTCGCCACAGAGGCTCTAACTCAACGAGTCTGTAGCTTCTGCCAGAGCCCGTGACCTGTCCAGATTGGCTGCAACTTCATTGCGTTGCCTGCGGATGGTTCACGTTCTGCGTTGCAGCTGTTGCATCTCAGCTTGAAGAAGCTAGCAATGACTTTAATGCTTATGATGCCCAGCGGGCCGCAAGCTTCAGCACGTCAGTGCCTTTGGTGCGAGAACTCTGAAGTGTAGACCGGTTATGCTCAACTAGCAGAGGTCTGAGTCCGTGTCGTTCTTTGCGTTCACAGAACGTCGTCCCAGACGTTGCTCAAGAACAGGCGTAGAAAAGAATGAGACTTGTATCACCAAGGCGCAGACAGCGGTCGCGCGCCCACTCCTTCGCTTCCGACGGAGAGCCTGGAGCTGGCTGCGACCTCGTCGGCGTGACTTGCCCTTCACATCCTCTGTGCCCTTTACCGCCGAGGCCCAAGCGGTGGCTACGCGGGTGGGTATCGTCGTCCCGAGGCCCAATGCGACTTCAACCGTGTTTTCATGCTGATGTTCAACAATCGATCTTCACGAGACGGATAGATAGGCGTCAACCTGTGCAGGTTGTAACACATGATTTGTAAGTCCGTGAGCAAGTCCTTGAGCCCGTGTTGGTGCCAGCATCGGCCCGCTCAGCTTGGCGCAGGCGTCCGACATGGCCCTTCTGATTTACACGTCCGGTACAACAGGTGCTCCCAAGGCGCCCCTTTACGTTCCTGAGCGGCTGCTGAATTGGCAGTGCCCGCTTCCGGAAGGGTATCGTTTATGATCACCAGCACCTTATGCATGGAGTGTACTTCTTTGGGAGCCAATGCTTGTCGCTCAGCTTTTCTCGAGGGCCACCAAGTGTGGTCATGCAGCGTGTGCCAAGGCCAAGTGGATTCGACGTCAGTTGCGATGCTAAAGTCTCCGTGAGACCCCGGGTTTTTGCCGAAGTGACAACCGAACTTTTCCGTTCGGTGTCTGCTTTCTACTCTGCATTCGAAGGTATTTCTGGGCAATCATTGATTCTTGATTGCAAGAAGGATGTTGCGTGTCAAGCTAGAGATGAAGTAGGCTAAGTTTTCTGCCATGTCAGGAGTGGGAGATGTTTCCGGTGCTCGCGCAAGGCCACACGACTGCTGTTGGTATTGCACATGGGGTCGCCAGACCGTGGCAGGTGGAAAGCTGGTGGTAGCTTCAGCAAACGGACACAAGAGTCCTGTCCTCAGAATCGCTGGTTTCAACAAGCAGTGTGGTCATTTCGAGTCAGCGACGAGGTCCTGAGTATCTGGCGAACACCATCGCAGCCGAGGAGGCGGAAAGCATGTTGAGAGCCCGATCAGCGCACATTGAATTGAGCTGGGAGGGTGCCGAGTAGACTGGGCTGGGCACTTCGACAGCATTTCTTGGCAATGGCTCCGAACATCCAGCCAACCCTCGACTTTTAAATCTCATTGACCGCAGACCGTGCAATTTGGAGCTCGATTTGAGGCCACTAAAGTGCAAGACACCCCCTCATGACACTTCCCAGTTCAAGCGACTTTCCCTTCGAATCATGGTTGGGTCGCGTGCCCGTCGCCTGCCCATCATGTTCTTGGTCTTTCTCACATCGTCTGCAAAGTTAGTTCTTGGCGGTCGGCCTTGTGCTCAGCATTACATCTGTTGGAATTGGAGTTTCTGGCTGCCAGCTTGTCATGTTCCCAAAGTGCAGCCGCCTTTTCTGGGTTTCCGGCTTGTGGAACACGGTGCCCGAAATCCAGTCTGGTGAGTTGTCGGTCTGGTAACCATTGACTAGGGTACGTTACGAGTTATGAATGTGGGTTTTGGGCCGTGCGAGTCAGGATGCGTGATGAAGGATGAGAATTTCGGGGTTGTGCACCATATGTTGTTTCAGAGAAGGGCTTGTTGCTCGTTGGAGTCAACTTTGGGGATGAGGGTTTCGCCATCAATTGCTGAAGGATTTTAGGGTTTAATGGCCTTTCGTTTTTGTGTTCGAAGCCATCACGGCCTCCTGAAGTTGCTGCTAAAACGGAGTTGGATGTTCCTGTCATTTCTTTGTTTTCCCGATTTTGGTTGCGGCATGATTGATGTTGAATGTCTCCCAATCTGCAGGTCAAGGTTCCGAATTTGTTTTGCAATTGTGGGTGATTCTTTGTTCATTTTCGTGTCTCGTCTGTTCTTACCATGCTCTAATTGCCCATGACATGCTTTCAAGATCTTTCAAGTCAAGAATGTGCTGAATGTCACAGGATTTGGCACATCATGTCTTAAATTCCGTGAAGTTGTCCGTCTCTGTTTCGGGTTTAACCTGGATGCACCATGTGCTGTTTGGAGAAAAGGGTCTGTGGCTCGTTGGAGTCAACTTTGGGGATGAGGGTTTTGCCATCAATTGCTGAAGGATTTTAGGGTTTAATGGCTCTTCGTTTTTGTGTTCGAAGCCATCACGGCCTCCTGAAGTTGTTGCTAAAGCGGAGTTGGATGTTCCTGTCATTTCTTTGTTTTCCCGGTTATGGTTGCGGCATGATTGATGTTGAATGTCTCCCAAGCTGCAGGTCAAGGTTCCGAATTTGTTTTGCAATTGTGGGTGATTCTTTGTTCATTTTCGTGTCTCGTCTGTTCTTACCATGCTCTAATTGCCCATGACATGCTTTCAAGATCTTTCAAGTCAAGAATGTGCTGAATGTCACAGGATTTGGCACATCATGTCTTAAATTCCGTGAAGTTGTCCGTTTCTGTTTCGGGTTTAACTTGGATGCACCATGCGCTGTTTGGAGAAAAGCGTCTGTGGCTCGTTGGAGTCAACTTTGGGGATGAGGGTTTTGCCATCAATTGCTGAAGGATTTTAGGGTTTAATGGCTCTTCGTTTTTGTGTTCGAAGCCATCACGGCCTCCTGAAGTTGTTGCTAAAGCGGAGTTGGATGTTCCTGTCATTTCTTTGTTTTCCCGGTTATGGTTGCGGCATGATTGATGTTGAATGTCTCCCAAGCTGCAGGTCAAGGTTCCGAATTTGTTTTGCAATTGTGGGTGATTCTTTGTTCATTTTCGTGTCTCGTCTGTTCTTACCATGCTCTAATTGCCCATGACATGCTTTCAAGATCTTTCAAGTCAAGAATGTGCTGAATGTCACAGGATTTGGCACATCATGTCTTAAATTCCGTGAAGTTGTCCGTTTCTTTTTCGGGTTTAACTTGGGTGCACCATGTGCTGTTTTGAGACAAGGATCTGTGGCTCGTTGGAGCCAACTTTGGGGATGAGGGTTTTGCCATCAATTGCTGAAGGATTTTAGGGTTTAATGGCCTTTCGTTTTTGTGTTCGAAGCCATCATGGCCTCCTGAAGTTGTTGCTAAAGCGGAGTTGGATGTTCCTGTCATTTCTTTGTTTTCCCGGTTTTGGTTGCGGCATGATTGATGTTGAATGTCTCCCAAGCTGCAGGTCAAGGTTCCGAATTTGCTTTGCAACTGTGGGTGATTCTTTGTTCATTTTCGTGTTCCGTGTGTTTTTACCATGCTCTTATTTCCCATGATCCGCGTTAAGACTGCTTGCGGCTTGTGGTGTGCTGAATGTCACAACATCATGTCTGAAATTCAGTGAAGTTGTCCGTGCTTGGGGTTCGCTATGACTGCGGCTTGTGGGCCCAGCTGCTGTCTGCCAGCCATCATGGTCGTGGGAGTTAGGATGGTTAGGATGTGTGATCAAGATCAGAATCTCGGGGTTGTGCACCATGTGTCCTTTAGGGGTTGTTGCTCGTTGGAATCAGTTTTTGGGATGAGGGTGTTGCTATCACTGCTCGACGGTTTTTCATTTTTAGTGCCCTATTGGGTTTGAGGCCTTCTCGGCCTCTTAAAGGTTTTTCTTTAGCGCAGTTGGTTTTTCTGTCATTTCTTTCTTTTCGGGTTTGGTTGCGCGATTGATGTTGAATGTCTCCCAAGCTGTAGGTCAAGGTTCCAAATTCTTCTTCAATTGCGGGGGACATGCCTTTGATGCCCATCACATGCTTTCAAGACAAGAGTGCTTGCGGTGGGCGGAATGTCACAAGATTCGGCACATCATGCCTGAAATTCGTTGAAGTTGTCCGTCTTTGTTTCGGGTTTCACTGCAGGTTCGTTATGACTGTGGCTTGTGGGCGCAGCGGTTGTCTGACAGCCATCATTGTCGTAGGAGTCAGGATGTGTGATGAAGGATGAGAGTTTCGGGGTTGTGCACCATGTGTTGTTTTGAGGAAGGGGTTGCTCGTTGGAGCCAACTTTGGGGATAGGGTTTTGCCATCAATTGCTGATGGATTTTAGCGTTTAATGCCCCCTTTGGTGTTTGGGTTTGAAGCCATCACGGCCTCCTGAAGTTGTTTCTAAAGCGCAGTTGGTCTTGTCCGATTTGTGTGACCTTCGGGCTTTGTTACCCAATTTGTTTTGGGTTGCACGATTGATGTTGAACGTTACCTCGGCTGTAGGTCGAGTTTCCGGACTTGAAGTTCGATGGCAGGGCTTTGTTCATTTTCGGGTCATGTCTTGTTTTACCATGTTTTACTGCCCATCACATGTGTTGACTTGAAAAAGGGCTTGCGGTTGCTGAAAGTTACGGTTTCTGGGGTTCAGCTGGTGTCGGTTAGCCATCGTTGTCTTGGGATGAGGTTGTGCGTCTGGTTGCCATCACTCTTTCGGGTTTAACGTGGGTACATTTATGACTGTGGTTTTGGGGCTCAGTTGTTCTCTGCTAGCCAGTACGGTCTTGGGGGCTAGGGTTTAGTGATTAAGGTCGTAGAGTGCAGGGATTGTTCACCATGTGTTGTTTTGGGAAGGGGGTCTGCTGCTCATTGGAGTCAGTTATTGGGATGGCCTGAAGTTGTTGCCAAAGCGGAGTTGGATTTTCCCGTCAGACATCTCTTTGTTTTTCGGGTTTTGGTTGCGGCGTGATTGAAGTAAAATGTCTCCCCAGCTGCAGGTCAAGCTTCAGAATTTGTTTTACAATTGTGGGTGTTTTTTGTTCATTTTCAGACCATGTCTGTTTTTGCCATGCTTTTCATGCCCATGACAGGCTTTCAAGTTAAGACTGCTTGCGGCTCGCGGTGTGCTGAATGTCACAGGATTTGGCACATCATGTCTGAAATTCAGTGAAGCTGTCCGTCTCTGTTTCGGGTTTAGCTTGGGGTTCGTTATGACTGTGGCTTGTGGGCCCAGCTGTTGTCTGCCAGCCATCATGGTCGTGGGAGTTAGGATGGTTAGGATGTGTGATCAAGATCAGAGTCTCGGGGTTGTGCACCATATGTTGTTTTCAGAGAAGGGCTTGTTGCTCGTTGGAGTCAGTGCGTGAAGGTTTTTAGGGTCTACTGCCGCTTCTTGTTCTTGGGTTTGCTGCCATAGCGGCCTCTGAAAGTTGTTTCTAAGGTATGTGGGGTTTTCCTGTCATTTCGTTGACTTTCGGGTTCGGTTACCCATCGTGTTTTGGGTTGTGTGATTGATGTTGAATGTCTCCCAGGCTGTAGGTCAAGGCTCCGGACTGGATGTTCAAGTGCAGGGCTTTGTTATTTTGGGGTCATGTCTGCTTTTACCATGTTTTGCTACCCATGGTATGCATTCAGGTTAACAATGCTCTTGCGGTGTGCTGAAGATCACAGGAGTCGGCGCATCATTCCTGAAATTCAGTGGATTGACAACAGGATCCGTATCTGAGAGTAAGAAGCAGTGCTGTGACGGGGGTGTTTCAAAGACGATGCGACACCCATCCTTCACAGGATCAGGATTCGGAGGCTACCTTCGTTCCTTTATGATGATAGGATGTGTTTAGTTTAGTCCACAACATGTAGAAGCATTGCAGACGTTCGTATCAGAATATAATTTACATGACAGACATGCACCCCCACAACACTCAGGTTTCCGGTCAAGATGCCACTTTGGTCCCGAACGTTGAACGTCTGCAAGTTTGGTTCGCTTACTCAGCAGAGTTGGCTTGCATAAGAGTTACATACAATCCGACATCCAAATGCCATGACCAGTCTGGTTTAAAGTTGTTGCAGCTGAACGAAACATTGTACGCACACATGCTGAAAGCTGTACTAAGTAACGGCACGAGCAGCTCATATCTGTTGAGTTCAATGCTGGCAGCTGCTGGCATACTCTACATTGCTTTGCGCGGTTACTTGTATACTCCTGTATCACCAATTGTTATTGAGATGGTGCTGCTCATGCTTCGGTGTTCGCCGAGCAAAGCATGTGGTATCAGGAACATCCAATTGGCATGACTTGATTCCGAGCTAAGTGCACACTTACAAGTGTTACACTGCCCCCTCTGTTTCTTAAGTGATTATGGGGCCGAGGGCATTCCACCCCCCGGGAAGAGGTGTCATCGGGGGAATTGTTATCCGTCACGTTTCCGAAGGCTGCGGGTTTGTTCACGATCATTGTTTCGGGCTTTTTGACGTTTCGGCTTTGCGTTAGCAACCATGGCAAACCTTTCGGAGATGATGCTGAGCATATCTGCTTTCGACAGGTCAGCGTCTTCATGGTTACCCCACAGGCCGTTCACACCCTCGATTTATCGGAATCCCTGCTCAGTGCATGTGGAAGGTTCTCGACCTGGTCCTGGATGTACATGACTCTCAAGGAAATGCAAGGCCGCTCCGTTCGGTAGGGGCCTCACCTGCTCAGAGTGACATGTTGCTGCATTTATGTGAGTCATCTCGGCGTTAATGTAGCTTGTCGCGTGTGATGCGCAGGGTCCAGTTCATTCCAGCAGGTCGTCTGCAGCCTTCATGGCTCCAGATCTTCTGCCCACTAGGCCCCGCTGCAATGGTTCAGGAGGATGTCCAGGCCAGCGAGTGTGAGCTGATCACGAGCAAGTCCGGAACTGAGCCTCTGAGCCTCTTCCGGCTCGCGTCTTTTGTGATGAGCAGCCTCTTCCATCCGAAAGCCCAGGCCGATTCTCGCGGGCTTTGAGCTCCTCCTGAAGAGACCTTTATGCAGCGCCTGCCTGCTTACTCACGCATTCTTCATCTCTATTTGGACATCATCATCCTATGCCGCTGCTAGGCAGAACATGTAAAGCTCTCGATGCTACTGCTTCCAAGGGATTTTTCTTCAGCTCCGGCCACCCTTCGTTTTCCGCCCAGCAAAGGCTCTGAAGGTGCAGCCTCTCCATCTGGAGCCGTACAACACCAGGCCCGTACAGATATCATCCACCTATGTAGTCATGTCAGCACGACAAAGCTGCCTCCGGTCCTGATGAAAGGCTGAAGAGCGCTGTGCAGTCCTTGCGGGACGATTTCGGACAGAATGCTGAAGGTATGCTGTCCGATGCTATCTTGATATGGAGTCTTGATTCACACCTGCAGACACATCACAACTATTCGGACTTGACCCAAGCTGTCGAGAAGGAGCTGAAGCAGTTGCAGAACACAGACGTATGCCAAAAATTAGAATGGAAGCCTGCGAAGCTTGCAAAGAGCGAAGATGCTGCTGTTATGAGGCTAGACCTGCATTCGAAAGCTTCCATCGGACACCGGAACCCCTGCTTGTACAGAATCCGTGAGTACGTCCAGACAGTGGACCGCAGATTTGGAAAACTCAATGTAGCGATGGCCGGCCCGCATTCAGTGGTCGATGCCTCCTATGCGCAATGCGACAGTGAGACGCTTTTTCATCTTACCCTGAGCACACCGCTTCTGGTACTGCTATTGATTCTCGGCGTTGGTACGCTGCCACGTGCCATTACACCGTGCTTCTGCCTTCTTGGCAGTGTTCCGGCCTCACGCAGCCTCGTCGTTCTGGTCAAGGCGCTTTGGCCAGATTTGAATATGGTCGGACCTGACACACAGATTCTCTTCGTGCAGTTGGCCCTTGCCTTTGACTACGCACTGTTCTTCTGGGTGCGCTTCTCACAGGAGCGTCGATCACGTACAACTGCAGAGGTGGATGTCGTGCTCATGAAAACATTGCAGACTTCAGGCTTTGTCATTCTTCTCAGCACCTCTATCCTTGTGGTTACATTCCTGGGTGCAAGCTGCTACCCTGACTTGAACAAGCTAGGCTACCTTTATGCAACCTTGAACTTGGCATTCGGAAGCCTGTTTATTGGGTTATACAGCATCACTATACCACCGGTTTTGGCATCCATATTTCCATCGCTGTTCGACGAGCCGCATGAGAGCAATATCTTGTCGGGCTGGATGCAACGAGGATCTAAAATGGTTCAGCGCGGTTTCTTTAGGCCCGTGGCGGACGTGATCACCTGTAAACCCTGGAACTACGTGGCGCCGTTTCTTGTTTTAGCATGCTGCAGCCCCCTAATGATGCACATGTGGCATCTTCGTGCAAACTTTGATGTGACCCTCACCGACTTTTCTACATCTGTTCCTGAATATCATGCTTATGACTTGGTTCGGAAAAAGTTCGACGACCGAGAGGGGAGGCAGATGACGCTGTTGATGACTTCTTCCAAACTGCTCGGGAATTCTTCCGACCTCGTGGACACGGGTGATTGGACGCGAAGCAGACCATTTCAGGAAGCAGCTTGTCATGTTGCGAGAACCGTGCTAAAAGACGACAAGTGCCAATCTGCGGATGTGACTAGTCACGAGATGGTTGGATACTGGTGGGACTCTCTGTCCGGCTCCTGCGTACACAACCCGAACTGGCACGAGAAGTTCATTTCCGATGACGGTGTTTCCCAGAGAATGTTTATGTTCCCGGACATCGACAACCTGGAAGGAGCTGAAGCTCAAGGATTGATTCGCCACTTTTGGGAAGTCATCGAACCCAAGGTGTCGATTCAGAATGGGGAAGGTGAAACCCTCTTCTCTTTGCATCTGTACACTCCGGTGGCCGAAAACATGCTGCTGGAAGCTCAGTACAGGCGCTCGGCCCCTTGGATCCTGGGCATCACCCTGGCCATTGTGTGCTGCATGGTCACAGCTTTGTTCCAGTCTGCTTTCGTTGGAATCAAGATGGTCCGCGGCTTAGGGGCGAAGGGATGGGAAGTGGGGCGCGGGCTGCCAGGAAGGCCCAGGCCCAGGCTCTGTCTGTGTGCACCCGGAGCCACAAGCCTAACACATTTGCGGACGAGCACTCGGAGTCGGTTCGAGCACATTTTGCAGGCAGCGTAGCCTTGGGTTTGTAGCTCCGTGAAGACCAGGGAGCTGAAAGTCGAAGTGCCATGCCATCTGAGTCCGCTTGATTCTAGTTCTCGCTGCCAGGCAACCGAGGTAACATCAAGATGCAACAAGCCAGGCCAGTGCAAGGACAACGAGTAAGGCAGTGCACTACGGGAACCTGTACATGTAGGTTCTCAAGCAATTATGAAACATGCCCCGTTGCATCACGCAAGGTCTTCACGATTGCGCTGCCGATTGTGGCTGAGTACGGCTTTGCTGTCGGAGTTTTTCAAGATGGATGGCTTGCCTGGGCTGGTGTTGATGCCACAGGTGGCTTAAAGTGGACAATGGTGCACAGCACTTGCGGCTTCCTCTTTGCTTTAGCGATGGATTATGACCTCTTCCTCTTCGCCCGTGTCTACGAACGCAGACAACAGGGCTATGACAACGCCTCAGCTGTGCGCCTGAGCCTTGAAGAAACAGGCCCTCTGATTACTCTGGCAGGGACGATCATGGTGATATCTTTTGCATTTGTTCTCCTGTCCTCCGTGCCGGTGATTGCGCAGATGGGTCGCTGCCTCAGACGTGCGTCATCTGAGCTTGGCAGTGCAGCTAAACATCCGTGTGTAACGTGGTTCCAAGGTTGTTTGTACTGCTTCGGGGTGGCTTTTGACGTGTACGTCGTCCGTATCTTCTTGGCACCGGCCGCACTTTGCATCTTTGAGAACATGAACTACTGGCCGGGGAAGGTGCCTAAGCCTTTTATCTGCTCCTTGGACCTAAAAATGATCATGATCCCTTTCGTATTGCGGGGTGGTGGAATGGAACTGAGTTTGATCTATTGATTCTTGGCGAACCACCCAGTTCATCTGATCACGGCATGTGGTTGCGAGGCGTCAGAATGATGTTGGAAGTCTTGTTGGCCTGTTGTGAGTAGTTTCTCGTCGGCGACGTTGCATCGAACTGTGTTCTCTTCCTCTTGCATGTTGCCGAAGGTTACCCTGACAAGCGGGACTTGGTTTCAGAGGCGAAGAACTATGGCACCTGCGATTGAGTTGACGGAGTGGTTCAGTTCCCGGTAAAAGACCGTTAAATGTTTGTGACCAGCTTGGGCATGCTTACAGCATGTGTCACCCGTGGAACGGGTTTGTGAAAAAGTGCTGGCTGCGCACTGACCTGGAACTTGACAATCTTTGGCCTGAATTCAGATTTGGCATTCAAGTCCGCCCAAGGTGAAGCACATTGTGACAGTTGGCGAGCCGTTGGGATGTGCAGTCGCCAATCGCAACTTGCCTATGTTTTCCAAAGGTTGTCCAGCTTTGGCTTCGTGCATCGTCAAACTCGGCCGTGGCTGGACAGGTCTTGTCCGCACCAGAGGTGTGGAGGCTGCCAGTTGAGCATTGAGAGAGCACATCCAGTGCAGACTGCACTGCTGCAGCAGTGCAAAGGTCAAGGCTCCTGTCCACCTTCTGTGCAGGCGCAGCTCCACAATTTCTACGGCGCATCCGAGAGTTCTTGCACTGTGCAGCCCATATGTCTTGATTTTAAACCATGCTTGAGCATCGCTCCGTGTCTCTTACCGTCTGTGCTTCTGTGAGTGCTTGTCACATAGCAGGTATACACCGTGCCCAAAGAAGGCATCGACCTGGACCTCTTTCCATCCAAGGTACTCTGTCTGTCGAAATGGTGTGTACGCGGTCCGTGTTGCTTAACGATTCTCGGCTGGAGGCCCCATGCGGTCGGCCACAGCCACATGCAAAAGTCTTCGTGATGCGAGAAGAAGCTCAGGCACATCTGCTAGTGGACTGGAAGTTCCCGCATTGTACAGTCGCTTTGGTGTGCCTCGTGATGCCTCCTGCACCATGTGGGGAGGAATCTGGACCTCCTGTTCTGGTGCCCGTTCCAGGTGGTGAGGCAGATCAAGGGCAGCAGCATGCAGCAGAGCCGTCACTTTCAGACTTCTATAATAGAGCTGCAACCCAAGATTTTCGAGGCAGGCGAGATTTGCTTCGGCGGCGTTCTGGCAGCGTGCTGCGGCCTTGGCAGTTGCAAGAGCAGCAGCATGCCTTGTACTGCTGGCGAGTATCCGAACTGACAGTCGACCTGCCACAATGAGCCCAATACGCTTTATGCCAACAGCACTCTTCTGGAGTCTTGCAGGCGTGTCCTAAAGTCGGGAGCTGGCTCGTTTGCCTTGCATTGCCTTCCCTGTGTAGTGGATTTACACATGTTCTTCAGTGCGTCGCTCAGCGATGCTGGGCTCGAGGCTACTGGAAGCATGATGAGCTGACAGCCCAGAAGTGGATTGACACGAAGGACGATATCTCGTTCAAGTCGTTGGGAACGTTGTGCTGCTACGTGTCACTGCTGCAGGCTGTCGCAAGTCTTTCGAAGGGTTTTGAACAGGTGGGAAAGGGTCCGGCGGATCGGATGGTGAATGCAGGACCTCGGCAGACTGTACCGAACTGGAGACATGGGCCGCTGGAGAGCCGGGCAGCTGGAGGCAGAGCTCGAAGGCAAGAGGGGAGGGCGGAGACCTTCGTTTCGGAGCTTTTGAGGTGATTGGCCGCGTTGACCGCCAGGCTGGGCTGAACACAGCGGACCCTAGGCCCTAGGCCCTACCTGCCCTGGCCTCCCTAGCTGCGAGGTGAAAATCCGGGGCGTTCGTGTCGAGCCCGAAGAGGTCGAAGCAGTCCTCAGAAGGCGAGAAGAGATTCGTGACTCGGTCGAAGCTTTCGAAGCAGCTTTCAGGTACCACTATGCGACCAGCGAGGAGATTCTAGAACGCGAGATTCTGTGCCATGATGTGTAACTTGCCTGCGCAGGACAGTGGGCCATCTGGCCTTGAGCTAGGCAGTGGTCCACGACCAGGGCTCAAAGAGGCAGCGCGAAGCATCTTGCCGTGCGCCGTGGCACCAAGCTCCCTTGGGCCGATGGGTCTCAGGTCGCAGTGGTGGCTTCCAAGGAACCTGCTGAACTGGTGGCTTTCGTCAGCCTCCGCGAAGGCATGGCGCTGAGCACATGTGAGATCTAGAGCAAGGCTTTCTTCGTGCCAGGCTTGGATGGAGCTGTGACTCCAGACACCCTTCGGGCTCATTGTCAGGTGTGGCACCTGCAAAGTTGCCCGATGTTTAAAGAAAGAGCACGTAGAGACGTAGAGCTCCTGTTGGTGCCTCGCTTCAGCCGCTCCATCTCTGAGCCTGCGGCTGTGGCATGTGCAATGGTGGGCAGAGGAGTGCATGCATCCGGCAGATTCAATGCCTATGGCTCTGCAGAATCTGCGTCTGCGCGACACAGCCTGAGGAGACACAGCATTCCATGAAGCCCTAGATTCGGTTACTTCGGACTGTCGCTGATGTTTGAACGGTTGTCTTGGGCGTGTGAGTCAAGTGCTGAAGAGGAGGTTGTGTTGTGTCTGCCTGTGAGGATGCCCTGCAATCCGTGACTTGGTCGCCGCAAGGAGTAGCGGAACCGTTGTTTATGCCGTCGGCAACGCCACTGCAGAGCGTCTGAGGCCACCTGCCCCACGTCGGTGCCAGAGCCAGCCTGTCGGCCTGCCACGAGGAGTTCCTGAGCGTGGGGTCCAGGGGACTTCAGACCGAGAGCTATACGGCGGTGATTCAAAGAAGCCGCTGGCGAGCAAAGTCGGCGGCTGTCCTTTGCAGGAAGAGTTTAGGCACGAAGGCGAAGGCGAAGCCAGAGCCTCCAGAGCCTCCAGAGCCTCCAGGGCCGCCAGAGCCGCCAGAGCCCAGAGAGATCAGAGAGAAGCACATCCACGTCCAGGAACCTCCAGCAAAGCCACTGCCGTGGAGCCCAAGGAGGCAGAGACAGCTGCTCGCCCATCTCGAAGGCCTTCCTCGCCTCTGCAAAGGCCACCGCTCACGCAGCGATCGCAGGACCAGTGCCATTGGATCGAGCTGACATCTCTGCCAGCTGCGTGGAATTCCTCTGCCATTGACAAAATGTGCAGAAGATATGGTGATATCTTGGGGCCGTATCGAGACGACAAGACGGATGGCCAGTTTCGAGTGGGCTATCCTTTGAGGGAAATAGCAACCACGGCCGTGAAAAGCCTGAATGCTAAATTTGCTGCAAAGGGGGTGGCAGCCACAGCCAAGTTTCTTCCAAGCTCAACGACCGAAAGGCAGAAGGCCTTTGTGGATGAGCTGCTCGCTAGCAACACTCTCAAAGGTTGGGAAGTGGAATCGGAAGCAGCTCAACGGCGAGAGCTCTTCCTCTGGAACTTGCCAGATCGTAAACCCGCCCAACTGTTCTTGTGGTTGCAAGGTGGAAGCAAGCAGGATTTGGATTGCAGGGTCCCTTTTGAGCCGTTCGAGAGCCACGAATGGCTGGGCAAATGCGGCTGCTCGGACAAATTTGTTGCTCCATTGCTGAAGGCACACATTCCTGTTACCCCACTTCACTTGGTTCTCTGCTTCTAGTCACCCTGTCTGGTGTTCCACTCTCCTTTTCTGCCCTGGGATGCCCTTTCGCGCATGAAGTCAAAGGGGCAACAGCGTTCCTTTCCTTTGATGCCAGCCCTACGCCCTGTGACGGATGTAGCACAGTTGGACCCGAAATGGGAGGGGCGGGGCGAGGCCGGGGTGGAGACCTGTCGCGTACGGCTTGCATGTCTCGCACCGCCAACGCGGCAGTTGGCTTTCAGGCTATGTTCGGTTCCAGAAGCATGAGTCTGCGGCCAGGACGCACTGCGTAGCTGCACCAGCAGTACCTTCATCACATGGTCGAGAAATCTGCAGAAAGTTAAGTGACAGTCTTCGGTGCGGCCTTGCTGCCCCCTCCTTGAGCCGCAGGATGCTGCTGGAGATACCGCTTCTTGCCAGCACTTTCCCGCGTGTATGCCTAGCCGGAAGAAGCCGGCGTACCTTAGGCTTCAACCACGCTGAGCACGGAACTTGCCCCAGAGCCCCAGAGGGTCTCGTGCTCAGGCAGAGGCCCGAGAAGTGCCGAGCGGCCTGGTCGTTCTCAGAGCGACTGATCGCCTGGAGAGAAACAGCGTGCCTCGCCAGCTCAACCCATGGCCCTATGACGAACAGGTGTGACAGTGCGAAGCTGAGGCAGAGCATCGTCCAGGAAGCAGAGCTGCCTGGCCTAAACAGTCTTCGTTCAAGTGTGCAAGGTGTTGACTTGAGCTCTGAGGTTGGAGTTGCAATGCCAGTCGCTTCTTGGCTGCTGGGAGCATGCTGGCGCCGCCCAGAAACGTTGCAGCCACCTAAATGAGCTAAACGTACTGACCAGATCAGCACGATGAGGTTAGAGACCCTGTCCGCATGTTGTTCCGTGTTGTTGCATCAGCAGAGGCTGCAGCTGCTCGGAGACGGGCTAAAGAAGCGTCTATGCTTCGAATGGGAAGGTGAGCCGAGACGCGAGCACTACCGGGGCAGATCGCTTTCGCTTCTCGCAGTTGGCATTCTCTTCCTGGCCTGGCCGGTTCGATGCAGGTGCAGCAGCTGATCTTGCAGCAACTCGCTCGGGGCTGAAGGCGAGATGCAGCCGCTGCTGCGGAAAGAGAGGAGAGAGAGCTGTTTTAGCGCTGGCGCTGGGCCGCTGGGCAGGATCGGCTTCGAAGCGCCCTGGAAAGCGCCATGGCGATGCCTTGCGTCCTGGTCCGCGGCCTCGCCAAGAGCTGGACGGACTGACGCGGACGGAGAGGTCTTTCCCTAGGCTCTAGGGCCCTATGGGCTTCGGCTTTGAAAGGCCACAGGCCAGAGAGAGAGAGAGGGACACCGCAGCGTGGGTCGGCAAAGCAACCGAGAAAGGCACGCCCAACTTCCACTCACATCCAGGAGAACAGCCTGAAAGTCTTGTTTGCTTTCTATGGCGGCACGTCAACAGCCCGAGTGCCTGGATATGCGGAGTTTTCCCTCTGCAGAGCATTCAAGCTGGACATTTGTTCCGTATGTGCGCAGCATCAGGTCAATATCGTGCGAAGCGAAAGAGAAGTCAGCTGCTATGTGCGACTGGACTTGGTGTTGCATTTTATCTGGGTTGTTTTGTGACCTTCTTTCGAACGCGACGGTCTCATGCCCGGAGCTATAGGCAGTTGAAGGAGGCAGCAAACTCCGAAAAGTTTGTTGCAGCTTGGCATGGTTTCAACATGTTTCACTCCAAAGGCTGGCTGTTCGATGGGCGCATGTCTTCCAGAGTGTGGGGCAGAACAAGACAACAATGATTGACCAAGGAGCAGTGGAATGGAAAGCACGTGGGTGATGATGAGTCCGGTTTGGAGCGCTGTCAGATCTCGTGCCAGATAGTTTCCAGACGAACTTGGTCGCCTCTTTTGGCGCCGGCTCTTGTTGGTTGTACATGAGGTTCCTTCGGCGCAGATGCCTTCACCCCAGGCGGTGTTCTTTGTTCTTGTCCATGTCGTTCGGAACGTAGTGGCAAGCGGAATACGCAGAAGTGCTGGAGGCATCCTCGCAAACAAGCGAACCTGGAACGCGGACCAAGGCGAAAGAGGGAGGTGCTATCTCCTCCAAAGCATGCTTCGTGGTGCTACGCTTCGATTGTCTTTTGGAAGACTCAAGAGACTCGCAGGTGTGCTCGAGTGCGAGTGCGAACTTAGCCCAGCAAAGACGACGAGCACCAAGACACCGCGGCAGGATGGGAGTCTTTGCTGCGTCTCTCACCAGGAAACACTCGCACTCCTCAGATGTGGCATAGGAATCTTCGAAGCAGAAGCGGGAGGTCTTCACCGCAGCCCGGCAAATCTGGTGGTACTGTATAACTGAGAACGTACTGCCTACGCGTATGCTTCTCCCTCGGACTGCTTATACGTCTTGTTCGTTGCAGGACCTTCTGAGGATCTTAATAAGTTTGCCCGAACTGCCCAACTTAAACAGAACTGCTTCAATCGCTTCATTTTGTTTGAGTGCTGGGTTACGCGACAGCAAAGAGGCCAAGAGGGTAGCAGAGTGTGCTAAGGGCAAGCCGAGACTGAGACCCTCTTCGAAGCAGGACGTTTGCCATCACGAACTTTCCTCGCAGCCTCAACCTGTGCTCCTAAACATGGTGCCTGTTCACTGTTCAGGAGAACCTCCCGGCACGACATGCTGGAGGTCCTCAGCCCAGTGTGACTCGAATGCAGAACGGGGAATGGAGGTTTACATGATGTTTGCCTTGAGTCGCTCCAAGCCAAACCGAAACGAATATGCGTGGCTCAGGGCTCCACAATGCCACAAAGCGGAAGCAGAAGCAGCAAAGCACTGCTTGATTTCTCGGTGTCTTGCTTATATCTTCAGCAGTGGTTTCCTCGGCGGAGGCTCTGAGCGACTGAACGTAGACTGCCTCTGCCGAAGCGCTGTCGCCGAGGATAGCAACCGGACGCCAGAAACGCCACAACATGCCAAACGAGGCCGTGTCGAGGTGCCGTGCTTGTGTCCCGAGTCAGCCTCTACCTACGCAAATCCCGCTTCAACCTCTTGTCCCAAGCTCCCCAAGCCCTTAATGCCTTAGTGGTGTGCTATCCTTGATGTCCACACGGGCCTTCCGTCTGCGAGCGACGGGAGGCACCACGACCGGTATCTGAAGCTACTCCAGCGGCTGCTCGCCGGACGATGATGCAAACTCAAACAGCTGCTCGCCGGAAGATGCTTGAGGCGCCGTGTGCAAGATCGCAGCAGGTTTGGCCACGGCAGCTGAAGCTTCAAGCGTGTTGATCTCGACCATCCCGCTGTCGAACACAGAAACCACATGAGTTGAGCATGGGGCAGGAGCGTCGTCATTGCACGACGGCTTTTGAAGATCTCGGCTCGCAGCCGCTGCGGCAGAAGAGTGACCTGGTCGAGCTTCCTGGCCCTGGTTAGCTCGGATCTGTCTCGCTGTTGGTTGGATTCATGGCCCGAGCTCCGAGGCTGGACCAGGCCATCCAACGGCTCACGCGTCCCGGCAGCAATCCTCTCTCGCGCAGTTCCGGATGCCCGTCTCCCAGTTGGATGCCCCAGGCAAGCAATCAAAGACTACATGCACACGGAGGGCTTTGATCGCCCCCTCGTGGACGCGTGCCTGCGAGGTGGTCATCCTTTGCCGGCTTTGCGCATAGTTCGCAGCCGCGGGGTTGGCCAGGGCTTTCCTGCATGGAGGAATGAGGGCCTGTTGAGGTTTGTGATCGGACAGTAAGAAACCAGCAAGTTCACTGGCCACCAGGGGCTCCTGTTGGAACGTTCAAGGGTGGCGACCCTACGACCGAACTTTGCATGGCCCCAGTGTTCACTGTTGAAACCACAGGATTGTCCATGATATGCCAGCATCTAAGCCCCTCCGTGCTCAAGTTTTTGTTGATTCATCCTCGCTGAAGCATCTGTACTTCTGCCCTTTTGGCTGTCATGAATGAACGCGCTGGAGGACTTGCAGGACCAGGAAGGTTGCAGCTCTTCTTATTTGTGGTGTTGCTTCCCCCTGCTTCTTGCGTGACCAGCACGACTGCACTCAAGTCTGGATGCCTCAACCAATCGGCGCGAAATGTACCAAGAAATTCCCTGACATACCCGATTCCGGAATTTCCGCGACAGAAGTGCTTCGCTTCTCTCACAATTGAATCCTACGAAGCCTCAATGTCACAACATTCATGGACACATGGAGCCGTAAGTTCTTGACGCACCTGTAACCGTGGCGTTGCATTGACTCCGATTCGTGTCGGCCGACGGTGCGGCTTCACTTGGATGGTCCTTACTTTCGGGGATGCAGCAAAGCAACACGGCTGGCGTGCTTAGCATTGGCAGGAATAAACAGCACGGCATAGCACGGCGCGCGAAAGACGCCGCACAGTGTAGACGAGAAGTCGCGCCCGGCAGATGGGGAGTCCTTCCAAAGCAAGCTGCAGCAGGAGGAGCAGCGCTTGTGTCCCGGCTATTTTGGAATGGGGGGGACGTTGCACTGTGCTCTGAAGGGATGAATGGTCCTGATGAACGGGTGTAGGATGCAGCAGGAAGTTGGTGTCCAAGGTGCTCTTGCGAGCTCGGTTGGTGCATGCACTTTAAGACTTGACTAGCTGTACAAAGGCTGTACCACTTGTCCTTTCGAGACAGGCAATACCCGCATCGTTCGCGCAGCAGGCAGTCCGGAGTGCATGTTCTATCAGAGGAATGTTGCATCCCAAGTCAAGTAGTCATCAAGCAGTTGCGGTTCAAGCCTGGAAATGCTGAGTTGTTGTCGTGTGCAGACCGACAAATGCATCACACTGACAAGTTGCAACCTGCATGGCACGCAATAGTTGAGGAGACGATGCAGCCAGTCGCAAAGCGCTTCGCGACTGAGAGCCCCGGTGGTGCTGAAGCCAAGGAGAGTGCTCTGACTTGAGGCATGTTGTATTCAGTATTCTGCCCTGGCAGGGTGTTGCTACTGTAGATGCGGCGGGTTGATGTGTTGTAGCAGTAGCAGTAGCACATCTCAGTTCGGCCGCGGTGAGGATTCTTTTCTTGCTTGGTTCGCAGTGGTTTTGCGCTGTGAGCGGCTTGTCCGTTCGCCGATCCGAGCATCAGTCGGTGCATCAGCCCAGCTGGTCACTCGGTCACCGCCGCTGTTTGGAGCAGATAGGCTTGCTGCTGAACATACATGCGTTCCCATGCGGGGCTTTCTGATCTTGCCAGGATTGCCTGATGAAGCTCGCGGTTTCGGATTTATGAGCGTGTGGGTCTCGGTATGTCTCGATTTTGGTGTTACAGGATGTTCGTGGTACAAGTTTGGGTATCAGGGGTTTGTGGATTTGTCGTAGTTCAGGGCTTACATGGTTTCGGTATCGCACCGTAGATATTGGTGCAGAAGCTTTCGCACGGTTGAAGCCCGCAAAGGACCTCATGCTTGAGGTTGTCAAACGAAATCGTGCCCTAGGTTGAGGCAGTCCTGCAGCTTCCCATTGAGCCCTGATGCTACAAACCTGTCTCCTGAAACACCGCCTTGGGCGAGCGGCGGTTGTCTCGCAGTGGCGGCCAAACATGCTGTGCCGGCCAGACCCAGGTCGTGTCATGGAGTTTGCCGCAGATCAGGGACCTACAACGATGGTTGCTGATTCAGCAGCAGCTGATTTTTGAGCTTCTTCGCATCTTAAGAGAAGCCGGCTGTTGGCTGTTGGTTTGAGCAGGCAGTAGTCTGGCGGAAGAAACAGTTGCAGCTTGACTCCTTGAGGGGGGGAGTTGTTGATAACGCTTCGTAGCACTGTGCAACACAGTGCTCCTAGTAATTAGCGCTTGGGCGGTGCAGGCTTTCTCCGCAGTGCAACAAGCTGGAAAAAGATACGAGTCACATCATGGTGTGCTACATCAGCCCTAATTTTGGTGCACTGCTTGCTGGGGCCGCTGGCCGCCGTGAGGCGAATCTCACGCCCTCCTACGTTCCCAAGTCGGCAGCTCGGGCTCTGAAGCTTTCAGCCGTTTGATCCAGAGTCTTGCACGTCGCTTGCACGCTTCTGAAAGGTTCTTCGTGATCTTGCAAGAGCTTCCAAAGCTTCCAAACGGAAAGCCCGGCACTTGGAGTGTCCTGTCCCGTTGCAAGGCTGCGGAGATCTGCGAAGTTCCGAAGTTTAGGTCCAACTTGAAGCAGCTGGCAGAGATGGCCACAGACCACGTGGTGGAAGAGGGCGAGGCCGACCAGCCTTTATAAACTGGCATCGAATACCACGCTCTGCCCTGAGGTTGTGATGGATTCTTTAGGCCAGATGAAGAAGCTGTCCAAGTGGGCCATCTTCGAGAATCAGGTAGGATGAGCTCAGACCGCGCCCACAGCATCTCAGCCTCATCGGACAGGTGATCCACAGATGTTATGCGCAGAGCACTCAGTGACTTAGTGCAGGGAACTGCTTTCGTGCCAATTTTCCGAACCGGCCGCAGTGTGCCGCATAACTGCCGCTAGGTGGTGGATGATTGGCGTCCTAACGGATCACTATATGCGTTCCAGAGATGCGTTTAGAGAGAGTTTTCTGCTACAGCAACACGTGTGGGTACATCCGGTTATATCATCTGCCGCAAGCACAGGCTGTGCCATCGACATGGACTCCGACAACCAGTACTATCCCTTCTGCACGACATTGGCAAGGATCCCACAACCGTGCCTTTTACTTGAGGTATCTGTGCTCCACTTTGAAGGCAGTTCGGAGGGGCACCATGCGTAGTCATATGTCGGGAATGTAGACGTCTAGCAGCCACCGCACAACCGAGCAAGGATGCATGGCCCGCAGGCCTTTGCCCTGCAAGGACAGCCGTGAAGCCTTGGTCCGAGATCCTTGTTCGCTCTCTGGGGAATGATCAAGATTTGTTTGGTCAGAAACTCAGAGAATGCTCCGTGCACCTCAGCTGGGTTCCGGTTCAGAAATAGTCTGGCATCGGCAGATCGTGTCTATGTCTGCTCATTGGGGGTGGGCATCTTCATGAAACTGTGGCGTCGTTCGCCGTTCGGCCTCCTAGCTACACTGCTTCCAAAGCCTTGCAGCCCAGGCTTCATCATGCTGGGAGCCTACCAGGATTCACGGCCAGCCACCCCAGGAGGGCCTCCAAGCGTGAAGTTTGGGATGAAGGACTGGGCTCCTTGTTCTGGCATTGCACGTCCAGTCTCCAGTGCTCGCTTCTTGGATGCCAGGATTTCTTTGTCTTCATTGTCTACATGGCCATGGCCTAGAGCCTACAAAAAGCTGTCTAAGAGAACCGGCAACTCACTCTTTTTTGCCCTTCCCGTTCGAGACTCGAGGCTTTGCCGTTGCCACAGATCTTGCACTTCATCTTCCGGGAGTATGCCTGGCCGATCGATTGGGGTGGATCGGCTGGTTTTCCCGCGTGCGTGTGCGTGCGCGCACTCAGCAGCTTGTGAGACTTGTGCTTCTTTCGAACCGGGAGGCGGCATGGAGCCGACCAATGAGTGGGGCTGGAGCTACATGCAGGTCGGTCTGCAAAACGTTGGGTTAGACGGAGGATGTACAAACCCGGAATGACAGGTGAATTCGTACACATCGGATCACAGGTGGTATCTGGGCATGGTTTTCTGCGTCCGCGCCTTAACTCGCAGTCGGCGAAAAGCTCCGCTGCGCCGAGTCGCCGAGGCCAGGTTGTACCTGGAAATATGCGAGCGCATCCAGGCCACGAGACAGAGATCTGAGATAAGTTACATGTATGCGGTCAGTTACCCAAAGCCTTTCCTAAGCGTTTCGACACCAGCAGAGAAGAAGCTGTCATGCGAAACACCAGAAAGTACGAAAGATGGAGGTACCAGGCTGGTTGCAGGGCATCCTGGCCACAATCCCGCACCAAGCTTACTTTCGCGGGACGGAAGCAAGGTATTCTACAGTTTCAACTGTGTGTCCCCTCAGGTGTATTCTGCCAGATTCCGCAGTTGAAGGCAAGGGCAAGGGATGACGCGGAACGAAGTCAATTGCCTGCATTGATTGCCAGGTCCCGGCCGACGGCCCTTCACCTTCAACATCTGCCAAAGTGAGACTGTCGTAGCCACAGAATGCTGGAAGTAACATAGCAGACAGCACCTGTTTAAAAACAGGGATCGTGCAGTGAGTTGAGGAATCAAACTGAACTGTATGGACTCGCTGTTGTTTCGTCTCTTTGGTCTATCGTGTCCTTCTCACAGGCCCTGCAACCCCGAATGCTCAATTCTGAAAGCAAACTACATCCAAATACCCGGGCGGGGTCACGCGGGTTGCCAGTGCAAAGGAGTTTCTTGGGCAACAGTAGGGCAACTTCAGATAGGATGCTGGGAGCTGGCACAGCAGCTGGAGTGGGAGCTGCGCTAAACGTCCCCGTACTTCTCAAATATGCAGATGCCTGAGTTTCCCACCTCCATGAAGAGGCCAACATGCCCACCTGCATCAAGACGCGAACACTTTCGCCCCAAGCAGCAACACCTGGGAAGCAACACTACGGGACCGCAATTTGCCGTGGCTGTGAATACCGGTTTGACAGTGCGCGCAAGCAATGCTGCAACGAGCCAGCAAGGATACTAGTGACCTGCTGCTGGTGAGAAGACGCCGCTAAAAGCACAGCTGCGAGCTTTCTCGTTTCATGGATGGCCAGCTGAGGCTCAGACGTACGTGATGTGGACCTTCTCGTGGCTCGGCATGTTATGTGTGTGTGTGTGTGTGTGTGCGTGCTGCGCAGCATGGTAAGAATCAAATGACATTCAAGGAGCTCATGTGATGTCGCTTCTAAGGTGGATCTTCAGAAACTTTGGGACCGGATGCCCCATGTACATGCGCTGGGTGTCGTGGTGCCTTGTTGAACAGTTGACCACAAGTATCAGGTGAGCTGGTGTAGATATTTCGAGTGCACCTGGTAAGGTATCTCGCGTTCTATGTTTGGAGCTTCCACTACTTGAGGTGCCGAGCTGTGCTGCCATGTTCTGAACGATACGATGTGATGCTGTGGCGGTGTTGTGTCTGCCCCTTTGCCAGACCCACAGTGGCATTGCTGTCCAAGCGGCTCCCGAAGGCTCGAAGACGCTCGGAGTGTGGAAGCTCTTTTTGTTTTCCATCTCTTTCGCGTATCAAAGGGCCCGACGTGGTCAGCCGCAGCCCTGGGTTGCAGCATGTTCATCGGGGCCGGCTTCCCAGCTCGGCAGCTCGACTCTCCGAGAGAGTCGGAGGAGCTTGAAAAGGAGAGTGGGCCGTGGGTCTCTTCAGGTGATGATGGCCTTGCTCCTGCCCGAGACAACCGAGACAGGGCCAGGGCCAGGGTGCTTCCCTTTCTGTGAGTGCTGGCCAGGTTCCACTACCCGAACAACGTCCTTGAGAAAGGCACGGGTATGGCGCGGGCCTCGGCGGCGCGGCGGCGCGGCGGCGCGGCGAGAAGAACCCCGAATCTTTTGTCTTTTCGGAGGCTTGGGCTTGGCTCGAGATCGGGGTCGACATCCTTCAACCCACGCTCTTCGTGTGGACATCTCAGAGCCCTGATTCGCTACCTCCAGGAATCACGGCATTCCAAGAGAGCTCGAGGTTGGGAATGACCTACGTCCCCTTTGACCTTGCCTGGCGGGTCTTCCCAGTGGGGGTTGAGGGTCTGCTGTGGCTTCTTGTGGTGACAATGGGAGTGTTTGCACTACATGAGATTTTCAGGTGGGGAAACACCACGTTGGGTGCATATGTCTTTCACTTCTACTTCCGAGATCATGCAGCGGCCTAAGAGGACAGCACCAGCACCACAGACTCCACGGAGCTCTGAGACTTGAGGTGGCAGTGCTGACCATGAGCATCTGCGACGGGCTTGCCTGGGCCCGGCTCTCAAAGATGCTTCGCAAAGGCTCCGGTGTCTTGACAGAGTCCTCAGTTCCCAGGATCAGACTGGACTTCTGGTAGTGGCGGTGATTGTCTGCCCGCCTCGTTTGAGCGACCTGTTTGCAAGCGACTTATGTTGAGACTCGTGTTTCTGGCAGTTGCTGCTCTGCCTGGTATTCACAACCTTTCTTGGTCCAGTTGGGTGCGCCCGGTCCTGCACAGTGACCTGCTTGCGCACTTGTGCACAGAAGGTCTTCGGCATCGCAACGGCATGTGTTATGAGAATTGACTGGGAGGCACTACATCCTGCTGTCGCCGACGTTCTTATACGCGCGCAGTTGCCCTACAGCGAGTTTTCGACACCAGTCGATACAATCACTGTCAGCCTGAGGCATCCATCGCATCCTGAATCGCAGCTGAGCAAACCATGGCTTCATGCATGGACTGTCTAGGTTTGGCCTCGCAACAGTACAGGTTAACTTGATTCAAAGTTCTGGCCCCAAATTTCCAGCTCCACCACCCGGACACGGAACCTTTTGCACGGCGGGTCTTTTGCAGACCAAGCTGCGCAGCAAGTCTTTCAAAGACCACGCTGCTTGGTTAATTCTGTAGGTTTCCTTTAGTGGCACTGCGGGAGTACTTGACTCTTGCAGAGCCCTCTGCTGATGCCTTGCTTTGGCAAGTATTCTGCTTACTCAGTGTCGGCATCTAGCTCTGACTCGACTCTGTCTCGACTCATCGTGTTCACGATGCTTGCTCAGACTGCCGGAAAAGTGCGGACAACACTGAACCGGCTGGGTTGCCAGCTGCTCCTAGCCTTATCGCTCTTTGGGGTTGCCAGGTAGCAAGCCATGACTCCTTGAGGTTTAGGTCAACCCCTTTGCTGTGCCAGCTGCAACTCTTTGCTTGGCAGAACGACTCGTTTCTTGGGGCAATTGATTTGAGAAGCTAGTGAGAGCGGTTCCAAGCGTTGATTTTTTTCAGCCGCGGCTCGTTCTTTGGCCAAGAGCTCACCAGCGGTCACTCCGTTAAGTGTTTGTAAAGAAAGGTTCTCCGAGATCTATTTCTAACAGCCTGGGTTCCCGTTCCAGATGACAATTTCTGCAAACGCCTCACGGTCACATCCGGATGGTCGATTGGTCGCAGAGGCTTCAGTTTCGTGCGCGACCCTGCGTGTCCGAGCCCTTGCTCCTTGGATGGACTCTGCCCGCCTGATCTGCACCTTCCAATGCTGAGCTGTGCTTGAGTCTGCTGCAGCGCTTAATCCGCTTGCTAGCAGTTCTTAGATTTTGGAATTTTGGCTCTGCGAAATCGATGGAGCGGGTCCAATGCAATGCTCAGTCACTCAGTGCATCTCAATGTCGTGTCGACCGCAGATGCTCAGCTCACATCAACTCATGCACCAGACCAGACATGTAAGTAAGAATCACTGAAGAGTCATTTCCGAAGGTGTTCCATGCAGGAAGCCAATTTGCCCGGGTGGAGTACCACTTCCGGTGGCTACATGCTCGCGCACATCTCACTAGATCTGATGCCGTGTCCCGGCGCTTGGCGCGATGGCCGTCCAACAGGTGCCATCTCTTTGGTGCCGTTGAGCACCATTTTGATCACAAGTGGGGATGTGTCTTCTGCTTATGGCGAAGGGAATGTCAGCCCCTGCCCAAGCCGCCCAGAGCCGCCTTCGGCGGCTGCTAGCAAAGCAGACACAAGATGTGAAGGTGCGAGCAGCTGCGATTCGCAAGAGAAGGGGTTCGGGCTTAACTCATAGATTCAAAATGGGAGGACTTGGAGGTCGAGCTGCAAGAGCGTGAGGCAGAGCGTGTACACCTGCTGCAGCTCTTGGAATACAAGGAGCCATCCGAAGCTTATCTTGCTCTGAGCCCCCGCTTGCAGTTTTGGGAGTCTGGGAGAGTTCGCAGGAGCAAATTCTGCAGCAGGAATCTTTCGCAGCAGAACGGCTGCGGACAGCATTGTGCTCTGCCAAGGGCTGCAAGCAGCCTCTCTGCTGCAAGTCGTCCCTGGTGAGTTTCAAATCGCTCGATTGCTACGCGAAGGTACTATCTGATCCTTTGTGTGCTTCGCTCTTGGAGAGATGCCGCCCTGCATGCCAACACCCGCCGGACCTTAAAAAGAGCCAAGGAGCCGAGAGTGAGAGTGAGAGAAGAGAGCCAAAAGAAAACCGCGCTTTTTGCGAAGACTCTAAACCCTGCTCTGCCCTGGCGGCTCGCTGGCGTCTTCCTTGTGAGGAGCAGAGTGTGGAGGTGGTCCTTCGCCATGCCTGCAGTGCTTTGGCCATGGGGTTGAGGCGGGCGACAAGTCGACGGACGGAGGATGCCATGCACGAGCCCGGACTCCAGACTCTTCTCCTATCTTGGACATCCCGACTTGTTTCATAGAAGTCCGAGGCTGTGGCTGCATGCCGCAGCTCAGCGGCTTCAGGTTGCAACTGCCGAGGCTATTTGCCGCTGCTCTTCGTCAGCTCCTGGAGAGTTCATGGAGTGCCGATGAGTGCAACTTGCACTGTTTGGGATTGAGGGCGACGGCCCGGATCACTTCCCTTGCCCCGCCCTGCACCCTGACCCGGAAAGAATCAGGGTTGCCAGTTGCCTCGCTGCATGTGAGTCAATGTGAGTTTCAGTTACTGTTTGGTGTCTGCAATAAAGTAACCATGTGGCAGGCCTTTTGTGGGCTTGTGGGCATTCATCCCGAGCCCTCATCTTGTCTCAACCAGAAATGGAAGTGCAAAAAGCGCAGGCTACCGCAAGAGACTTCCCTCCGCCGCTGCCGGTCAAGCAGGACAGTTGGGGGGTTGTGGCAATCCCGACAAGTCAGTTCTACGAGTGCCAGGAGGCAGCAAAGAGTGGTCACGAATTGGATTCGGGCATCGCCAATTGGAGCCTGGAGGCTGCGCACTCAGACGAAGCTTCGCCTCCGTGGTCATAGATTCATAGATATCTTGTCCACTGGGACTATGACTTAACTAGGATCCGCGTTCATGGGAAGAGACCCGAAAGTTGAGAAATCGGGTATTGGTGTTGAAGGCCACCGCCTCTGTGCCACGGCACGAAGAGCTCTCCGAGCTCGCGGAGGTCGCGAAGCAAGGACTTTGTAGAAGCGAGTGCGAGCGCATTCTGCCGGATGCCATGGGCAGGTCGCAGAGTACGAAGCTCTCGTGGCCCGTCTTCATTCCGAGCTACGCTGGGAGAGATCTCGGCGTGAGGCCTGTGACAAGGTCGGCCGCAGAGCGGAAGCGCACGCGCTGAAGCGCACGCTGCGGCCGCCCAGCCCAGGCCCTGGAGACGCTCCGTGGCTCCTACAGCCGGGCGCCCGACGTCACGGCACCGTAGGTGTAGGTGGCAGGCACTGCATTACTGCGGCACACTGCACGGTGTCACTATCACTATATGTCTCCTCTCCAGGCCTTCTTCTGAGCAGAGCGACTGCCCATAAAAGTCTCTTCGCCTAGTCGAGTTGGCTTGAAGCCGGCTCGATTCGCAAGGGTTAATGCAAGTTCGGTCAGCTCAGACTGCTGGGTCCCGTAGTGAACAGAACGAGCCGCTGCGCCTCATTTACTCCTTGCATTTCTCGGGATGTTCGACTGTGAAACGCTTCGCATCGGTGCGGCTCGGACGGATCACGACGGAGCTCCAGTCGTCTGCTCTGCGAGCGAAATGACCATGCTTATACGTTTACGCCAGTCTACGCTTACACGTTCTGTCGTATTCTGTACATTAGACTCGGCTTGCCAACACGGTGGCCTCGTTTAGAGCCGGAGCAGGCTCAAGACTCAAGATGCTTGTGAAAGGGCTGAGCGATTGCTCTATGTAGGCCGCAGCTTTCCGCGCGATGCCTTCCTTTCGGTGGCCTTTCGTGGCTTAGTGAAATCAATCGTCCGGAGATTTGACGGACGGGAGCTGAGGCAGCCGCTGGCCATCCGGGTTTTTGGCGCGTGAAGTCACTGCCTCTGCAGGCTGCAGCCATGCCTCCTGGCTCTCCGAGCTTAGATGACTTCATCCTTATGAAGGCACGTCGTGCAGCGCCCGATGACCAGACACAGCCTTGCGGGCCTGACAGGTAATCGGCAAGGGCTCCTATGGCAAGGTCGAGTTGTAGTGTCACCAGGTCTGGTGCGTGCTTCCGATCTCTGCTCTTTCTGCAGGTGATGCTTGTGCGGCACAAAGCCGAAGGAGAGGACCATGTCTATGCAATGAAGATGCTCAGAAAGGCACTGCCAGCTTTCTTGATGCTAGCTCTGTAGTACCAGCTTCCAGTCTGCAATGCTCTTGCCAGGAGAACGTGATAAAGCGTAACCAAGTAGAGCACACGAAGACGGAAAGAAACGTCTTAGAGGCAGGGCAGCATCCGGCCTTGCCACGTTTGGAAGCTTGCATTACTTCAGATCGCAAGGCTGTGTCTCATCCATTCATCGTGACTCTATATTACGCTTTTCAGACTCCAAAGAAGTCCGGCCCCCAAGCCTCGACCCTGACAGCCTCAAGCCTCTTTGAATCTGATGTCGAGGCTGTACTTCGTGCTGGAGTACTGCGCGGGCCTCGGTCGTCCTGTAATAAGTAAGGCAGGCGACTGCACAGGGCACAGCAATCTGCAGGCCCTGGTGGAGAGCTTTTTTTCCACCTCAGCCGAGCAGGGCGCTTCTCAGAAGGCCGTTGCAGGCGCTTGGAGTTCTGCGCTCGCAAGCGGTATCACCTTGATTTGCTGGGTACTAGTCTTGCACATGCTGATTGCTCTCGGGGGGCGTGGCTCAAACTTATACTTGCAGGCTAGGAAGTCAGGCTGTTTATTCATTCAAGTGCTCGGCCAAGACAGACAAGCAGGCGTGGCGATGGCAAGCAGATTTTGTTTGAATCGCAACGCCTTACAGGCTTCCTTTCCTTTGCCAGCACTTCGTGAACCTAACATTGTCCTTTCTGCGCCATGGTGTTCCTTTGCTTTAAGGGCTTCATCCGTTGGCTTCAACGAAAGTGCGGCCGCCGCTCCCTGAAGGCGTGAAGTGACCAGTGATTGGAGCGCCCTCGCCGCAGCGCCTCAGATGTCCTGACCAGGTGCCAACGTCCACCTCAAAGGCTTGCAGTGCCCTTTCCTGGCCAACTCTGTTTCCCAATTTCACGCTCCCTGACTCTCTCCGTCTCTCTGTCCCTCCGCCCTGCTCCCAGGTTGTGGCAAACAGGCCTGGCCGCACTTTCATGGAAGCCTTATGATTTTGCTGCGTCCGAAGAAGCTATTTTCTGCAGGAACTATGCTTCATGGCCACTGCGATCGGCTGCGATCTCAGTTGAGCTGTGTTCGAGAGAAGTAGCAAGAGCAACCGCGAGATGGAAAGAAGGAGCGATAGGACATAAGGATTTCATAAACGCACAGCTGGGAGTGCTTAAAAGAAGTAATGATAGGAGGAAGCTGTACATGAACACTGTTTCAAACGAGAAGCGGAGCTTGAATACAGGCTAAAATCACAGGAAAGCCGTGGAAGAAAGGAAAGGGCTGCCAGGAGCCAGAAATCCACAGAAAGCGAAACACGCAGGCAGCAGAAAGCAAAGAAGCTGATGGAAAGGTGGAGACAACATGGCTTGCGTTTCCAGTTGTGGTACACGGGCTGTGTCTCATTCTCGTGCAGCTTCGCCTCGTCGAGTTTCGGCCAACAACGCAGGAAGAAAGCTAAGGCAGAAAAAAGGTGCCAAGTGAAGCCAAGTGCCTCCTTTGCCCCTTGCCGCAAGGGCTTGGACTTCGATCTGGCGAACGACGAAGCGTCGCGTCCCAGAAATTCCTGGAGTTCCTGGTTCTTTGGAGGCTCCGGTCAGGCCTGGGCCTGGGCCTGGGCCCCTGGGCCTCTGGGCCCCTGGGCCCCGGGATTGGGATCGAAGCTCAGCCTCATCCTTCAGCCTGGAGGACTCAAACCGCTCCGAAACCACGGAAGAGACTGCTTTCCATGACCACGACATCGAAGAGATGAGTGACGACCAGTGCCTCGTCTAGACCTGGCGGGCCCAAAATCAGACGATTCGCATGCGGTGGGAGTTTCATTCTCTTCAGGAACGACAGTCCATTGCAGCCACGCACAATCTTCCATGCCTTGCACCTCTCCTTCGAAGAGATTCGTCCGGCCCCCGTCTATGTAGCCGTGCATCATGTTCGCTGTGCACATGTTTCCGTTCTTGATGGGTAAACGCTGTGTGTCCAGGTCTTCATCTTGAAGTCAGGAAGCATCTGGGCACGTTCTGAATTCTGAAGCGCTGCCTGAGGCCAAATTTTGCCGGAATTGGCTTGGAAAGGCTTCGATGCCGTTCAGATCCCTCCTGCTCAGCTGAGCCCACGAGGCAAGGAGAACAAAGAAGGATTTGGGATGTGGCAGTCAGGCTTTGGACCAAAACTCCCTGCCCGAATGCCAGGCGATCTGCGTCAACACTGGTATCTGCGGTATCAGCCACTGAGCCATCTGGAGATCGATCCTGCACTGGGCCGTGTCCTCAGAAGTAATTCACGGCTTCTGCAGAGCAGGAGAGTGAGGACACGTGGAGGCACTGTGTCTTTTCGGTTGCCCGAGGTGGCTACGAGGGCCTGCAACGACTCTGCGAAGATGCCGCCAACCTCCGCGTCATGGTGCCCCTCGGCGATCCAACAGAGAGAAGCAATGAAGCTTGCAAGATAAGCAAGACTGACAGCTAACATCTGCTGAGGATTGCAGACTGCGTGTTCAACCACATGGCTGTTGTTGCGTCCTGCAGCGAGTGGCGCGAAGCGCAAGAGGACCATGGGAAGCTGGAGGAGTTGAAGGGCAGACTGGACCGGACCTTCGGGCCACAATTGGATCGGAATGACTTCCAGTGGCCGTGGGTCTGCCTGGAAGGTCACAAATGGGATGACCCCAACTATATGTTCGAAGGTTGGGGCTGCGGAGAATGGAGCGAGCTGCGCTTCAGTGACAAGGTTGTGAACCTGCACCTTCAGCACCTGCGGCAGCTGCTAGATTGTGGTGTTTCCGGCTTCCGCAGCTTGGCTTTTGTGCATCGAAAAAAACTTCCATCCAAAGACGTAAGATGCAAAGTTCAGCAGATCTGAGGTCTTGATGCTGCCAAGCACATGAGGCCTGCCCACGTTGCACGATATGTTGACTACGTTCAGCAGGAGGGGGCCTTTGTCTACTCGGAAGTTCTTTCCATGGATCGCCACCTTCACTCGCAGTACGACAAGCTCGGCAAAGGCGTGCCATCTACCGACTTCAAGGTAGCCGCTGCTATCAGAAATGCCTGGCGCTGTAAGAATGCTGGGGGAATGGTGTCACAACTGTCTGCGGCAGAGAGCCTGGGACATCACTCAGTGCAATTTGTGCGCAACCACGACACCATGCTCAATGACGGTCCTGCCATCTGTGGTATTGATTGGCGCAGCGCAGAGGACGCCGCCTTGCCATGGGCCTATCTCATAGCCCGGAGTGAGGGCAGTGTGCTGATGCATCAAGATGATGCGAACTGTCCGGTGGTTCAAGCCGCGCTTGGCTTTCGAGCTGCTTTGGCTCCATACAACCTCAAGTGCGAGATGAGGGCCTGGCCTCCGCCACAGTTCGAGACCATGCAAGTCCTCCTGACACTTTCAGACTGTCCCATTGGATTAGCCGTGTTCAACGTCTCCACCAAGAGCCTTGACTTTGGCTTGCCGTGGGCCTTGGAGGGCTTCAGCCTGCAAGAAGTAAAGGCGCCGACGCCGCCCTGCGAAGCTTTGCAGGCCGAACCTGTCGAAATTACGAATTCGACCCATGTCGGAATTACGAATTCGACCCAGCAACGAAACGAGCGTGAGATAGAAGATAAGACAGCAGATGCCTGTTCACCGGACGGGACTGGCCTGCTGTCCGGGTTGTGGGCGCAGCGACGGTCACACTGTGTGCAGTTCAGAACGATGGCCAGACGCTCTCCCGCTCTGTCAGCCAGCAAAGCAGGAATCATGGAAGAACTAGCGAAGAAGACGAACAATAGTGAGATGAAGGCAAAGAATCAACTCACTGAGTGCACTGGCTTCTCACGGAGGTTCATGTTGTGCAGTGCCGGTCGGGTTAGAAGGCTGTGCTTGCGGGACGCAGAGGATAGCTGTGGGCCAGGGCAGGGGCAGAGGAAAAAGAACGCAGCAACAGGAAATTCTGCACGATTCGCACCCAAAATAACTGACGAGCTGCACTTTGGCAGAATGCGCACGGCCGGCGCGGCGACGCGAGGACGAGAGGCACCGGACAGGTGGCAGCACGACTTTGGAGGCGGAACCGACCAGCACTGGCGGGAGCGCGACGAGACCAAAAGTGGCAACCCTTCTACCAGGCAAAAAGCTTTATATTTTTCGAAAATGCAAGCGGCATCTGGGTGAGCGGAATGCGATTTTGACGATGATGGTGCAAATCGCGCAGGAGGCGTGGAACCGGCAGCAATCGAATCCCCACCACGGCGTGGAGAAAAACAAGGAGAAGCGAATGCCTTGCCTGTGAGCGTCTTGATATATATATATATATATGTATCTATGTATATGTATATGTATATGTATATGTATATGTATATGTATATGTATATGTATATGTATATGTATATATATACACATAGAAATAGTGCTTTGTTTTTCAGGCTGGGTGCTCCCTCTCGGAGCTGGACCGTCGCATCAGGCCCAGGGACGCGCGCTTCTTTCTTTTGGAGTGCACTGGGGGACCGGTTCCGGCGCCAAATCCCGACTTGCACTACATGACGCTTCTTGGCTGCAGTTCTAAAGCAAGTCTTTGAGGGCCAACGGACTCTTCCAGTCACAGGCTCTTTTATTTCTCTGGCTGGGATGCGCCCCATGTTCATTTCTCCATCGACAATGTGTGGACAGAGAGTCCTGGCTGGCCTCTCCGCAAGTCCGAGAAACCAAGTATTCGAGGCGCATCATGATGCAGGAAGCGTGCAGTCCGAAAGCTTTGCCACATCCTGCGCGGTGTCCCTCCAGGTTGCCCCGAGTGGACTTTCGTCTTTTGCCTCAAATGTAAGGGTTGCTCGGCCTGACAAGACGTTGCTGGTTTTTCAATCGTCTCGCCGACTGATCTTGATCCCATTGTTCCTCTCTTTGTTGGGGTGCCTGAGGCTCGAGGATCCCAAGACCAAACAGCAATGGTCGGTGGTGGCGCATTGATATACCTGTGCAGAAGAACAGCTCCATGGAATTTGTTCTCAACGACAGGGGCATGAGCATCTTGGCTGTGCGGACTTGATGCTAGCGCTTGTCATGTGTGCGGTTTTGCAGCAATGGCTTCATGTGCCTGATGATTCAGGTTGGGACAATGCAGTACATGGAGGCAACTACATGGCCCAGATGCCGGGACTGCACATTTTGGCAGAGGGAAAGCTTGCGACGCTTTGATGCAATTGTCCGCTGGCTTCCTTAAGCCTTTGATAGGCTTCCGTCTGTCGTTTCTGTGGACTGGATCAAAACAACATGTCGACGCAAAGAATCATACTCCGTGTCTAAGGAGCTTCCGCAAAGAGCAAGGTAGATCGTAGTTGCTGTGCTCTGGCTGCGCGAGAGCACGCTGATGTGGCACAGCATAAAATTCTTTGTTTTCCGCACGTCAAAGTGATTTGACGGATGTGCAATTCTTCCCTGCTGGCACTCGGGAGACGTCTGCCAGCTGCCCTGCCAGAGGCACGCCAGTGCGCACAATGTCAATTGAATCAATTGACCATCTGAAGGGCATTGGCCCTTTTCTCCATGTTTCCTTGCGCCTCTGTTGCAGCAGTTGCTTCGAAAGTCGGCAGAGTGTGGTGTATGTGTATGGTGGTGCCATGGATGACGTGATGTACGGAGCCTTTTGCAACCCAGTCCGCGACCCACTTCACAAGTCCAGAAGCGACCGCTGTCTGAAGCGCAGCTGCCTGACAGCCTGGAGCGCATTGACCTTGGGTTCACGTGCATGGACGCTTTGTGCACATTGTTCAGATGCAAGATGTAAGCTTCAGCAACAATGAGCAACGCCTGAAATTCGACACCTACCTTTCAACTGTGAGCCTGAGCTTAAGCAACGTGGCAGTTTCATCCTTCCGCCACAAGTTCAGAACTGTCCCGGCAGTCTCCACAAGGTCGTGCGTTCGGAGGCAGTTTTTGCGGTTTTCCTGCAGCACCGGTCGCAGCAGTATCTTCGGTGGGGCTAAAGGTCACCACTTTGAAGCGTGTCCTGGAATTCATCTCGTCCATTAGCCCTCCGCTTACCTGATGTGAACTGAACATGGCTAGCAAGAACATGCAAGACATGGTGCAACGGTGCTGCCTGCATTCTCGTTGGACCAGGATCAATCAATCATCGCTAGAGGCCGAAGCCAGATGAATCGCGCTGGGGGAGTGCAGGTCAGAAAAAGAGACAGGCTGCCTGCCACTTTTCAGCGCGTCCCTTGGTTCCTCGAAGTGCAGCAAAGCCCGCCTCGCGAAGCGGGGGGTGCTTTGAAGCTTTTCCTTCCATTTAGCGTGCGTCCCGACCACTCGAGTCCGGAGTCCTTTCTGCTAGGGCGCTTGAGTCATTGAGGGCAAACTGCTTCGAAGCTCAAAGCGAAGAAAATACCACCGCAGCCATCGAAGCATTTGTGCCGAGCTCAACGAATCAGCCTTTAAGACTAGTTTGAATGTGTTTGACCCAATTCTGTGGCCAGGAGTGTTTGAAGACAGACATGCGAAGCAGAAGCGATGTTTTCCGAAACATCCTCGCAGTCCGCTGCATTCAGTTGTCCATTTCCGAGACTTGCAGACGGTGGGAGAAGCGGACTGGACATTGCAAGTTTTCGCTTCGCACAATCTTGACCTTTGCTGTCTCCTGAACGTGGGAGCCCGGCACAGCTGCAATGGTTTCCCTGTGCAAGCGAGGCAAGTGCATAATCATCAGAACAAAAGGCGAAGCCAATGCGGGAGATACTGAAAGGGACAGTGTGGATGAGTCGCTACCTTGACTAGATGTAGACCTGTCCAGCTGCCAGGTTCTATACGTCTGAAATTATGCTGGCGATTGAATATTTGCACAGGCGGGTGGAACTTGAAGTGTTGTTCTTCGGGAGTGACGTCTGCGTCGTGCTCATGCTTTCTGCACAACCCCTCCAGCGACGCGGAAAACACGCGTTATACTCGTACCTTTCATGACACTACACCCTCTGCAACCAGCCTGAGCCTGACGCAACGCCTGATTCGGCTAAACTTGCGTGCAACTGGCCAACTGCAAGTTCTGTCCTGACTGGGCAGGAAACACAGCCCTCATGAACAACTGCAGCTCTCAGGCCATCAAGTTGCGCAAGCTCCCCCCAACAAATGAATCACAGCCTGAAGCTTCACGGTGTTTGGCTTGCAATCGCCATTTCGTAGTGCATACAGGGTGGCCACCTTAATGCGCCGGACCTGAAATGAAGCCAAGCCACATCCGCTGTTCCGCGAATCTCCCGACAGCAACTGCAGCCCACGTGGTTTGTCTAGCTCCGAAATGCGAACCATCAACCTATGCAGGTCCTCAGCTGTTCTTACAACATCTTTGTAGACAGATGTAGTGCCGAAGCGAACGAGCACGTCACCATCGCTACTTTTTCCTGCGTGGACCCCCAGCTCCCAAAACGGAAGACAACCGTCAACGCTGTCTCCGTGGTCAGGCACGGCTCCAGATTTAGTCTTTCGCTTGCTTCGGTCAGCTCCGGTATGGCTCCCTTGCCCGTTGAAGCTACCGAACCGACAATCAGCAGTGCCTGCCGATGCTCTGCTGGTCTTTCCGGCAAGGCAGAACTATCACAGATCCCAGTTCGTGACCGCGGTCCATTTACATAGTGCACCTTCTGCTGCCATGATCATGTCCAGGCTCCCCCGCCTCAAACATAAACAAGGAAGATGGCTCATGTTCTTTGATCACGGTGGGATCTTGCCACAGACAACTTAGTGGAACGTCACTCTCTTGCAGCTCCAGGCTCAATCTCAAGTTCGCAGCCGGCCACACCGTGTGATACCGCGATGAGTAATCCTATTCCCATAAGTGCGTGTCTCCATCCAAGAGCCCAGTCGCTCACTTCGACTGTTTGCCCGGGACCTCTCTAAGCAGTACTGCAGTCTGACACCTTGCCTTCTCAAGTTCCGGTTGGGATTGTCGTCTGATGTGGCTGGTGGTTCGTTATGGTTCGTTGCAGACCCAGCCTGTTGCAGGCTGAACATCATTTATCGCGACCTGAAGCCCGAGAACATTTTGCTAGACGCTGAAGGTGCAGACGAGTGCGACGGTGTTGCTATTGTCCGCAGAGAGGTTGCTAGGCACCCGCTTTGCTGACGGATACAATTGGCAGGCCATGTGAAACTCACGGACTTTGGCCTCAGCAAGGAAGGGATTGAGGAGCCTGCGAGAGCCAGCAGGCATCAATTGTGATCAGCTTTTTGCCTTTGAGACGGCTTGCGCCAGGACAATTTTTCAGCAAAATCTATGTGCGGCTGAAGTCTCGGTTAGGCATGATCGTGGTGACGTGCAACTGAACGACTCGAGCCGTGATGCCAAGGTACCCCTGAGTACCTCGCACCGGAAATTCTAGACAAGCGGGGCCACGGCAAGGCTGTCGATTGGTGACCCAGTGTGTCGATTCCGCTGGTTTCGGTCTAGTGGGTTCGTGAGTTGGTGCAGGACGACAAGAATGAGCCAGCCAGCCGAATCCAGGTACTCCTTGGGTGCACTGATGTACGAGATGCTCACCGGGCTCCAGGCTTAGCAGGCTTAGCAGGATGCATTTCGCCGCCACCTCGGGCACCCTTCTCGGGTTGTTTGTGGATCGAAAGGCTGCCTCCGTTCTACACGCGAGACAGGGACAAGCTCTTTGAGGTCGGAAGTCAGGGACGAGTCAGAGTCAGTGTGAGTCGAGAGTTGCATCGGCGAATTTGGTGGCCAGCGCATCCGGCGGGGCGACCTGACGTATCCGTCCTACATCACATCCATTGCTGGGGTCTTGATCAGGCCAAGGTCTGTAGTAGCATAGACCTTAAGAGCAGCTCCTTAAGGCCAAAAACCTTCTTCAGCAGCTCCTCATGGGAGTGCAGCGCCCGGACACGTCGGGCAGGTCTGAAGGCAGAGCAAAGTCCTTCGCATCCCAGCGCCCTGAAGAATTGGCCCAAAGGCTGCAAGGCGGCTCGGAGAGTTCCAAGCATGGAGTTTCGTCATCGGCCGGCCGCAGCCATGGCGGTGGAGCTCTTTCAGAGCATCCTCCGTGGAACTTCATCGCAAGGCACGCTTCTTCAGCTGCTAAAACTTCCTGAGTGACTTGGCCGTGCTAGGAATGCCGAAGATTTGCGGCAGCGGTTGTTGTGTAGCACATTCATGTGCGTAGGGACAACCGTCGAATCGACGTGGATGCCGCAGCTGCTGCTGGCTCCACGTCCCCCGACGAATTTTCAGCTTTCCGGTAGACCCTCTCGTCGCCATGGCCTATCAGTCCGCCGACGTGGTTGCGGCGTTGGACATGATCCGCCGGGCCGTCGCCGCCGGCGACGACTTGACCCAGCTCTTCTCCGAATGGAGTGGGCTGGAACGTCGCGCCTTGGCCGCGGCGATCAATAGCCCCGGCGCGGCCCCAGGCCCCGTCGTTTATGGCGATTCATTGAGGGTCTCTCCGGCGAGTGTTGGTGGAGCAGCAGCAGCGGCGCAGTCGGCGCCGTCCGACGACCCGTGCCCGGAACCTCCTGTCGACAGGCAGCAAGCGCCTCCCTCGGCGCACGCAGGAGGTTCCGGGGCACCGTCGTCCCCGGCAGAGCTTCCGCCGGCTGGTAAGCCGTCGGGTGGTGGCTATCCGCAGAAGCCCACCCGCCCGGCGCCGTCGGTTCCAAAAGGCGGTCCGCCGCAGATGTGGGACCAGCTGGGGTTCCTCTGTCGCACCGACGCGGAGCTGGCCTACAAGCACCACCTCCCGACGGCAGAGGAGTACTACCGGCGATATTCGACGGTGCTGCCGGACCGCATCACCCCGTCGACGGTGATTCCGACGGTCGCGCCGGCAGCTCCGCCGGCCCCATCAAGGACTTCGGTGCCGGCGCCCGTCGACTACCAGGACCGCATCGCCGAGGAGCTTCGCCGGCAGTTTGCGGAGGAGTCGCGGCAGCAGCGCACCGTCGAGCCCCAGGTCAAGGCGATGCCAGCAGCGCCGGCACCGTCGCCGCCGGCTCAGTCGGGAGCATCTCGCAGGGCACCCACACCGACGCCGCGAGAGATGTACCCCGACGCGGATCCGATTACTGGCGCCGGCTTTCCAATCCTTCCCCGGCGGCCGGGGCAGAACGCCTCTCCCGCCGAGCTCGAGCGCCACAGGCGCGAGTACCGGCGTCTGGCTCACTTCCGCCGGATGCTTTGCTCGCAGGAGTGGCGAGACCACGTCGAGCTGATGGGCAAGTCCGGCGTGCGGTCCGACGTGCCGCTACCGGAGCCGCTCCGGCCCCTCACCGTCGCCAACCTGGAGCACTTGGAGGACATTGAGAGGGCCGCCGCCGACGGTTCCACAGCCATGGTACCGGCGGCCGCCGCAGCGGCTTACTATGTTCTGCGAGCGCTGCCGCCCGGCGTCCGGGGAGGCCGCATTCCGGAGAAGATCCCCGGCGAGATTTGGTGTGTTGGGTGGTGTGGGCACCCGTGCACCAACGGTCGCTGCCGCGGCATCCCCGGCAGATGCCTCCGTCCGGTTTTGATTCGGGCCGGCGGCACCGTCGACTTGGATCGCCACGACCACCATGAGTGCGAGGACTGCCACGAGCAGTCCCGGCACCGGTGATCCCGGTCGGCCGGCCCCCGTCGCTATCTCACCGTCGCCGTCTTCTACAGGGTCGACTTCACCGACGGCCTTGTCGCTGGCGACGTGGGAATTGAAGCTTCAGGGGGTGCGTCGGTGAAGCCTTCGCGGGCCTCTCCCGACGCCTTAATTTAATGCCTTTTCTGCCCGGCGTTGTAATCGCCCAGGGCCCGACTCAGAGCCAAGCAGGCGCCACCGGCGCGAGAAAGGAGGGAGGCCGTCGCAGTGCAGTTTCTCATGCTTGCCCGTCGTTCGTCGTGCACCTGTTTTTCTTTTACCTTTTTCTCTAGGAGGTTCGGTTGGCTCGAGGCGCCCAGGCCGGCGCACGCCTAGGCACCCTTTGGCCCCATGCGGCCCAGCCGTGGACAGACGGCGGATTTCGGCCGGCTAGTGAGGGCATTCGTCGAGCTGGGGGCATCCGACCATTTGCCCCTGTTGCCGACGGTGGGCGCCGTGGACGTCGACTCCGCCCTCGCACGGGCCTCGGCGTTAGTCACAGCTGGCGTCCCGGCCACAGTCCTCGAGGCACTCGCCGGTTGGAGGTCCCGTCGGGAGGGGGACCCTCCCACCGCCTCGGCTAGCCAGCCAGAGGGGCGACGGTCCTCAGGACCGGCCCCGTCAACTCAGATCGTGCCGGCGGGGCCCGCGATAGGCCCTCCGCGACGGCCGTAGTACCGACCGACGGTCCAGTAGTGGTCGCGGCGACGGTTCGCGGACCAATCCCGCCCCCGGCGACGGTCCCTGACAGGAGGGACACCCGTCGAGCGTGCAAACGCACCGCCTTTGAAGCAGCCCTCCCGGAGAACAGGGAGGCGGCGGACCTACATTGGCAGCTGTCGGCGTCCTTGCGGCATTGCACGGTGACCCGGCGGCCCGATCTGGAGCCGGCCTTGGAGCGGGTACTGCTCCTCTGGCGGTCATGGCGCCACGACCTGGCGAGGATCCGGCGGGAGGTGCTACAGGACATCTCCTACCTCGTCGACGACATGGAGGACCACACGCAGCGCTGGCTGGAGCAGCGGTCTCCGTCGGTCACGGCGACATACTCAACACCGGGCAAGGCGAGACCCAACCCGGGCCCCCGACGGTTGGAACTTCAAGACGACGGCACTCCTTGACAGGCCAGGGGCCGACCGTCTGGTCCCGCCGCCGCCGGGCCAGGCCTTTGCCGCAGCCTCCTTCCCCGTCGTGCAAGAAGACGAACAGGGAGGAGCAAAGGTCCGTCGCGCCGAAGACTGGCGCAGGTCTGGACACAACTCCACCGTCAGGGCCCACGACGTCCCGACGCACCATTTCGTCGACGACTTCGTGGATATGGTCCGGCGAGTGGTCGACCAGGCGGGGGGGCAGGGGACGCTGGCGAGGATATTCGGGCACGACCTCCTCAACGCCTCCCGCCAGTGGCCGGTCAAGCACCCGGCGCACTCCGGCACCTTCATCGCGGGCCCAGCCGGCGTATCCCTCTGGTTTCATATGGCGATGTGCTTCGGCGCCGCCGCGTCGGTATGGCACTTTAACAGGACAGCCGACGCCCTCCAGGCCATCCAGCGGGTGCTCCTCTGGATCCTGGCCGGCCATTTCGTCGACGATTTCAACGGCGTCGACATGGACGAGTCGGCGGACTCGGCCTTCCGGGCGATGGCCGACTTCTTCGAGCTCGTCGGGTTGCAGACGAAGCCGTCCAAGGCCCAGGCCCCGGCGACTCAACAGACAGTCCAGGGGGTCCTCGTATCCGTCGAGGCCGACGCAGTGGTCCTGCAGCCGACCGAACGACGCGTCAAGAACGTCCTGACGACGATCGACGCCGCACTGGCCAACGACGAGCTCACGCCGGACGTGGCGAACCGCCTGGCCGGCAAGCTCAACTTCATCACCCAGTCGACCTTCGGCGCCCTGGGGAAGGCAGCCCTCCAGCCCGTCTATTCAAGGGCACACGACGCGGCGGCCACGTCGGCCACGTCGCTGTCGGCGGGCCTCCGGGCAGCCCTCACGTCTCTCCGGGCCCTGCTGGCAGACATCCGGCCGAGGAGGGTATACCCATCATAGACGATGGGGCCCCGGCGGCGATCATCTACGCCGACGCCTTCTACCAGCCCGGCGAGGTGAAACACAAAGCCGGGCACATACCGGCAGAGGTCGGAGTCCGGCCGGGGACCCGAGGCCGGAACGGCTGGGGCTTCGTCGTCCGCATCGGCGCCCACGTCTTCTACGACTGCGGCGTGGTGCCGGCCAAGTTCCTCGACATTTTCGCCTCCCGTCGGGCATTTATCTATGTCCTCGAGATCGTCGCCCAGGTTCTGGCGCTGGTCACATTGTCCCGTCGGTTACCCCAGAGGTGGCTGGCCTTCATCGACAACGTCGCCGGCCAATGGGCACTCACCAAGGGGTACGGGAAGGACCCCGCCGTCAACGGCGTCTTGGCGGCCTTTTGGTCCACGGCGGCTCTGTCGGAATGGCTTCCCGACTTCCGTCGGGTGCCGTCCAAAGCCAACGTCTCCGACGCAGTGTCGAGAGGAGACCTTCACACGGCGGAAAGTTCCGGCTGGGAGCGGGTTCACACACCCGTCGAGTCGATCCTCAACGTGCTCTCCCGGGCCGCCGCCGACCTGGACTTTGCGGTTAACGACGCCGCCGACGAGTTACTAAATCTTGCGGTGTGAGCGGGCTAAGCCGGCGCAGAGTGGGTGAGGGGAGCGCCGGGCGGCAGCTAAAAGCGTCCCCCGGCGCCGGCTTGCCTAGTACTGGCGATTGCGACGGACCCGGCGCGAATGCGCTTCAATCCATCCAAAAGAAGGGTTTCGTCCGTCGTAGCTCTTTTGGGTACCCGTCGGGGAAAACGGTTGTCGTGTAGCACATTCATGTGCGTAGGGACAACCGTCGAATCGACGTGGATGCCGCAGCTGCTGCTGGCTCCACGTCCCCCGACGAATTTTCAGCTCCCACCCTCACCGCCCTATATCATTTTTTACTTTGAGACCTTCGGGTCGTCGCTCGCTGGCGGGCAGCGGGCCGGGGCAGCTAAAAGCGTCGCCCGGCGCCGGCTTGCCTAGTACTGGCGATTGCGACGGACCCGGCGCGAATGCGCTTCAATCCATCCAAAAGAAGGGTTTCGTCCGTCGTAGCTCTTTTGGGTACCCGTCGGGGAAAACGGTTGTCTCCCGCCGGCCGAGGCATCATCTGCAGGTTCTGGAGCCTTCGAGACTTTGTCGCGTGGTTTGGCTTCTGGGCAAGCAGTCCAAGAAGCAGGTGGCAGCCGATATCCATGGAGAGCCGGCTACCGGCGCTTCACGTCAAGACGACATAGGACAGGAGTCGTCCTGGTGGAGTCTGTTTCCTCTGGCTGCGCAGCCCCTTCAGTGCTGCCTGCAGGTCGGAAGCTGTTGCTTCGGCTGCGGCCCTTCTTGCACTGCACCTCCAGCAAGGAAGTGGGGAATGCTGCTTGGGCCTATGCAAGGGCGCACCTATTGGACGCTCACTTCGTGCCAGCAGCTCAGAAAGCCAAGAAAGCCTAAGTAGCGCAGCACAGCTCACACAAGCTTCTTTTGAGAGAACTTGCGCCGGTGCAGAGCACAGAAGTCTGAGGCGTGGTCTCTTGAGATGCTACCAGGACTTCCCTCCCGGAGATGCCGCTACTCCCTTGCATTTGGTTTGAGAGCAGCCACAAGGATCGTCTCGTGTCTGAGGTGGCCTTGGCAAACCTTCTTTGGGCTTCAGCCTTGGCTGGTGTGGCACCACAAGCATTGCGAGCCGCGCTGGGACAAGGGGCCGCGTTGCAAGCGCTGGATCGTGTGCAGGGAGCAGACTTGGCTCGCTGCCTTTGGGCGCTAGGTCCCGGTCCCAGCCGGTAAACAGACCCTACTCGTTTCGGGCCGAGCTTAATGCCTCGTCTACATGGGATAAGTGCGGTTAGGGATCCCTGCAGGATCCGTTCGACTTCGACATGGTTTGTTTCTGCGTGCCCACGAGCTTTCAGCAAATGGGAAGACCCAGGATTTGTCCAACGTACTCTGGGCCTTGGCACGTGTCCAATCTTCAATTCCAGCTGTCCTCTTGAAGGAGCTCGAGGGTCGAAGGCCACTGGCCATGAGCGAACTGGTTGCTTCGACCTGGGCTCTCGCGGAGATGCGCTTGGCTTCCAGCGCCATCTGGCCGAGCGTCACCGAATCTCTGGAGCTCTACCCGCGCACCTCGCGTGCATCGAGCTCGCTCTTGCGAGCGCACGCTGTGATCATGGTGCCACCGCCACCTGCACTTCAGAAGCTTGACCTCCAAGGTGCGAGCCCCCAGACCCTCGCCAACTCACTCTGGGCCTTGGCCAAGTTGCAGCTTTCATCCTCTGTCGATGACGTTGAAGACGTGTTGAAGTTTCTGAACAAGCAACCGAGCTCTTTTAAGCCCCAAGAATTCAGCAGCTGCCTCTGGGCGATTGGGAGCATGGACAACGAGGCTGCAGTGGTTGCGTTTTTTGAAAAACTGGAGGCTCCAAACTTTCAGTGCTTCGAGGATCATCACCTGTCGCAGGTGGCGTGGGCGTTTGCTTCTGCTGGCGTAAGACGCGAAGATGTGATGAACTCACTTGCTGCAGAGATCGTGCAGCGCCAAAGCCTCGGCCTGCAAGCCCTTGCGAATATCAGCTGGGCCTACGCTTCTCTCGGCATGCTCGATGTCACACTTGCCACGCATTTGCTGACGGTGGCAGAGAGACTTTCAAACAGCGCGACCGTGCAGGACGCAGACTCCTTGCTCGGACTCCTTTGGGCCCACCGGAGTCGGACCGAAGATCACACTGCCGACCATCTAGAGACCGTGCTTGCTATCGCAAATCGGCTGCGCCAGCTGGGCAGGGATTTGGATGCGAGCCGAAGCAAGACTCAGAAGCTGCAGAGAATCAGTGAAGCAAATCGTGCTGAGACGGATAGTGAGCCCAGGATAGTTCTGCAAGTGCCAGGAGTTGTGGTCCTCTTCAAGCCATCAGACTGGGAGGTAGACACAGGAGGCACCACACATGGTAAGGCCCTGTCTGGCTTCAGCCAGATGTTTGGTTTTGGACTCGGTGAAACTCCCGGGTTCATCAGTCGGCTTGATACTCCTTCAAGCGGTCTTGTGTTGCAGGCCACAAGCTTTGAGGGCCTTTTCGTGCTGCAAGCACAGCGAGAGCTGGGAGATCTGGAACGGGACTATGTGGCGCTGTGCCTAGGATGGGTGCCAGGCGATGGTGAGATTTCCCTTCGGCTGCGGAAGGTGGGCCAAACATCAGTTGTGTCAAGCTACGGGCGACCTGCAATGAGCAGGGTGAAGGTTCTCGCACACCTGTCTCACATTGGGCAGCCAGTCTCCGTTATCGCAATACGAATCGAATCGGGCCGCATGCACCAGATTCGCGCGCACTTGGCACACTTAGGCTTCCCGGTGTGTGGGGACATGCGATACAACCCGGAACCCGCCGGGCGGCCCGGGCCCGGGTCTGGATGGCCCAGTGGCCACTGTCTGCATCGTTACCGCCTAGCCTTCAACGACGTCGCTGGGCAGCGCCAAGAGGTCATTGAGCCCTTGCCGCGGCACCTGCGCTCGTTTCTTGAGGGGCTCCAAGAGCACCAGGGCGGAGAGAATCTGAAGCCGTGGCTTTCACTTTCTCCGCTTCAGCCTCTTCAGAGCTGGGAAGCTCTGCACAGAAGCTGGGTGCCTTGTGAACCATTGCCTGCCGAAAAAGGCGATCCAGCAAGGTGACGCCACAACATAGACTGTAGAAGCGTCCGCTGAGGATCCAACCAAAAGACTTGGTGGTGGCCCCAAAGACGGAGAGGAGGTGCGCAGACAAGCGAGCTAGAACTCAGGTTGTGTCAGTTCTCTATTGCCAGGTGAAGCTTCATCCTTTTTTTTCGGGACTCGAGTGGAATGCCATACAACAGCGAAGAGCAGCGGTCTTAGGTGGAGATTTTTGCTTTGTCCAAACCGACGGCTGCCCGGCTCCAAGGTAACGCCGCCATTCAAGCCCAACATTGCCGAGGCTGTGGCCCCTTGTCCTGTCGCCAGCATGTTCTGCGTCCAAATCGATGTCCAGAGTTCGCGTCGATTGTGGAAATGCCAGAGTAGTTCCAGGGTGCGAGAGAGATCGAGCATTGACCAGGGCGCGCTTGTGTAGTCCGACTGCTCCTCTTGACTGTGTGGAAGAAGAGAGCTCGATCGATCACGTGTGCAGGGTGGCGACGTGAAGTATTTCGACAAAGAGTTCGTCGATCTCCCAGCCTGGGCCTCTGTTCACGGGCCCCTTGGGGTGGTGCCGCCTCAACGAGCGCAACGCAGGTCGTGAATTCTGAAGTCGCCGATGGCGCCCATCTGCGAGACATAAACCACTTCGAGGCGCAAATGCACCCGACAGCTGCCCGTTGCAAGAAGCCCTTCCAAGAATTTTAGCTCTCCGCCCAAGTTCCTCGAATCACACCCATCTGTTCACGAGCCAGGGCTTCACGTACCAAGCCAATGACCCCGAAGATCGTGCGATGGCCGACGGCTAACCTCTCGAAAAAAACAAATTCGTCGAAGATGGAGGAGTGACTTAGCTTTTGTTGTACAAGCAGCGGCAATAGGCAGCAACAAGACAGCACTAAAGCACAAGTCACTCCTCCCTCTTCATCTTTGCAGAGAGCCCCCTTGCCAGAGGCTAACATGACCTCTGAGGGATCACTGCGCCAATCGAAGCGCAAAGTTAACAGAGTTTCCTATGTTCGTGGACCAAAGGTGATCGATGGTCGCGACAGCAATTGCTGAACCCGACTCTGCCTTAGGCCCAGATGCTGCGGCGTGGCTGTCATGCCATGTGAGCCGGCTGTCAAGCCGAGCTCCGAAGGTGTTGGGTGTCTCGTTGAGGTGCCCTGGGCATTTGGCAGAGTTGTAGTGATTGCTAAAACCCTGTACAAAGAGGAATAGCTAGCTGCAGCCTGCTGGCGCACCTTGCGCCTAGCGGAAGCGAGCTTGAGCAAGACAGGTAGTGCACGAGGTGGAAACAATTTCATGTTTGCTGGAGATGCTGCTTTGAGCTTCTTTGAAGGTGTCTGGCTTTCCGGTAACATCCGATTTGTCGAGCCGCTTGTCTGGGTCAACATGGTTCGGCTTTGCTTGTGACGGATTCGGACTCCGAAGGTGTGAAAGTCGGCAAATGCGATTGTCTGCATTCAGCCATTGCGTTGACTGTGCTCCCCCCGTGACTTCGTAGCGCATGATTACCGAAAAAGGGTGCTGCAAGACACCTCATAATCTAACTTCGTCGAAGGCAATGTTTGCGAGGTTTCAGACCACCTGTGGGCTTTGCGGCTTGAGGACGACCGATTTGGCAGGTTGTCGGGAAGGAGCTTTGTCGCAGTTTGCGCCCGGTAGACAAGTCCGGATTACGACTTCTCATAAACTACCTGCTTCACGGACCGAAGCCTCTGCTGACGAGGAGCATCTGAATTTCGGTTAAGCTCGGGATTATGCCATGCGTCGCATCGACTCCAGCGCTCACTGTTCGAAGAGCAGCATACATCACGTACTCCTCGGGGCTCCTTCGCCTCGCCGGTTACCGGTTACCTTCTGCTCTGCCTTGCCTGCGCACAAGGCATACCAGGGGGCGGGGATGCGCGGGGCGCCTGCCCAGCTAGATGATTCGTGAAGGCTAGCAAAGCACTTCTCAACGTTTCTTACATACTTTGCAGATTCCTGGTTCTCATGGCTCCCGTTGCGGAAATGCACGATTTTCTGCCCAGCCTCGCCCCACCCATCCCCATGTCTGCAGTTCAATATGTCCAGGCCCGACAACAGACGGGTGGGATGTCGTCGTCGCCAGTCTGTGCATCTTTGTGCTGGATGAGGCCTCGCGTGTGGCGGTCAGCAATGTCTAGCACGCAAGGGCACGGATGGCAGGTAGCGAGTCAAACCAAAACACCCAACAGGCCGCCTGATGGCATGCCGGTTTTGATCCTTCGCGTGCGGGATGCACCCTTAATCAAAGCCTTTGGCTCCTGCCCTTGACGATGGCAGTGTTGAGTGGTCATGATGCGTGCAACACCTCGGGCTTGCCGTGAGGCTGGAGTGACGGGTGCCACACGCGTCCTCCTCCGAGACCTCAAATTTGAGGCATCCAGACAGGAGCGTCGCAACGATGTTATCGCCAATGGTTTGCTGTCGTGAGTCCGTTGTGTGTTGACGCACATGCCACGTCCCCGTCGTGGCAGCACCGCAGGCGCAGCCTTGGCTGAGGCACGTGGGGCCACCCCATCGTTGTCGACGTGTTGTCCTTGGTCTGAAGGTTCATGGTCGCTGGAGTGCCGAAACAGCTAGCCCCTCGCAATGTGCAGCCTGTGTTGGCGCTGTTGTTGGACGATGGTCTGGGTTTCTCACCGTCGTAGTTGTGTGCTCCTTTGCCGCCGGCTAGCTTCCAATACCGCCAACCTTCACGAAAGTTCGCCTCTCTTGAGTGAGGTCGGTTGGTGTGCAGGGCATCGCAACTGGCGAAACCTTTTGCAGGTTCGTCTGGCATTGCCTTGCCCGCCACGTCTGCTTGTCTACCAATTCGCTTTATGCGATCAGGCAGAGCAAGCAGCTGTGTGTGGCGTGCTGTGTGCAACCCCTGACCCCGATGCCGACCGTGTCGTCGTCTCCGTCGTTTGCCGCAAAGCTTACGACACCATCTTGCGTGCCGCTGTCTGGCGCAAACTGCGATGAGTTGCCATGCTCTCGTCGCTTTCGTCCGTCCTGGGTAGGCCTAGTCCTGGAAGTCGCAGGTGACTTAAGCGCGGCTGTGGCCCCGCAACACGATATCCCAGTTGTCGCTGACAAGCGCATTCGTCCGTCGCAAAGCGAGGTTTTCTCGCCCTCGGCACGCCCATTGGCCATCCGGTGTATGTTGCTGCCCGCACCCAAGCCATCTTCCCGTGCTGCTGGACCTGCCCAGCACAGACCCCACCCGACATGCGGCGGCAGCAACAGTCGGCACCCAGCACGGTATTTGCCCAGGCCTGGCTTCAACCATTGCCCCACGCTGGCGGGCCTCCTCGGCACACTGCTGCTCCCTCGCCACCCCCGCGGCCAGAGCGGAGCCGCGTTGCGCGACCGAAACCTCAACCGAAGCCTCCGTCCGAACCCGGCAACAAGCGTTCCTAGCACCGCGGCGGCAAGCGCTGGAATCGCAGCACCAAACGCCGCACGTGAGCGTGACCCCAGCCTGCGCTTGGCCGCTGCCTTCCTCGGGCTTGTGGCGCCCTGCTCACTGCTATCAGCGACAGGACCCGCCTCCCCAGTGTGTTGGAGCTACGTCACGAGCCGAGAATTGCGTGCCCAGCCCGAGCTCTGAACCTCGCCAATGCAGCCGCAAAAGGCTTGCCATGGTGCCGGCTGCGCCTGCTGATTTCACGAGCCGTTCCAGTCCTTGCCGCTTAGGCCCTTGACAGGTGGCCCGGCCGAGTTGTAGGGGCGTAGGCACATCAAAACGCCGAGCACGAAGCGTTTCAATGAGGTGTGCGAGAAGAGAGTATAAGCAACCTCCTGCAACGGTGCCGCGATGCAGTGCTTCTTAGGTGCAAACGCTATCACGCAGACAACTTCGGAAAGGGATACGACTTTACCAGCCCGAGACACCGGGCAGGCGTCGCCGCGAATCTCGGCGAGTGTACAACCGTGCTGGCAGGCCTGCTCCTCCTGCAGATGGCATCGCCGAGCTCGGGGCCGGCGTATGGGGGCGACGCACCGAAAGAAGAACGCGGGTCCGTTGCCCTCAGCACCCGAATCGGGCACCCAACGCACCGACACGCGTTTGTGCAAGGAGGCCCTGCAGGAGCTCCCATGCGAGCTCCTGGCTTCTCCTCGCCATGTGTGCCTCACCGCGTGCCAATCACATCTTGCGGACCCTTCCGCCAGACCTCTCTGCCAGCTACGCGCGTGGCCACGACGCTGCAGTGTGGCGATGCCTGCTCGCGCTGTTGGGGGAACAGGTCGACGACGAGGAGCCCGAACTGGCTGAGGCATGCCGTCTCGCGTTGCTGCCAGCTCGTGGGGGAGGACTGGGCTTGCAGTGCGCCCTTACTGGGCAGGCTGGGCCGACTCGCTGCCCGTGCTGCACGCTCACCGGCTTGACGCCGCCACCAGTGCCTCGCAGAACTTGCTGCAGGTCCGGGCTGTCGCCGCCTGCCTGTGAGCTGCTGAAGTTGGCGGGCCGCGCCATGCCGCGCCTTCGACGCCGCCGGATGACACGTGCAATGCGACTTGCTTGACCCTCTCGAGAGGTGTCAGAGCTGACAGCACCATGGTTCCCGCGCCTACCGAGATGTTTTCTGCCTTGCAACCCCCTGCCCATGCCATGCTGCGTTCGCGGGCCGGGCCACACGCCGCTGCATAGCTCAGCTCCATCCCCGGCGAAGCCGGATCCGCTTTGCCTCCTGACGGCATGCTCATCGCACTGTGGTGGCGGCAGCGGTTGCCCGGCCTTTTGCGGCCTCGCGCGATGCAGCCGCGATCGCCGTCGCCGAGCCGCGCATGCATGCAGCTTATCAAGAACGGGTCATTTTGGTTCAAGTTGCTCGTATTAGTCAAACCGATACTTGGTGCATATATAATGCACCCCATATTCGAAATACCCCTCGTAGCGATATAATCGAAGTTACGTGCGAGCGCAATATAGGCTAGAGAGAAGAGACAATTAATGAAAAGAAGAAAGAAGAACATTATTTAGCTATATTTAGCTACGATATCAAAAAAATATACGCTCGACCGATATAGTCCCAATTTCATACTCGTAATAGACATGACAGACCAACGACGCCTATTTTCGTTTCTATTCGAATAAACAGGAATCAGTTACGAAATAAAAATGAGCGTGTGCTTTTGGCCTAAGTGGGCGTGCACTACAGGCTGTTGCAAACCGCAACCGCGGATTGTTCGTGCTCTGGTGGCGAGCGTCGACAGCGCCTGGGTGGCGAGCCCTTTTCGCAGCCCCTCCCTGGGCGGCAGCTGTAGCCCCTCCCTGGGCGGCAGCTGTCGGGGATGTGCTGCAGCGTCTCGTCGGCCGCATGCTCGCGCAGCACTTCGCTCCCCATCTCCAGAAAAGGCATGCATGCCCCATCAGTCTGGCCTGAGCACGTGCTCCGGCATTGAGGCCGTCAGCCGTCTGCTCCGCGCCGCCGCAGAAGCACCTCCCCGCGCCACCGTCCTCTCTGTGGACGCCGTATAATGAAGCCGGGTGCCGGCTCTCTGCACAGCGACGGCAGCGGCGCCCAGGGGCTGCAGGAGTGTATGGCGCAGCGCCGCGGTGTGTAGAGGCAAGCGCGCACTTAGCGGGATAGTGCTGCCATGCGGTGGACGGGGGGGGTGCCAGTCGGGACGGCGGGGCGAGCGGCCCGCGCCAGGCTCGGTGAAAGCGAGTGCAGTCGAGGGTTCGGCTGGTTTTGACCACTGTAGCCGCTCGACACGGAGGCTATTGCAAGCAAGGCAAGAGGCACTTCTGCATTAGTTAGCCGGAGGGCGACACCATGCAGCAGGCGGGCGTCTACTTCGTCGTCAAGCAAGACACGGATGTGCTCGTCGGTAGCACCGGACGGCCCAGCACGTAAGGCTCCCGCGGTCGCCGTTGCGGGTCACGGAGTTCGGCGAGGGTGTTATCACCGCTGGGAGCAGGTGGTTCTGCGGTCAAGGCGCGTCTGGCTGCGGACGCGTGCGGGAGCAGTTTGCAACGTGAAAATGCGCACACGGCAAGTGGCTTCCAGGTCGACGGCGTCGAGTGCTGCGACAAGCCCCTGACCAGCTTCTGCAGCCGCGGTGGCTCTTGCGCGACGTGTGCCAAAGGTGGAAGCTTCGGGGTACTCCAAGCAGGTTGGCTGGTCAACGGCCCGGGGGAGCTGGGTTCCGGGCGCCATCAGGCGGGTATGGCGTCCGCGCCCGCCCGCGCCGGCCACGTCCATTGCCTCCACTGGCCCGGCCGCACGCGCTTGCTGCGCGGCGGTTTTGAGAAGTGCGTAATGGCAAATAATGGCAAGCATCAGTGTGGGCCTGCAGGCGCCGCGGGTCATCTTCGGCGAGGGTGTGGGAGTCGCGGCTGTGCCGGAAGCGCACTGATCCGCGCGCCATCGTTGCAACACGTCGGGTGGCATCTCGCCCGAGGTCGCTGCAGTCCCGGGGCGGGCCTGAAGCGAACCACGCGGCGGGGAGGCGGGCTGGCGAGGCATGCTCGGCTATAGGGCTCGTGGTGCAGCAGGGGGAGCCAGGGCCGGCACGGCGTTTGAATCGGTAGGGTGGTTGACGCACCCGGCGGTGCAGCTTCATCTCGCGCGCCGTGCAGTGCGGTCGAACACCCAAAGCCACTCGCCACCGCAGAGGCACGGGTTACAAGCCTCAGCCGAGCTAACATCCTGCCCCCAGCCCGGGCACAGCGAGCCAGGGCGACAGCCAGCCAGGGCGCCATGCAACTACGCCAGCGCCGTGCCGGATATGGACGGGCGCCCATTGCATCCCGGGGTCCGGAAGTCGACCCTGCCGCCAGCTGTTGCAACATGCTGCAACCCGATGGGAGCACAGCAGCATTCATCTTCAGCGCTAGCCTTGTTGGGCGGCGTCCGGTCCCGTCCTCAAGCTGGTGCGCTCTGGACGAGACCGAGCTCACCGAGAACGGGGACTCTGGCGAACGGGCAGCCCGCTCCGTTGTTGCCGAATGGGAGGTGCGGGACAATGACAGAAAACTTTCTACAACCTAAATAAGAAAACGGGGTCGCGAAGGCTCCTTGGACTAGCAAAAGTTGGTGGCAGGCTACACCGACGAGCAGCTGGAGGCAAAACAAATTTTTCGATTAGCATGATCGGTCCCGGATGGGCGCAGAGGAGAACGGTAGGGGCGGCCCACCTGCGGCGCTGCAGACTCACAGAGGCGCTGGCTGAGGCTGTCGCAACTCTCGAGCTGAAAGCGTTCGATCGTGGGCTGCTGGTCCAGAGTGCGGGGGCCGCGCAGCTGCCCGTCATACGGCCGAAGTACGGCTTGTCGGCCTTATAACGGATGGACGGATGGACGGCGGGCGCGCGACGACGGACAGACGACGCTTGCGTGGCGGATGCGCGCCTCTGCCGCGTTGCCGCCGCACATCTGTCGCAAATCCGTCGCCGGTCCGCCGTGCAGCGTTTCATGGCATTTCAACGGCTGGATGGCGGGCGCGCAACGGACAGGCGACGCTCGTGCGGTGGACGCGGGACAGACGCGCGACCACGCCGTCGTCGCTCCGTCGTTGTCGTGTCGATCAGCTTCTTGCCTAGTGATTGACACATTCTTCTAGAGCTTAGATAGCTTGAAACGGCAGAAGCAGCAGGGGCACCAGCACACAACAACCATAAACAGACACAGGCCAGCAAACTGAGGCCGCGACAAAAAAAAGTTTCTGGTGGGTGGTGCTCCGGGTGGCACTGCCGGGCGGAAGGGCGCTGCGGCGGAGAACGCAGCGTGTGCAGCTGTCTTGGGCTGGCTACCCGCCTGCAGTTAAAACCGGCAGAAAGGTAACCAAGCACCCGCCTAGAGCCGAGGCATCGGCGCTCTTGGGCTCTCTCCTTATGAGGGTGCGGCACTGTGTGTGCAGCCACGGCGGGAGGGTCTGAGGGACCGGCTGCAGGAGGAAGGGCGAGCTGGAGGCCTGCAGGGCGGGAAAACGGGATCGGCAGGCCCATGCGCGTGCAGCCAAGGTCGGCGCAGCAGAGCTGGCAGGGGAAGCGAAGCCGCGAAAAAAGCCTGTGCCTGGGGGTGCATCCTGCCGTGTGCAAGGGTGGAATCGCTGTGCACGGGCCTCATGCCGCGCCTAGCATTTACTCTAGGTTCGAGGATGATTACCTCGCCCACGATGTTTGTTAGGCTGAGGGCGGTGAGCAAGGCGAGCCGTTGATGCCCGCCTTCCATGCCTTGGCACAGCACGCCGCGCTCGCTGATCTTAAGATCCAGCTCCTCGACGGTTTTTGCTGTTTTCTCGTTCCTTGTGGCGACGTCTACATCGTCGCGGCGCCCAAGCGCATCTGCACGCGTTACGACGCCCTTGCAGCGCGCGGAACCGTTTCCATGAGGCCAAAACGCGAACTTGGAACTCTGCAGCAAGGAGCCGACGGGCATCGCCGACCGTAGCACCGCTGATGGGGCCGAGCCCATCTGGGTAGGGGAGTGGTCCCTCCCACCTGAACACCAAGGCCTTATACTGTGCTCGGATCCCCTTCGGACACGACGCTTTTGTTTCACGGTGCTTCGCGCACAAGCGCGAGGACCAAGACCGGCTCCCCCAGCGCCTCCCCAGATTTGATGACATGCGAGGGCCAACTACCTGCTACGCATTTTGCCTCCCCACCTCACTGCCGCTTACGCCGAATCGCATGACGCAGCAGCTGCCTGGTGCTTGGCCACACTGCTCGAGCACGAGGCCGACCCCCTGCCACACCAGAGCCTCAGCATTGCCTAGCGCGCTCAGCAGTTTCGGCCTCAGCTCCGGATAGTTGCCCGTGATCCACCGGTGCAGCCCCGGTGTGGCTGCCCGACTGCTTTGCGCTCTTCAAGGCGATCGAGTCCTTCCCTGTGCCGTTGCCGCCGTCCTTGCGCAGACACATCTGCGAGCCCTCGGCTGTGAGACTCCGGACTGGGCAGCCGTTGACACAGGTTCAGCTGCCGTGCCCCCCCACGGTGACGGAGAAATCTCCCGCGACCCTTGGCCTGCCCAGGGTTATGGCAGCGCTTTGCCTCCCGCGCATCCGATGCGTGCGCCTTCGAGACGTGTATATAGTTACCCAAGACCTGCGTCTCGAGCGCGGCTGCTGTCGCAGGCCGGGCCCCTTCGCCGCCCGTGCCTTGAATGTCATCCCAACTCGCGATGAAATTTCCATACCCAGCACGCAGTTCCGGGTTCTTCTTCTGCGCAGGCTTCCCTCCCCTCGCGCGGCTTGGCGACCACCGCTCGGCCTGCGCTACGTCCGGGGTCCTGGCGAGTCTGTCGCGAAGCCGGCGCTCGGGTCGCCCGCCACGTGCGACTCGCGGACATGAACCTCGATGTATCTGTCTCGGATGAGCGGCGCATTGAGGTCGTCGCTAACGGCCTTCCTTTGTGGCATGGGTATGCACCGGTCTCAACTCGCCCTACACGCCACGGCTCCCGGCGAAGACCTCCTGCCAGAGCTGCATGAGCTCCTTGCCAACTCCTAGACTGCTAGTAGCTTGATGCCGACGTGAAAAAAAACCTACCCCGAGCTTCTACGTTGTCGCCTGCGAGGCCGGTGAGGCTGGAGCGCCGAGTCCTTCCGCTTCTTCAGCCAACTTGTGAGGCTGAGAGCTTAGCGCCGAGTCCTTCCGTTTTTTCAGCCAACTTGTGAGGCTGAACGCTTAGCGCGCTCCTGCCGCCCTGGGAGGTGTCGCCAAGCAGGGTTGGCTGCGCCGCTGGTGGGGTTTTCTAGGTGTGGCTTTGCAAAGCACACTTGCTGCCACGCTCTTCGGAGCGCCGTATGATCCATGGCGCCATGCTTGGCGCCCAGCTACCGGCTCCTGCGGTGCTGCATGATGCAGGCCCTTCCACTCCGAGCCTCCTAGGCCCGTAGCACGCGTTGTTTGCACTGGGACCTAGACGCTGTTAAGGCGGACGTCAAAAAGATGCTTTGAAAAACAAGAATCAAGAAAGCGAAGTGTGCCAAATGTGCCGGCGCCGGCACGAGACGTGGGGCAGGCAGCCTCCAGGCCTAGCGGGTGCCATCGGCACTATGTCCATTTTGGAATTGATGCAGCATTCATCGCTTAACTTGCGGCTTTCTTCAGGCGATTGCACAAGTCCTGATGCAAAAAAACTTGCGGCTTTCGTTAGAAAACGCTCGGTCCAGACGGTGTGCAGTTTCTGTCGGGGAATGGGATGGCAGCGGGAGAGCTCTCATCAATTCCATTGCACAGCCCCCGTAGCCATTTTGGCTCAAGCCATTTTGGCTCAAGGTCAAGCCGTGTAATTTTAGACAGCGGACGGGCGGCCATAGAGAGACTGGCGTGACGTCGCCTCCAGTGCTCTCTTTTTCTTGTGCGCGTTGTGAGATGGAGAAACCAGCATATGGAATGACGCCTCCAAGTCGGTCTACCAAGCAACGTCGTACAACGTCGCCGCTTCATGAAATGGATGACGAGCCAGAATCCCTTAGCCCCAGTGCTGGTTCTCTGGAGTTGGAAAGTACAAACACCCAATGCTCCGCAGAGACCATCGCCCAGATTGTGCGTTCGGAGCTCCAAGGTGGTTTGCACCCTCTTCAAGCCCAACTGAGTGCTGACCGATTAAATGTGGTCGAAGAGTCCATTTCTCATCATGCCGTACGTATCGAGAAACTTGAAGAGGTTATGAAGCAAGACGGGGTCAAGAACACGAACGCGGACAACATGGCACATTTCCAGAAAATCGAGCAGCATGTGGAGGAGCTGCAAGCCATGGTTTTGGACTTGCAGAAAGCGGGGCGACAGACAAATGACATCACTGGTTCCGGTGTTGCATCGACGGTGGCAGTGGGGGGCTTGGGCACGCTCACATGTTCACACACGGCATCGCAGTGGCTGATGAACAAGTTGAAGGAGTTTTCGGCGCCTATTCCGACGAGTGTCTTCAGTAAGTCCTCAGAGTTCAAAGGTCTGTTGTTTGCAAAGTTTTCTTCCATGTTTGAACGCGACACAGCCGTAGCAATTTTGCGAAGTGCAAAGCTCATGGAAGGCAAAGACCACATTTGGGCCACGCCGGAATTGCCACCGGCAACACGTGCAAGGAAATTGTTCTTGCTGGGACTTCGCTGGCAGTTGGGCGAATGGGGGTTTGACAAGCGCGAAGTTCAAGTAGACGACGAGTACACGCAGATGACGATTGACAACAAGGCTGTTCTCAAGCTCAGCGCGGGCGACGACGACCTCAAATATTTATGGGCAGAACAGTGGGCTCGGTGGGATGAATTTCAGCAAAGCAGCGAGCTGGCCGATCTCTCGACGAAGGCATCGAATGTTATGCTCAAGCAACAGGCGAAGGGGGCTGGCAAGACGAAGAGCAAAAGCAAAAATATTTAGGGACATCGCCGTTCGAATCATGATGTTTCACAGTCGCACACTACAGGGGAACCTGTTTACATGGTGGATAATCCGACAACCACGGAAAACGATTTTCGATCAGTGCATGCGAATTCACATTTTTCCGTTTTCGCGAAGAATGCAAGGTGGTTACATACTCTTGACAGACTTGCGGAGCTCATGGGTGAAATTGCAGATATTGACTGGGACATTATTTTGTTCAATGAAACGCATCGGGGAGGAGACCAATGCAAGTTGCAAGACGGTCACGTACTTTTCCCATCATCGCAGAGCACAGCTTGCGCTGGTGTTGCGGTGCTTGTGCACAGAAAGCATCGCCGACATGTGAAGCGCGTTTGCTCGATCAGCGATCGCTTGATGTATGTGGATCTGCTAGGATCTGCTTGTAGGTACTATCACTTGGCGTTTGATTGCGACGTATTTGCCCCATGCAGGATATTCTCATGAAGAGTTGTGCATTGTATATGAGCAACTCCAGTGCATTTTAACGGATTCACAGCAATTGGCCAGCCGTTGTTGGAGGCGATTTCAACACACACTTGAAAGTCGGCAAGCGTGGCGAGATGCTACGTGAACTAACATTCATGTTTGGATTGCATATAGCAAATGATACGACTCACCCTGCTGATGATTGGACATTTTGCAGTTCCACGGGCGTGAAGCGGCAAATTGATTTCGTATTACACAGCCGGAACATCTGCCGTGTGTATGATGGGCCAACGGATCTCCTTGATTTGGGTTCAGATCATCGTGCTGTGATTTGCAAATTGGCAGTGCAACATCGCAAAAGGAAGTTACAACAAGGTGGCGCAAACCGTTCATTACGTGGTTGGAAGCCAGAAAACCAACATGAATATTGGACATGTCTACAGAACAAGTTGCAAACGACGAAGCCTGAGAACATCGAGGAGCTTGAGCATGTTGTTCGTTCCGCGGCCATTTCCAACAACATGCTACAACATGACCAAGTCTCGATTGAACCTTGGAAGCAGCATGATTTTCAAACATTGTTGGCTAACAGGAGAGCTTGCAAAAATGTGTCTGAACGCCGTATTCTGTCGAAGCTGATCCGGACGACGTTGCGCAAATACCAGCGCCAAAAGCTGAACAAAAAATTGAACTCATGCAGCATTTCAGGACCCCGTTCTTCGTACGCATGTAGACAACAGCAAAATGCCAAACACTGAAGATTTCACGAAGAGCTTGAGTGATGTTTTCAAGTCTGACCGCCGAGACCATCTGACAGCACACCATGGCTTGCAGTATGACACATCGTTTGCCGACATTCCCCCCCTTCAAGCTCTCCGAGCTGACGAGTGTACTACAGTCGATGAGAAACCGTAAAAGTGGGGATGATTTGGGGCTGGTGTTAGAGATGTTCAAATACGGAGGTCGTTCACTGCATGAGGTTTTACTTGGCATCTACAATCGAATGTTGCGTGATCAATGTTTGGAGCCGTCTTGGCAAGAATCATTGTTCAAAATGATCCCCAAGCCAGGTGATGTTACTGAAGTTTCGAACTGGCGGCCTATTGCAGTCTTACGAATTACGTACAAGATATTTGCCAAGTTGATACACTGGCGGATTCACCCGTTATTGGATAAACGACAAAGCCGTGATCAGGTGGGCTTTCGTCACAAACTTGGAGTCGATCATGCTTTTGCAGTTTTGGAGACAATGGTTGGAAAATGCATTGAATGGAGAGAGCCGCTATGGATCGCAAGCCTTGATCTGCGAAAGGCCTTTGATCGGATTGAGTTTGATTCGCTTTTCCATGCCCTGTCTGACCAAGGTGTGCCATTATCATATCTTAGCTTACTGTCGACGCTGTATCACTTCCAATTTGGCTATTTGAAAGATGCGCGACAGTTTCGAATCGAACGCGGAGTGAAGCAAGGCGATGTATTGAGCCCAAGCTTATTCAACGCTGGGTTGGAGCATGCGTTTCGGAACTGGAAAGCCAAGTTGAGATCACAAGAGTATCACAAGGTTTGCATGTTGGCCTCCCTGAACGACTGACCAATGTAAGATATGCAGATGACATCGTATTGTATGCAAAGACGTCCGATGAACTGGTGTTCATGATGGAAAGTCTTATTCAAGAGCTCGGCAAAATTGGGCTTCAGTTGAGCCCACGCAAAACCAAGGTATTCACAACTTCTGATGTTGAATCGGCTTTGTATCTGGACATCTGTGGCGACATGGTGGAGGTTCTCATGCCCGATTCTGTGCATAAGTATTTGGGAAGGCATTTGGATGGCAACGTGTTTCAGCGACACATCACCGAATTGAATCACAGAATACATGTGGCATGGTACAAGTTCCAATTGCACCGTAAGGTGCCGGTTGAAGCTATTCGATGCAACCGTGACGCCGACTGTATTATATGGGTTGCACACTCTTTCATTGACACAGCAGCAATTACAAAAGTTGGATATTGTGCTACGACGCATGCTTAGGTCCATTGTAGGATGGATCCGCGTGTCGACGAACCGTGGCCTGAGACTATGAAATGTATGAAATTGCGTGTGGAAGAGGCTCTCACGCAGTATCCGGTGGAAATGTGGACAACAAGACTGGCCAGACGTCAGTACCATTTTGCATCCCAAGTTGCTGAATCCGATAGCTGGGCACGAGACGTCTGCACGTGGCATCCGGCAATGAATTGGACAGAGAACTTTACTCAATGTCCGTCTCGCCGTCCTGGTCGCCCCTTGACAAGATGGGATGATAGATTCCGCTCGTTCTGTAAGCGTCATTTTCCGAACGCACCTTGCTGGACCAACGTGGCAGCATGTACAGCATGGAAAGTCAAAGAACGCGAATTTGTCAAAGACTCTATGGTGCTTTGAATCCTATTATCTTGATTTATGTTTCACCAACATCCCCATGTCCTTATAGGACCGTTGCCGTGGTGTCTCACCATGACTCGAACGGGCGAAAGCGAAAGCGAAAGCCCCTGCTTGCATTTTGCGATGGGGTTGTGCAGATTGAGCCTCCGTGGTGTTGCAATGTTGAGCTTGTAGCTTGCAGCATGATTTTAGCTCGGGGTTCCCATGGCTACCGTATGCAGAGATACGGTAGAACAATGCCGTGATATGTTGTAGTGGTCGAGAAGCACATCTTCTGCAGATGTTTCGTTTGGCACGCGGCGAAGAAGTAAACACAGTGATTATTGTTTGCAAGAATCTGAGAAGCCCGTTGCCGGGGCAACAGTTGAAGCTAACCCAGACTCGCGTCCACGACGACGATAGGTTTGCCAGAGCTTTGTTTGTAGCGATGGATCTGGTGGATTCAATGGTGACACGGAGACGGTGCGGCAAATGGTGTGGTGTTTTCGTGAGGCGCGGTGTTGGCGCTTGGACCATTGGCTGGACCGCAGCTTCAAAATAAATGAGGTGAGCGTCTGTTTGTTACACTTTTGGCGGGAGCCTTGATGGATGCGCATGTTTGACTGCTACTTACTACTAGTTGGCACCTGGCTAGGTTGCAGCTGCTTGCGCTCCGAGCAGAAGAAGCTTTGCAGGAATGGTGCATGTTTCAGGAGTGTGGCAAGGAGCTACTTTCAAGTGTGTGCCAGGAAACGCTGACACTTCCGCTGCAAGAGTGACCCGCGACAGTGTGTGCATGCGCAGCTGCCCAACTGTTGCCTGGCACAGCTTCAAACTCACAAAGGGATGTAAAGCCTTGTATGAAATTCTTCAAGGAGGTCTCCGTTCAGTTGGATCGATCAGGCCAGTCCAAGTCTCGAAGAACCGGTCTGGTGGCAAATGTACTAAGTCGACCGGAACTATTTTGTGCAGTCGCATAAATGTGCGAAGAATGTAGTAAAGCATATGTATGAGACATATATCGCTCATAGCACACGAAAGACATGTGAGACATCCATAACATGGAAGACATATCAGAGACAGCAGACATGTAACACACGCAAAGCATATGAGACCTATGTATAAGATTCAGCATGCATTTATGACATAGACGGACATGCAAGAGATATACGACAGGTACCACCTGCCACATATGCAAGGCATGAAAGACACGTACGAAGACATGTAAGGCAATGCAATATACGACACATAAGTTGAATAAAAAATGTAAGACATCCACGAAATAGATACAAACCATCATAGTAGAGCAGGTAAGACATGTAAAAAATTGATGGACGTGCGACCTGGCCCGGAGGTGGGCGGCACAGTTGCAGGTTATAGTTGCATTGTACTCTCTCGCTCGCGCTGTCCCTCACTGCGACGTGTCTGCGTGATGCCTCCAATGGCCAAGTACGGCACGCATGTTGAATGAATTCATGTATGCGCGCAAAAAATGCTGACGTCGGCGTCGTGGGCATCTGCCACCTGGGCTCCAGCAAGTATACCATGCAGTCATCACCGGTTGTGAGGTCGGTTGATGTCGTTGTTGATGCGTCGTGTCGTTTCATGTGCAAACTATCCTGGTAAAAAGGCGGCCGGTGTGAAACGTCCACTCTCTCTCTCCCTGCCCCTCCCTCCCTCCCTCTTTCCCTCCCTCCCTGCCTGTCTCCTCCGTAAACACAGGGTCACCCCTCCCTCGGGTCGGTGCGACACCGTGTGCTGAACAAGAGCTTGGATTGACACGGCTGCACTCCTGCGCAAAGTATCATAGGACAATGTGGCAGGTTCATTCAAGTGATCAGAAGCCATACCAGCTCCAGAAGCTTGTCAGGTACATCTCTCTGTACGAGCGGCCGACACAGAACGGCCATGGCCATTTACCGTGCGCCGCGGATATGTTTGGTTTAAGGGGTCACGAATGCAAGTGGGTTGACGAGGCTGCGTGTCAGTGAGTACTATGGCACCGTCTCCATGGGTAGCCCACCCCAGGACCTAGCATTGTCGACAGTTCATACAACGGTATTGAGGGCTTCGTAGGACACTGTGAAGGATTTTGACGTGGTATTCGACACCGGTTCCGGCAACATCGCTACGTCCTCAGCTTCATTGACAAGAGGTCGGGATATTAAGATGAAGACAGCTTGACATGCATAGGTGCTGCCAACACTGAAGTGCATTGACGAGGCATGTGTCACGACAACAAAGTTTCACCCTGTGGTATTGGAAGCCGTGCGCGTCATGGGCCAGGCATGTGAAGACCATCACCGCTTTTCGAGCGGCGCTTCTCGCAACATCCCTGGTGTCACAGTATTGAATACCTGCTTTCTAGTATGCCTTCGTCTACTACCGGTATAGATGTAGGAAGATGGCCACGCAGCAGACGGCAGCAGCTTCCATTTTCAATTTGAAGAATGAAGTTTCTTCGTGCGACTTTGGCTCGTAAGTTCCACATCCGGGAGACGTATGTGCGTGTGCACACGGAGACGATGGCAGCAGTCAATATTTTCATGATACCTTTAGAAAAATCACATGGTCTGTCTTGAAGCGAGTAAATATTTTTGCATGACAACGCGGCCGCTTGTCCTGCATGCGTGATGCACCTTGCTCGACAAGATGCCTTGGCACCTTATTCTGGAGGAAGGTCCCGTCCCAAAACCCGTGGCTATGTGACAGTTCGTGAGCCTGCCAAAGGATTCTTCATCGCAGGTTCGAACATCGATGACATGAATGGAATTTATGCTGCCATCCGACCGGAAAATCTCAAAATTCGACGACAGGTCCAGGTGGCATATCGCAATGACAGCAGTGGCTGGACCATGGCGCTCGTGAAGGCACCACCACAGACAGCGAACCTTCGACGTCGCCGACACTTGGACAAATCTCGCCTCCCTGCGGGAGTTTTGCCCGATTCCTCAGATTCAGACGATGACTACAGTGATAAGTTCGAATGGATCTTCATGGATCCTTTGGGCCGTGAGAGATTTGCGCACAAGGGTGACACCATCATTCCAGGAGCAGGCCTGCGATGGTGGCATCTTCATCGGGAGGTCAGCAGCTCGAAGGTGGACACCAATCTTCCTCAACTTTACTGGCACGAGTGTTTGGAAGACAACGCAGACTTCGAGACCGCAGATGAGTTAGAAGAGTCACTGAAGATCACCCCTGCTGTGGACACAGATGTTACTCATCAGGTGCCCAGAAGTGAATGCAGGGCGATCATGGAGCCGGTGAAGGACGACGAGGATGAGCTCCCTTGGCAAGTGATCGCCGTCCTGGATGGTAGCGTCATCCGAGACCTGCGTTACAGCTACCGACGATACGAAAGGACGGTGGCCGCAGCCAAGGCCGGTACGAACCTTCCAAAGCCAGCTCCTCACACACTGGAGTATTGCTGCCAACAACCGCGCTGCTGGGTCTACAGGGTCGTTGCGCCTGGAGGCTGAAGACGGTTAAAGTCCAAACTCCCAATGGCAAAGTCAGAATGTTCGTAACAGTAGCAGCCAAGTAAGCCTTGAGGGATGCCCGTTGATGAGTCTCATTGACGATCTGTGCAGGTGTCATTTTGCGCACACAGCCCAGGAGTTCTGCAAAATCATGCGGGCAGCGAGGATGTGGTCAATATGTGTGCGGCGCAGAAATTGAGGGCTGCTGGCTCCACCTCGCACCTTCACGTCGGCTGACAGAGAGCGATTCGGAGGAGCAAGTTGATCAGTGGGTTTGCTTAAAGGAGAAGGACGGAAAAGCATTGTTGGAAGCAGTTCGGGACTCCGACGTGGGCTGCTCCAAGGCCCCGGTGGAGAATGACCCGCAGGCGGAGAAGTTCGACAGGCCTTTCGAGCCTCGCCTACAAGCGCCCGACTACCAAGCTCCGAGTACAGATGCTGGAGGGGCTGATGTGGACATGAAGGGCTTCGAAGACAAGGACGAGCACTCGCCCGGAAACCTGGAGGAACCCGCCGAGCTCGTCGTTGGTGGCATGTGCATCCTGCAAGGGCTCACAGAATCCAGCAAGAATGGCCAGCCTTGCATCATCTGCAAACTGCCTCGTGACGATGGCCGCTGTTTGGTGCAACTGTCTGATGGCCCTCAGATCAAGTTGGCAGTCAAGCCCTCAAACCTGAGGCCCATCAGAGGACCGAAGGAATCCGAACAAAGTTATTGTGCCAGAATCCTCGGCCTGACTCCAGGCACATTGGGGCTTATTGGAGCTCCCTCAGAGAGTGCAGCTTGCTTGCAGAGCCTGAAGCCTGGGGAAATCTTGTCAGCAGCTTTACGAGCAGCCCAACGCGATCTTCCAGATGCACCAGATGCGCTTCTCGAGTCGCAAGAGGCCTACGAGAAGCTGATGCTGGATTTCGCGTCGGTTGACAGCATGGCTCCAGGATCGCGGCCCTTTCCTCCGCATGTCCTTGTAGAGAATGGTTTGCTTGGCACAAGAGCAGCTCACGCTGCCACAAATGCTGCAAGTCAACAGTCCATCAAGAGCTCTGAGGCGGGGATAGCTGCTTTGCGACAGGTTCTAAGCGACGAGCATCGTCGCTTGGCTCGGGAAGCAGGGCTTGCATGGCCTTTGCCCGCAGCATGCAAGTCTCCCTCGGAGGGCTCGGATGCGTTGCGTCTGCGACTTACATTGGTCAGGGCATTGCTTTGTAGCCGGCAGGAAGCACAAGCTGCTCTAGAGGCCGAGGCGTGCGTCCGTCGGCACCCGCATGGTGCAGCCAGCCTTCTTTGGGCAGGACGATGCTTGCTTCGCATCGGCCGGCGTGAGCATGGCAGGAAATATCTGTCGATGGCGGAGCAATCTGGTGGGTCAGGTGCAGATGGGAGTTGGGGACTCCAAGGTGCTACCATGCGACTGCAGGCGGTTGCAAAGGTCGAGCGCTGCAAGCTGGCAGCAGAGGATGCCTACGGCTATGGTGACTTCCAAACAGCAGCTGCACGGTATGGGGAGGCCATCATACAGAGCCCCACTGATGACAAGTGGGGCCGAGCAACGCTGCACGCAGCCAGGGCTGCTTGCCATCGTCGTGCACGGGAGTTCCGTCAGGCTGTTGATGACTGCGATGCAGCTCTGGGGCTCTTCCCGAACTACGCTCGGGCGCTGTTCCGGCGCGCGGCCTGCTTGATCGAGGCCGGTCGCCCATCCGAAGCCGTGAAATCACTTGAAGGACTTCTCAGGGTTGACAGGTCATGGCCAAACCTTTGCGATTGGTTGGTTCGCGCACATGCCTTGGCCAAGCGGCTGGATAACAAGGACACCTTCAAGGCATCGTGGAAGCGAGGCCGACGTTCCCGAGAGACTGCAGAAACTGCAGGCACACCCGAGGTAGGTTCCGACCTCTATGCCATTCTCGGCGTCTCTGCTGATGCTACAGACCAGCAGCTGAAGCGTGCATACAGACTCATGAGTTTGAAGTACCACCCGGACAAGCAGGGCGGTTCCACAAGGGACTTCCAAAGGATCGCCACTGCCTACGAGACCTTGTCCGATCCCGCCAAGCGCCACGCCTACGACGAAGGCGCGGACTTGAAGAAACCAGAAGATGACAGCGAGGAATCCGAGCGTGAAGAAAAGTCATTGCGCGAGGAGGTGGAGCGGACTCCCGGCAGCAAACATGATTAAGTGGTGATAATCGACATGGGGAGTTTAGAGTTCTCTTGACGTAGTTGCCAGCGCCTGGCGGCGGCAGCTGTATCGGGTAGTAGCATTCGCCTGCCCTCACACCAAAAGCAGGAAGTATTTTCCGGAGCGATTCAAGTCCGGGGCTCAGGACTTGGAACACGTCCAGACACAAGACACCAAACTCCGCGAACCCCGGTGCTTCGGTGCAAGGTACTGGCCATTTGGTGATCCATTCATCGAGAAGCGCAAGTTGCTTGCCCAGCGGAAGCGGGATGCAGAGAGGAAGCCCCTTGTCTCGCTTGTGCAAGGCATGTCAGGGATCGTGGTGATGTAGGCAAGCACTAGTCACTAGCACTATCAGCGCCGAGGTCTCGGCCGACACCAGACCGAGACGATGATTGGTAGATTTCTTTGTGCTTCCCGTCTGTGGCACTCCTCGACTCACTGAAAGCTGTGCGTTCGCACACTGTTTCATTTGCTAGAGTTTAGGCAGCCACATCAATTGGCTGCCTGGTCGTCCTCGTTTCCTCATTCTCACCGATGTGGTGCCGCAACGTCCCTGGCCCACATACATCTTGGGCTTCTCCGGTGACCGAAAAGCGGCGCGTCAAATTGTACAGCTTGATATGGTCCGGCAAAGCGGAAGGGACATTCCTCGTAAGGAATGGCCGCAAACCTCTGAGGCACGGCTCGCCAGCTGGCGTTGGAAGACGGCACACCCTTGCGGCCCGGCGACGTCCGGAACTCAGAGCCCGACAGGCTAACCAATCCACAGCTACCATCGGTTTGGCGTGGGTAAGTGCGCGCCGAGGAACGAGACACCACGACAATAACCTATGGCAGCGCACCTGGAAGGGACATGAGGAGATTAGGTGAGTGTAAGATGAAAAAGACTCGTGAGTGCATCCCTTGCATTCGAGGCACTGGAAAGTTGACCGGTGAGTACATCCGGGACATGCTGTGCTTGCGCAAAGGCGGAATTTTTGGGTTGCTTGCTCGTACTAGTAGCACTCCGCGCTGGTTACCACACACGTCACGCATCTCCGTACCAGCAGGCCGAGGTGCCGCTGTGGCTGAGAGCTCTCTTTGTGCCTGGCTTGGAGATTGTTTTTTTTTATCTCAGGGTCTGCTCCTCGTCCCAGTACCGAGGCCTTCAAGTCGACTTCCTCGGCGTGACGCAGGAAATGTAATCCGACCGGTTGGGCGGGTTGCGCTATGGGCTCGACCGGTGCTCACACCTTCAAGCTCTTTTACGAGCCTTCATAGCCACGTGTCGTTCGCCCTTAATTTGCCCCGGCATGAGGTTTGTGCATTCGTTTTGCTGCAGCATTCCGTCTCAACAGCAAAAGCAAACCTTGAATTGCGAAGTCGGAACCCTTGAAGAAATCTAGATTCAGCATAAGAGGACATGCCTGCTGCAGGAGTCCAGGTTTCCATTCACGGAGCTACCTTTTGACGGCATCTTCGGCTTGGGATTGGGAGGACTCTCCGTGCTACGCTCGGTCGACCCTTTCCTGGCCTTGGCAGAGAGCTTTTGAAAAGGCTGGACCTTCGTTCAACTTCGTGAACAGCTTGGTGGCGGGCTGCCAGCATGGGTGCATATGGGTGCCTGGCCCCATGGAGTCCTGCTGCGTCCATGCTGAAGGCTGCTCCGCAGACGCTCCGGAATCCAACATTTGCTTTTTTTCTGCGGAATTTGGATGTGCGGGGCCTAGCGATTCGATTTAGATCTGGTGTAGCCAGCGACTGTAGTAAGGCCGATGAAGATAGCGAGATCACCTTCGGAGGGTCCTGCCTGCAAGCTTTCCGCTCAGCTGAACAATCCGTTCAGAGAAGCGAAGTCACGCTCTGCTGCAGGTATCGTAAGGACCGTTTAGACGGAGAGGTAACGTGGCTGCCGGTGCTTGGCCGAGTGTCGCATTCCGCCGCTAGTCGCTTGCAAAGCCGCTGCAAAGCCTTTGAAGATGGCCATAGGTCCCAAAACAAGAGGCAGACGAAAAAGGCTATTGGCTTGTCCTACACTTACTGACGGGCTTGGAAGCAAGTGCATCAGCCGTTCCATTTACGGCTGAGGTGGCAATGCGTGACATTTATGAGCTGGCCTCAGCAAACCTGTGTTGCGCTCCAAAGACATGCCTGGGCCAACTTTCCGACCTCAAGCTCAAGCGTCGGGGTCTTGATACACAGCCAGAAGAAAGGGTTCCAGATGCGGGTTTGCTAAAATCTATAAGATCCACCTCGCCGAAGCCATTCCACAGTTTGGCGAATCGTGTGGGTACCGTATCCCTGGTGTCCACTTGTCCTGTTCTTGGCGTCACACATCGTTTGTCCTGATAAGTCACGCAATCGTTGGTTGATGTTGGGAGCCGTCCTCGTTGTTCCGAAGCAAAGGAATCAGCAGGGGAAGCTTCAGTGCATTGCACGGCGGGCACCACCACAGCCGATGTGTGTGATATCAGGACCCAGTTTGTCTCATTGCGGGCTGGAATCGAAAGCGGCGGCTGCACCTTTTGCAGATGGAGGTTTGGGCACTTCTCAAGGACCAGCAGCAGCTAGAAGACTGAAGAGCACAGGCGAGGTTGAATCCGACGGAGTGCGAAAATCTCTTCGGCGTATGATGTGGTACTTTCAATTGGCACGACATCAGTTTTGGAGGGGCTCTTGAAATTGGGCTTGCAGACGAGCCAAATGGGGCTGTTTTCGGCGGCATAGACACCAAGTGCTACCAAAGCTTGCGAAGCTTGCTTCAATAAGCAACAAACTGCACGATTGAATTGCTGCGCCGAATCGATCCAGATGTTTTTCCTGAAGCTCGGCCCCGGGGCACCATCCAGGTGGAAGACAAAGCGCTTAATTTGTGCGCTTCTGCTGGGTGCCAGGCGGGGACGGGGGGTGTCGAGCATAATTTACTGCCCCATTCCAATCAATCACGCAACTTTCCAGGTAGCCATGGACACTGGGACAGCTCTGATGATGGGCCCCCGACGTGCAGTGGGAGCCTTCAGTCCGAATTCCAAAGTCCTTGTTGCAGCATGCGCTTCAGCTCGAAGCACAGGTCGGGCAGCTGCTCACTGCTTTGGGAGACTGCAAACAGCCAGTGCCCAACGTGCTGTTCGGGAGTCTTCTTGGAGATTCTGGTTGCGATCGTAACGTTGCTGCACCGTCCAAGTTGTGGAATCGTGTCATAGAAGTTGGTGGAAGCATATCGTCCAACCACAGCTTGACTCAAAAGTTGCTTTCAGGGTATGGAGGACCGTAGATGTAGACCCGGCGGACTGCTGGTGCAGACTATTCGTTTAGCAACGCTTGCAGCATGTAGCAGAGTTCGTAGCTGAAGTCCCATGGATTCCGACGGATGGAGCGATTGGTGTCTGGCTGTCGGCCCAGGCTTGTTGCTGTGCCCCCCCGCGGCCATGCTAAATGTGGCTTTGTTGCCAGGCGAGCTGCTGGCACACCCGGGAGTTTATTAGCAGTCCCAGTGCTCCTTGCCGCCGGAGCCTCAGCTTTCTTGAGGGCCGGATATGCCGCCTATGCCCTGCCCTGGGTGTTCCTCGTCCAATGCAGGCTTGGGCCGTTTGCACACGAACCTTTGCTGCGACCGGGGCACTGCCATGTTCTCAGTTGCAGTCGAAGGGCGACGAGTCCGCGACGGGTTGGCAGCCTTCAGGCTCAAAGACTTACAAGCGGTGTACTGCATTCGACGGCGGCGACGCGCAGAGCTGGACAAGGCCCTAGGCCGGCTGAGCCTTCCTGATCATGTCCGCTTTCTGACCATAGTAACTTGTTTCGGGCATTCTAAGTGATTTAAGGATTCAAGTGTGTTGCACTGTTTCATGTCCTTGCTGTGTAGAGAGCCTCGCATCGCCGAGGTTCCCATCCGCCAGTGGGAGGCCGTGGACGGCTTCAACTTGCAGGCAGGTGCTTGAAATCCCGTCTCTTTCACACTGAGTCGAGCTGGTGAGGATGACATCCTAGAAATCGTGGACTCTGGCGTAGTGGAGCCTGCAGCTTTGCCACGAGCCTTGGCGTTTCAGAGGAACTTTGGAGCTCGGTCGTTGCGTTGCTGCTTGGAATCGCTCTGCGCGAGGTATCCTCGTAAAGGAAGATTGGCGCAAGATGTGGCGCGAGACCAGGAAATGGCGACATGTGCGTAGGGGCAGAGAGGCCCCAGGAAAGAAGCATGGAGGCGATTTCCAAAAGGGTCTTCGCTGTCCTCTACTCCTGGCATCGTGGAAGGCTGGCTCAGGGACCTGGACCTGACGCGAGGCAGCTTGGGACAGGGACTTTCGCAGCTGCAGGCAGGCACTGGAAGCACAAGCAAAACGTCTTTTGTGAGTGCGCTCGGCTGCGGCTCCTCGAGGTTTGGGCAGACATCGAGCGAGAGGCCAAAAGCCCGAATGCCGTCTATTTGGTCGTTGAGGCGAGGTTCATAGAGGTTGTTCTCTGGGCCGGCTGATAGAGACGGCAGGAGAGCTGCACCTTCCTGCCCAACTTGGATGCACGACTGCCGGAAGCCTAGGCCAAAGAGTCGCGCGAGAAACACTGCCACGGTTTGCATCCGAGGCTCGAGCAGCGGCTGGAAGCCCTGCCGGAGGATTGGGAGATCGCGTGTTTGGCCGGGACGGATCTCCTGGGCAACCCCGACACGGCAGCCGCCCGGCAGCCTGTCGTCACGACCTGCTCCTGCAAAGCACAGGCCCTCAGGAATTCTTGACACGGGCTAAGGATCTCGAGCAAGTGCAAGCGCACAACGTCGCACCTGGTTTGAAGCGCCTTCACCCGTGGTTACTTGGCAGAAACACTCATCGGCCTGTTGTGCTGGTAGGTGCGGGTGACTGGGGTTCAGCCATTCTCACGCGATGTTGCACGGAGCTGATGAGCTGCTGAGGTTTCGAATTGGTCCGGCTTATTTCATCACAGCGGCCGGTGCCAGAAAAGCGTTGAGGACCACTGGGGCGGAAGGGCATCGAAGTCCTGCCGATTTTCTAACATTGTCTAAGTGTACTGACATGACATCTACATCTCAAGCGCTCTATGCTGCTGCTGCTGCCGCATGCAGCCCGTCAGGACGTGCACGCCGTTGCGGTGGCGCTTGGACTGCCAACTTGTGGGACGCTTTTCATCTACGAATTTCGGAGAGGATGCCTTGCTTGACCTGCATGCAAGAGTAAGACAAGCAAACAACCGGTTTGCTCAGAAACTGGCTTGCAAGCGGCTGGATCATTCGCTTGTATTTGTGTCGCGAGGCTGGGTTATATGACAACACTGGCATTGTTCAAGAAATAACAATTTGTCTGGATTTTCCTGTCATCGCCGAGTGCCACTCAGCCGCCGGTTTTGCTTAATAGTGCAGTTTGTGTTTTGTTTTGACATGTTTCGGTTATATGGATGGCATACTTCGGGCCTTGCATGTGCTCCTCCAGCACTCTCTGCTTGCAGCTCCTCTGGGCGCAAATCACCGACTTCGTGGAGCATTGTCGTGCTTTGCAGTCGTAAGTTAGGCATGATCTAGGGTCGCATATGTTCTTCGTTGTTCTATCGTTTTGACTGGACTGTAACTTGTCATGTTCGTTTTCCTTGTTTTTTTCCCAGCCTTCGGATTCACCGGAGTTACTGCGCAAAAGCGACCCCTGAATGTCAAGCCCAAGACATGCTGCACTAGTGCGCGACACTTCGCATGAAGCTAAGACCAAGAGGTTCATTTAAAGTTGGGACGACCTTCCGGCGAGGGCCTTTGTTAGTGACAAATGTGGCCGCCGGCTGTTCTGGGCTTCGGCTCGGGGGAGCGCTGCTCACCTTCGACGTAGTGTGCAGCAGCGCTGAATGGAATAGTCGATGTTGCAGGACGTTACAAACAGGCTCTTTGCAGCGACTCAGAATTTACGTGGCTGTGCAAATTTCGAGTAATTTTTGGGTTAAAGATTTACTGAAGTACTTGGTGCGAGGTGTCATGTCGATAAATGGTTTGACGTTTATGCTCAGGCGGCTACTGGCTGTCGCCACCATTGGCTACCAGACGGATACTGCGCCAGGGCATGACTGAAGATGACCTGACGGAAGGCCTGCAAACTCTTTGTGACGTGTTTCACTGAGGGTGTGGTTTCTGTCCTTGTCTCGAAGGACTTGATGCAGTGGTTGCCTGGTCCATGCGTCTCACTGACAAGCCATTACCAAAAGGCTCCATTGCCCACATTTGGCATCCGGACCGTGAGATCGAAGGCACACGTCGGCTCAGTGTTCGGTCAGTGCCTTTCGTTAGGATGTCTAGGGCGCTTATCTTTCAGGTCACACGAACATGGTGCCGGAGGCTATCGAAGTCATGAATGGGCAACAAGGCGGCACTGACAAGAACTTGGCCGAGGAAGTCATCTCCTCTCCCTTCATACAGAAAAAGTCGAGTTGTTTCACAGACCGGGCTCGTTGCGTGCTTATTTGGTCATCACCGAGGCTTGCTGCCGGGGAAGGCGTGAAGACCATTTGCGAAGTTGGCTTCAATGCTGGCCACAGCGCTCTGCGATGGTTGACGCATTCGAGTGCGAAGGCTGCCTTTCTCTCTATGCTTGTGCATCGCTTGCATTTGAAGTGGTTCAATGGCCTGGAACCAGAGGTGCTGTCGTTCGATCTCGGGGATCACCCTTACTCCCGACCGGCTGCCATGTGGCTAGCGAGCCAATTTCCAGAGAAGCTTCGCTGCAAGGGAGAAACAAGCGGAGCCCTCAAGCTTTGGCAGGTGCTTTTCGTGTCGAAGAATCTGAGGCGGCTTGAGCTCATCTGGGGCGACTCCTTGGCAACGGTGCCAACGTTTCACAGACAGAGGCCCGAGCTCCAGCTCCAGGCTCAGCTGGGGCTCAGCCCCTTCAAAGGGGTCCTTCTAAAAAGGAACTGTGCAGCGCTTGCTTTCATCCCAGGTCCGAGCTGATCTTCATAGACGGTGGCCACAGTTACGACTGTGCTATACGGGACCTGAAGAACTTGGCGGCCCTCGCGAATCTGCAGAACAACCGCATCCTGCTTGATGATACATTCCTGGATGATGTTCGCCGGGCGTGGGACGAGATGCTGGAGATGGGGTATGTGGAGGAGTTCTGGCCTGAGTGCGTCGGCGCGCAACATGCGGCACCCGAACAGTGCAACCTGTAACAAGAGCCGGTCTTGTGTCCTGTGACACTGCAGGTTGCAGAGCTGGTCGGGTGAAATTGAAGCTGGCAGCTATGGTTTTACCTTGGGCATGTACACAGAGCGTGCAGCTGAATTGCTGCGGGTAAGAGCTGAAGAATAGGCTGCTGCGAGCAGTCAACAAGCCGAGTGCACCGTGAGTTGCGACATGGATTCGGCATGAGGAGTAGGCTGCATCAGGCTGCAGCTTCTTCAAGTCAGCTGCATGTTCGGAGACTGATCAAGCCTCGAGTATCTAGCAGAGTGAGAGGGTAGAGAAAGCTTGCCATGACCCGGCTGTGGCGGACTGGGCCGGCATGCCCAGGGAGGTTCTTACCATCCAGGCCTCCAGCTATCGCCAGCCTTCAAAGTTATGTTTTTTCCGCTTTATCCTGTAACACGACCGAAGTGCGACTGCATGCTTTCCTGTGCATCACGGAAGGTGGGCCAATGCGGCAATCAGATCGGCTGCCGATTCTGGGATTTAGCACTTTGCCACATCGAGATTTCCAAACTTTCCCGAGAGCCCCCTGGTGCAAGTGAATCGGTGCTTTTTGCCGAGTAAGGTCTTGCGCGAACATGCTTTCGTGTCAAAGACAGCGGTCTATGATGCAGCTTTGTCTTCTTTCTTTCGAAATGTGGATACAAGACATGCGAACTTGCCGAGCCTTCCCGTTGGAGATCAGATACGGACGTTGAAGGCCCGGTGTCTTCTGGTGGATATGGAGGAGGGTGTCGTAAACTCGCTCTTGACAGGGCCATTGGCTGAGCTCTTTGATGCCCGCCAGCGAATTACTGATGTTTCAGGTGCCGGAAACAATTGGGCGCACGGCTACCATGTCTACGGGCCAACCTATCGTGAAAGCATCGAAGAGAAAGTCAGAAAGGCTGCAGAGCAGTGCGACTCGTTGCAATGCTTTCTACTGCTGCACTCTCTCGGTGGTGGCACCGGAAGCGGGTTGGGAACCTACATCTTGGAGGCCCTGGAAGACTACATGCCCGAGGTATTCCGTTTCGTGTCCTGCGTTTGTCCATCCAGAGATGACGATGTGGTGACATCGCCCTACAACACGATCCTTGCCATGCGCCCACTCATTGAAGCCGCTCACTGCGTACTGCCAACATCGAACGATGCTCTCGCTGGCATCTGCAACCAGATCTCCGCGCGCGATGCTGGGGAAGATGCTGCACAGGCCACTCTCATCGACCTGCCACAAGATGAGCGGCAAGGCGGTCGCCGCCAATCGGAGCAATGTGATTTGATCTGGTTGTCTCGCTTTGGGTGTTTTTGGGGTGGTAAGTGAACCTCAGCTATTCCGTTGCAGAACTGGAGATGGAAGGGCGCCGGGGTAACAACGTTGAAGGAAATTCCCCACCCAAGCATTCGTAGCTGGACGACATGATTCACATCCTGAATGATCGGCGGCTTCCTGTGTGATTTGGTACAGCTGTCTCTCCAGGATGCATCAATGATGAAGCTAGAAGCAGAATTCTAGATGTACCTAGGCCCTCCGCGACCTGCCAGAACTTCGAGGACAGCTTCTGCACCTCCCCGGAAAAGGCCCACCCTGTCTCGGTGCCTTCGTTTGCTGAGCGTATGTACCTCCGGCTGTTGCCAGATGCTTGTGACATGAGCTTTACGGCCTCGCTGTCGAAGGGACACGGAGTCGGTCGTGGAAGCAGCGATGCTTCGCGAAGCTCCAGTGCCACGATCTGCAGGGGAGAGGCTCCGCGGACTGCGCGTTGCTGCAGAGTCGACCCAGCGCGCAACTCTTCTCCCAAAAGCGTCAGGCGACCGCGTTCTGCGGGTGCCGAACGGCCCTTCGACAGAATGAACTCTCTAGTCGCCCACCTGCTGAACAACCTGACGAGTTCGATGCGATTCGAGGGATCTCTCAACCTGGATTTGAACGAAATCACCATGAATTTGGTGCCTTTTCCGCGAATGCACTTCTTGCTGGCATCGATGAGCCCGCTGTACTTCGGCAAAGACCCTCGGCTGGTTTCGAGAGGTCGGGTGCTGAAATGTGGCCGCATCACCACGTCAATTGGGCTTGCTTGAAGTGAAGAGGCTTCCACCAGATGTTCTCAGATGTGGTCACCCAGGGCCATCAGCTGATGAATGTCGATCCCAGGCCAGGTCGTTTTAGAGACACTAAGATACGCAGCCAGATTCATGGTGGATCTTTATGACCTGTATGACCGATGACTTATGAGCTGGCAGCCGCGGTGCAGACCGACAAACCACTAAAGGTCCAAGTTGCGAGAGTCCAATCAACGAAGCGTGTTCCGATCTCGACTCTCGACCTCATTGTGCCCCAGTGTAGACGGCCAACCACTACCGGTCCGAGTTGCCAGAGTCCTACCAACGAAGCATGTTCTGATCTCGACCTTACTGTTCAGCATGTAGCAACAAATCCAGACTTGCCAACTCTGAGTATTCAGCCGAGATGTCACAGGTTTTTCGCACTGCACGTGACAGACCTGGCAAGGTCACCGCCAGCCAACGAAAGCCATTCATATCGTCTTCAGAGATATCGTGTAGAGTGTAGAGCACGACAAAGCCAGAAGCTCATCGCCAGCTGGTGCCAGGGGTAGCACATACATGGCGCTGGCTTTTTTGGTTCGCGGTTCCGCATCGATTGCGGACGTGAATCGCAGCTTGAAAGCACAGAAGTGTTTCAATGTCGTTAGCACCTGGTTGATCCAGCTGCCCCGAAATGGCCGGCACACTGCAGGCAACATCGGTCAGCTCCGGAAAAAGCTGAAGCTCTTGCCATTTAACGAAGATGCCTTCAAGTTGCTTGGCTTACATTCTTACGCTTCTGTACCGCGTCCAGCGTCTTCGCCTGCAGCTGTGCAGCAGTGGGAGGATCGGCCTGTGCAAAGTCGCTCCTCGAGGACTTCCGTACTCGGTGCTTCATTTGGGAAACACCTGTGCGGCGCACCAGATGTTCAGTCACACAGCCTCCTGCCATCAACAAGGAAAAACACATGCAATCATGGTCCTATGAGATTTCAGCAGCTGTCTCGTGCTGAGGTGAAAGACTTTTCACGGCTATATTCGCGAAAAGCGCATGTGCACCACTATACGAACTTCATGGAGCGCGAGGAGTTTGACCAGGCCTTTGAAACCGTCAACTCGTTGATTAAGGATTACATCCACTTGGACATGCTGCAGCCGGTCTCAAGCGCGTATGCATATTGAGTATTTTTGAGCACATTTCTCTGTCTTGCACTGTCTTGGGGCACCCTTGCACCTTGCTGACGTTCTCGAGGCATGAAACTCCGACTTCATGCTGCAACTCGACTCTCTCGTGCTGATCGCACGCAGTGTTTGCGCATGTTTGCCGGTTCGTGCTTGATCTCAGATCCGGAAGCAGCTGCACACAACTCAGCCTCCATGCTGCTGGCGCCATCGTCTTTCGCTTCGGCGACAGGTCGGGGTCTAGCTGAGTCACTGATTGACGAAAGAGAGAAGCTCTGGCAGGGCAGGGCCCGGCTGGACGCTTTGTTCCACGCCCTCTGATATGAGTGCTGCCTATTGCGTCCTCTGCTCCATCAAGCTGGTGTTCCCTGTCTGTCGCCGAGTCTTGCACATCGTGGGCAGGAGCCGTGGGCACTGCTAAGGCGATGCACCCAAGCCCAGCTGTTGAGAGCATCACGATGCGAAGCGCTGCAACGACCGGCTGGCATTGAACGCGCTTAGGGCTTGGATTGCTGGACGGACTGCTGTGCCGGGAGATGTTGGTAACAGCTACGACCCTGTCCGCTGGCGTCCCTGAAGAGCGACTCTCAGCTCGGGACGTGCCCGACGCGACCGAGATGGAACCGCTCGAACCGCGACTTCGAGTGGGCAAAAGGGAGCTAATGCTCTTGGATCTTGGTGATAAATCATGTGATTGCTTTGGCTGATGTGCTGCCAAAAGCGCCTTTCAGTTCATGTCCTCAGGCCGATACCTTCGATCCGTTTTGAACTGCTGACAGCGGACGGAGGCCGTTGCCGTCCGCACCCTCTACATGCTTGCATTCTCTTTTAGTGAAGCCCTGGGAAACTTTAAGGAGCTCAGCCCCCCACGGCCATTGATAGGGTGTAATGAGAATCGAATATGCGCTAATATGCGATGCAAATCCAGTCTTAAGCAGTCTCAAGGTTTGGGGTTTAACCGTCAGGTGGAGTTGCTGTGAATCTGCTCCAAGTCTTCCCGAGCTTTTGCGAGCGGTTCCGAGACGTTCTGACCCGAGCTCCGAACCGTTTACCACCATTCCGAATGTTCCGAGCCCGAGCCGTCGCGACTGTTCCGAACCGTTCCCAACCGCCCCCGGCCGTTCCGAAGCGTTCCGAACCGTTCCCGAACCGTTCCGAACCGTCCCAAACCGTTCCGAACCGTTCCGAACAATTCCGAACCGTTCTGAACCGTTCCGAAGCGTTCCGAACCGTTCCCAACCGTTCCGAGCCGTTCCGAGTGGAACGGATCGCGGGGTTCGGAACGGTTCGGGACGGTTCGGAACAATTCGGAAGGGCTTGGAACGGCTCGGGACGGTTGTTCCCAGCCCAGCCCAGCCCACAGCCCAAAGCCTACAGCGGACAGCCACACCCCACAGCCCCAGCCCAGCCCAGCCCGCTTGCTTAAATTCTTTGTCGAAGCCCCGTCGAAGAGCACCCAGAACACTCCAGACCCTGCCCTCATCCCACACAAAGTGCCTGCATATAGCCGTGCTCCGAAAGTTGGCTTGCACCGGAGTCTTAAGCATCCCAGGGCTTGCCAGTTCTCTTGGAACAAACCTCAAGATGCATATGTGGTCCTGGATGTTTGAGGCACGTTCAGCTTCGTGCTGGAGCCGAAGGACTTTGCCGAGGTCTGTAATGGCTTAGATCTGATCGCTTCCTTGTAGCCTTGTGTTCCCGCAAGAGCAGGTGAAAGGTTCGGACTGCGTCTTCGCCTTCCAGTGGTGGCCTTAAACAGCCCGATCAGCTCATGGGCTCACGAGATGTAATTCTTTGAGGCCCGTGGACCTGCCACCGAACCTGGGGCCGATGTGGGTATTCGGACAGACGGCGCTGAGGACGGTTTGGACTTGAAGCCATTTGCTTTCCTGGCAGAGCATAAGTCGACCGACAAACGGAAGGAAGTACTACACGGTCTATGATGCAAAGCGATGGCAAGTTGGCGTGGGTGCTCTGGCTTTGCCTGGAACGTGTTCCGCACTGTAGCACATGGTCTCACGAATCTTGAGCAGAGCGTTTAAGGACTGGCAAGGCATTCTGCGCCGCCCTCGAGATGAAGATGCAAGAGTCAAGACAGTTCGATGCACTCCATGTACGGACGATGTGCGGGTGTTGAAAACCTGTGATGCTTTGGCCAGCTGTCTAACCACTTGCAATTGAAGCTGTTCTTCACTTCATCTGCAGAAACTCATGTAAAGACTTGAGACCACAAATGTGTTCCTTATCTAAACTTCAGTTTAAGACCATGAGATTCGACCGAATTTTTGTGGAGAGCCTTTTCACGATGGTACTCTGTTGGCTTAGCGGCCTCAGCGCCATGTACGGCAAAAGACGAATCTCCTAAACAACCTAGAGCCGAATCACCACCTGCAGGGAAATGCAGCTTCTTCGAAAGGTAGCCACGGCATGCAGTGGTGAAGCTTGGTAGGGGCCTGTCAATGGGCATCTTGCTGAGCAGAGATATGTTTGCACACCATAAGGTGGCCTCAGCTTGAGTTTCTGTCTGAGGCCCAGAAGCGTTCTGGATCTTTGGTTCAAGATGGCGCATCCGCAGAAAAGAAAACGGAACCGGAGGCCGACAGTGGTGCATGAGTTCGCATCTACCCTGTTCGAATGCTTTTGCTTTCCACGCGCAGGTCTGCGAGGACGACAACAAAAACATGGCATTTTGCTGAGCACGCTACATGCCCAAAGACAGCACATATCGTTTTGGCGCTCCAGGTGTGGAACCACTTACCCGGTTGCAAGTCTTTTGCTGCGCCCTCGGCTTCTGCACGTCGCGAACTGCTGGCAACACAACTCGCTATCTCCGGCTTTGTCAACTATCTATGTTCTCTCAAGCAGCATTAATGGGGACGAGGCTTCGATGGGCTATTGCCACCGCTTCCCACCGCTGGCTAGCTTGTGGACTCAGCTTACGTAAGTCTTCAAGCTGATTCTGCAGAAAGTTGCAGAGCCGAGCGTTGCAGTTCCAAACCAGGGAAGTACTGTCGGCTCTCCTGTTCCTTATGCACAGCGGCCACTTCCGTGCCTTCGGCACAATTGAGAGCTTGAAACCTTGGCTGCTGATGTCGCGCGCCTGCTGTGCAGCGCAGCAGAGCGCTTGCATGGCAGGTGAAGACCAGCCCGGCCGATTTGATCGAAGAGAAAGACCTGCAGGCCTCTTTGTGCTTTGCCGCCGTCGTCGCGTCGCCTCATGTAGCGCTCAGGAGAGCTCCCCGGCGCCCGTGCAGGCCCTTCAGCGCACGGGTGCTCTTGCAACCTCTGCAGCGCTATAGTTTGCAGTGCAGTGCTGTGCTGTTGAGGTGGCAGGCTCTGGTATGAGACTTTCCGGTGCTCGGCGTGGAGTATCGCCAGCATGTGTCCCGTGCCTGAGAAAGCGCCTTGCCGCAACTTGCTTCCTGCCAGGTTGTGAAGCTGAGAACGCTCGGTACTGATGAAACGTGACTGCGTCACGAAAGATTAAGCTGGATGGCAAAAGCACTTCCGCCAAGTCACGATGGCTGCAGAGAGGTGCCAAAGAGTTTAAGTCCCAGTTTGCGGTCGGATACCGACCTGCAGACATGCAGATGCAGCCAGCGAGGCTCTTCCGTTTCTGCACCAGGGTTCTTCACCCTCTGCTCTGTTTTGTCACACAGGACAGCTTGGCGGGCCATGTGCAGCACGGCACCGACCTTGCTTCTGCTAGAAACTTGGGCAGAAAAGTGCGATATTGCATTGATGCTGAAAGATTTATGGCCAGGGTAGGTTTTCCATGAGATTGCATACCACCGATGCCTTTGGTCCACAGTTGCGGGTGCCCTGCGGGTGCACTGCACAGGATGCCCATTGCAGAGGACGGCCAGATGCGTCACTGTGCATAAATGCAAGAACGCACAGATTTCATGTCGCTGTGGTTGCCGTTGTTTTGGTGGTGTGCTGGAGTTGGCATTTTTCCAGGGCGGTGTGGGGGGTGCAACTCTCGAAGCAGGGAGGAGAAACTCACCTGTCGAGTGTGCGGTTCAAGAGGCCAGGAGGCTGACAGGAGGCTCTAGGCAAGTGCATTCGGGGCCGGAATGCGAGTCGGTGTGAGTGACATGGGCAGCGTTGTGGTGCGGATGCGTTGTCGGTTGAAGGTGAAAGAACCTGACACAACATGAGACACCATGCTGCATCCTTCACTTCAAGGTCTTAGGGAAGGTCTTAAAGGTTGCTGGATAAAGTGATGGTGGAGGCTGGATGTCGGAAAACTCCGCGCCACGGGCTCATATCATGCGACCGTCCAAAAACATGGTACAGTACCATCGTAGATCCGAGAAGTAAGTGTGTGGCAGGTCGGCCAAAGCTGGAAAGGAGTCTTCCAAAGAAGGCTTACATTCGTTTGCAGATTGCGTTGTGCGGCGGCATTACACCGGCTCAGGGGATGCAGAAGAGCACAAGCAGGATAAGCAGGCAATGGCTTGATGTTGTGGCGCAGTCCTCACGACACCGCTGACAGGTGTCGTTTCCAGTGACCTCCATACAAGACCCGTGCACGCAGCAATCTGGGCTCACCAGCACAGGCATATGCTTCCAACTTCCAATCGTAGGGGCAGCTTTCAACCGCCGATGCTTGCACGGCGAAGGTTCCCCGGGCCACCGCATGTGTGAGGTTCCCGGTGTTAGTGCTGCCCGTTTCAGGTGTTGCGGCAGCATCCCTTCTCCGACATGCGGCTTCCCAAGGTGAAGAACAAGCACTCCGCAGCGGTGCAGGCCCCCTCTCCCAATATGTCGAATGAAGCCTCCATTTCTCCCGGCCAGAGCCACTCTGATTGACCAGGTCTCCGTGGAGGATCTCATCCCTGGCCCTCCGCTGAATCTTTCAGGCAACACCGCTGCCACCTCACACCTTCGCTGAAGCCAATGTCTAAGAGTACCAGAGCTGTCGGCCCGAAGACACGCAGAGCCCACTCGAACTTGAAACTTGGTGAAAAGTAGGTTATCGAACGAAAGTACAAGTCAGTGCCAGCGCAGAGCTATGGCTGCAGCTGTTTGCGGATTGCCGGAGGCTTGTGCCCACGGGTGTGAGGCACAAGTGGTGTGGTTTCTGATGCACATGAACACAGACCGGTCAGGGTTCAGATTTCAGCCTGTCGAAAGAAGCCCGATGCATGCTGCAGCTATGCATGGCCATGCTGGCTGCGTCTCCTTGCTGCTTGAGTTGGGTTGCTTCAGTGTGGATGAAGTGGACCAGACGGGCGCAACAGCAATGGCATATGCTTGTGAGAACGGCCATTTGCAGGTCGTCCAGCTTCTGTCGTCGCATGGGGCACGACGAAACCACCTGCGCGATGTGGCTGGTGGCTATTTCGCCTTTGAGGCTGCAGCTTCTCATCATCAGATTGTGGAATGGCTTGCGCGAACGAAAGACTGGTGTAGCCCCTTGCATCATGCCAGCTTGTTGCCCGTAGCCCGAGTGACGTCCTTACTAAGAGCTGGCGCTTCACTTCACAGACGCCGTCGGGATCCGTCCAGGTGCTGCGTATCACCTCTGGAACTTGCAGAAGACACTTCCTCTTTCTCCGAGTCGTCTCAGCTAGTAGTTCGAGCATCCAAGCCGTGGTCGGTATCCACACATAGCTTGTTTCCCTGTGCGACACGTCGCCACGCGATGGATCTCATCTTCATAGGCTACGCCGTCGCAAAGCATCGTGGCCGACCAGTTTGTGATATTTGGCGCCAGTACGTGATTCCATTGGTGGTTGAACGGCTGGATGCATATCAGATGCAGTCAAAGCACGGCAAGGCCCACAAGCAGCTGCAACGGCTTGTTTTCACTGCGCGGTGAGCAAAGTCTGCCGCAAAAAGTGACGCAGGAATGGTTCGCTGCTAGGGCTAGTGGCTGACTTCGTAGAGGCCGACTTTCGATCCAGGAGAAGGTGTCGAGTGGCTTGCCGGGCTGCATGCACAGCCTATAGGAGGCGAAATTCCCCCAAGACTTGAGAGCACTCCGCAGCTCTGAACCGAAACTGACATACCCTGGTGAACTGGTAGTGATTCCACCGACCTATACCACCCTGCTATGCAGGCTCGCCCTGGCCAAGTAGGAGGCAAAACATGACAAAAATATCCTGGTGAACGGCACCGAAACGCGCGAGTCCACACTTTCGTCACGAAGTTCGAGACCTCGGTCTGTGTCCATGGTAAAGATTTTTGAGGAAGTGGTGCGATTGGTATGAGTAGTACTTAGTATGATTGCGGAAGCCTGGGGCAGGAAAGAGATCTTCGACTTCAGAGATTGGGCCGTCCAAGCTCGAGGCCGCGGAGGCAATGCAAAGTCGAAGTTCAAGGCACTGTTTTAGAATTCGGGGCAGCGCCTTAGAGTCGCTTCGAGGCTTAGAAGGTCAGAGATGAGCTGGCATGAGGGGAACAGATACTCAAAAGTACCAGTAGATGGAGAGAAAGCATCTGCTCAGGAAGCATTGGCGCTTCAAGAGTTCAAGCGCGAGCGACAGGAGCTGTCCCGCCGAAGCTTTGCTGCAGCTCCACGATTCACGATGCACCTGACAGGGCTGCGCCCTTTCGCTACTATTGCTCAAGGCCATAGGCCGTAGTGACATGAGTAACATGACTGTCAAGCCCACCCAGATGTCACCAGCCTCCTAGCCAGACCCAGAGAGACCACAATCGCTGGTATCCCGTCGTACCCCAAAAAGAGGGATCCAAGTGACTTGCCAGTGACAGGGCATCAGAGGCTTTACAGGCCACATCCTGCAATGCCGCCGCGACAAAACTTGCTGGTGAAGCAGGTCCCTACAAAGAGCTTGCAGCATCTTTTCCTTGTGCTGAGCATACGGCAGGTTGGCGGCGTCGGCACCAAGACATTGAGGCAAGGCAAATGCCCGACAGAGCTACTGGACAAGTTCGGCAGATGTGTAGAAAGCAGGCCGAAATGGCTGGGACTTGCACTTCTCAGTGCCGCTGCTGGCCGCTTCAGACACCTGGCAGAAGCTGTGGACTGTGGAATAGACGCTGGGATGGATTTCTTTGCATCGCAGCGCATTGAAAGGCCTGGGATCATGGGGATCCGCCTTTGGACTTTGCTCTTGGAAGCACCCGTGGATCTCGCATTGCAGAGGCTGCCAACGCCCACAGGTAGCAGCCAAAGGTGGAAGATGTAAGTCTCGGCAGGCAGACTTCGGGCTGTCGCGAGTTCCTTGCAAGAGCCCATGCCTTTAGATGAGGAGTGCCCGCAAAGCAATCAGCTGCAGAGCAATGCTTCGTGTTTCCGTGTCTACCCGTAACGTGCGTGTACCGATCATGGCTGGGAGGACACAGTTCGACTACACAAATCTTACCACGATACCTGGCAGCAGCCGGGACCCAAGACGACGCCAAAAGGCGCTGTTGGCCCGTACACCGAGGACAGAACCGTCGACTACACTGTGCCCACCTGCAGCCATTGAGGTCACATCGACGGCACTTGTTGCGTTTCGCAGCCAGAGGTACAGAACTATGACTGGGTGAATGCGAAGCTTAGTCCTCGGATGGAACAAGAGCGGATTCTTCGGGAAATGTGCGGTGTTATCAAAGAACGACACCGTCAAACTGCACCTTTCTCAGCCTTCTTCCAGGTCATACAGCACCGACAGCACAATCGCGCAAGAGGACTTCGGTGAAATCCGGCAAGCTCGCGACTGCTTGCTTGCTCGCTCGCGCGCCGGCCAGGGTGGAAAGATACGACTGGCTAATCTTGGCTTGCGCAGGAGCACGATGACGTGTGGCGAGTGTCCAAGTCGCGCCTACAGCATTGGCCACAGTTGGAACATCAGCATATACACGAGGTGCCTCATAAAATCCGCGCTTGCGCATTGCCTTCTGAAGCTGTAGTGGCCCTGGGGCTGCACGGCCCGTGGCTGGGCGCCAGGTGAGTTTCAGTTCAAAGCCGCAGCGATTCTGCGAAACGGCCGATGCTGAAGCTCTGGGAGATCCCGCGGACAACATTTTTATCATCAACCTGCTGCTTGCTGGGCACGGAGGTTGCACACTGACTGTCATGAGTGTTCAAAGCATAAACAGCAAAGGCCTCGCAGACCAGCGAAACTGAAGCATGCGACTTGTTTGCAACGGGTCTCTCTTATGCAAAGGAAGGCTCTGCAACAAGCTGGCTGGCCTTTTGCATTCAAGCATCTTGATGTGGCAGGCGTTTTGGTGCAAGAGTTCCTTTGGCAAGCCTGTTGAAAACGTGCCAACATGAACCAATTCTCTTCGGCTTCAGCAGGCAGGAGAAAGCTTCTGGGGCTACTTCCAGGTCTTGGCGCAGCTCCATGCAGAGGGATTGAACGCAAAGATTGTGGACGCCATTGACGGTGATGCCTTCACTTCCCAGGCCAGCACCGCCAGGGATCTCGTTTGGAAGATGTCGGGACGTGTGCTTCGATGTCGCAAGCTGTGAAAAGAAGCTGCCCGCAGCTGGTACAGTACTGTAGTGACCTTCAGGAGCGTAGACAGCAAATTATTCTGAGCACGTACTTGCTCAGGAAGAGATCGCAAAGTTTCTCGGCAGATGCTTTATCAAGTTCTGTCACCTTCCACACTTGCCAACGCATGGAAACTTTTTTATATGCCATGGGCCATGGTCGATCCCACGCACATATACTCGGCGAAGATGAATAGCATGATACTGTAGGACCATAAAATGCAGCCGGCGATGAAACGCAGAGTAGGCAATTTTGGTTGGACCCGGTGCCCGAGCTTTCAGCATTGTGCACCCGCCCATGGGACATATCTGGAAGATAAGTCTGTTGGCACACCCATCCCCATTCAAACCTTGAGACCTACTTGTAAGGCTTGGTGCAAGCACGCTGCCCAACTATTGTGGGCACAAGCATCTCTTCGGCAATCAGGTTTCTGACAGTACTGTAGGTCACAGGTCAGACTTTGTCCTACACTGAGTGGGCCAATGCTGTGAGGCATACGCTGCCCCACCTCACCACAGGCCAGCTTGGCTGCTTCATGAGCCACTTCACGATATGGCACTACATGGCTGCTGGTCGGAGATGGGTCACATTTCGAACAATGTTGAGCAGATTTCCGATGTTGAGCTGATGAGCTGAGTGAGGTCGAGCACAGTATTCCATCAGCTTTGATTCTGGAAGATGACTTCGACTTGTGCCGTTGCGGCATAAGTCGCAGTGTGCAACAACAAGCCACTAATCGTCATCGTAGCCGATCCCGGCTGTGGCGAGGCAAGAGAATTTCAGGAAAAGACTTGGCAGCTACTTGGAAGAAGCGCGAAGCCATGATTGGAACCTCATGCTTCTAGGAGGCACTGGGCAGAATGAACTACTCGTCATTTCATGCGTTTCACACAAATGCGACACTGCTGGGTAGAGGCATGGAGCAGATTCGCTGCGGTCTTAGGTATCTGGGGCGCAGTCCGACAGAGCCCGACATCTCCCGCATCAGCGCGCACTTGGCACAGCCCGGTGTGATCCCTGGATTTGATGACGCCTCAGAGCTGTTCGGAAGCCCTTGCCTAGTGAGGTTACACTCTTTGGACGGTGGGGCAGCTTGGGCAGCACATAGCAGAGCCTGTGGTCTTGCTCATGAGATGAAGACTCTGACTAAGAGGTACATCTTCAAGCTGGATGCAGCTCGAGCTCTAGTGGAGGCCAAGGTGGAGACCAGACTGGCCCCTTTGGTTGCCCGGCCATTTCGGCTGTTCACCTGCACATCAATTGCTTCACCGGGGCACCAGGGTCCAAGAGCTCAGGATCACTATTTCTCGGTGGCCATGGGGCAGGGCTTCAGTGGCCATTGGAACGAGAACGCAGTGGAGTGGAGCAAGTGGCACAGCTTCATTACCGCAGGGTGGGCTATTTTCACGGTGCCAGAAAGCAAGGTACATTCCACAGGTCTTGCGCGGATTGGCTATTACCCCACCGTTAGTCATGCCGCAGCTGGGCTGCAACACAGACTTGTAGGAAGGCATTGGCAATTGCAAATCCGCATAGACTGGGGCTGAGGTACGTTGGTTCAATGTTCCTGAGCGACACAGCCATGTTGCGTTCGTGCCCCAGTAAGACCATTCGTGTCGGTCAACATGTTGACTGCACCTTCATTTGCACGGCACTCTTCGCGATCAGGAAATGGCACAAAGTTTGTAACGGACTTGCCTGAGTACGAGGCACGCATCAGAAAGCCATAGCTTTCCCTCCTGGCTTGCCTTGCCTTGCGCTCAGGGTGATCCTTGGGATGCCGGCCGCAAGCACGAGGCCGAGTGGCGAGCGGCACAAGGGGCCCCTTGCTCAGAAGCTCGGCATTTTGCACGCCCAAGCACAACGTGCGTTCTGCCAAGGTTAGTGAGCTCTGAGCACTTGCTGTCATTAGTTTGGTGGATTGGTTTTGCACGCTTCTGTGCGCAAGCACGCATGCGCCGTGTGATTTTACTGTGTCTTATAAACTTATAAGAGCTTGGTCGTCTCAGTAGGAGAAACAAGCTCATGTTTCACGAACTTGCATAGTGCAAGTTATGCATGCACGAGTGTCCGCCTGAAGCGTGGAAGACAGCTTCACAGATTGCAGTCTTGTCACGGTTGCAAACTGATTTGGGGATCTTTGTTGCAACAATATTTCCTCAAGTTCGATGCGGCACGGTGTGCATCTTGGAATGTATTCCAGAATTAGTTCCCTGTCTTGATTCTGAATATCAGATAAGCCAATGTATTGCAAGTCCACCTACTGACTTATGGAACTGGAACAGTGGCGTAGTTCTCATGAAGCTTTCTTCAGGTAAGTAAGGTCAAGACAAAAACTGCACATCAGCTTATCCTTAACATGGCCGAGTGCTGGATTTGCCTCCGTTCGCACGTGGAGCAAGGCCAGCAAGGCCAACTGATCCAGTCGCAGTCTGCTTGTGGCCGCCACGCTCATGCTGTGTGCTTGCAAGAACTCAAGGCCGGTTGGCACAAAACCTGAATTTTTAGCTGGGACCGGGATTCACAACTCGTCTTTGGTAATTATTTGCATCCCAAACATGGGATCCGCATGTTCTTGTGCTGTTTTGCTTTCTCGCGCATGATTGCACCGTGTGCCTGCAAGGAAATAACCGGATGTGATGATGTTGCTTCTTACGAAGACACCAGTCCCGACAACAAGCGCAGTGCTGCAAGCTTTTGTCGCGCAGCAGCTGTGGAGTACCTCCGTGCGATTCGGTCGACGTCCACAGGGACACCAGCCCGATTCGTGGTGACAGAGCGGTGCCTCAGCAATTTGCACCATGCCCTTGCACTGGATGCCGGGCATGGATACAGTTTGACATTGCTTGGAGTGATGCACCAATCTGGACTTGGTGTACCTTTAAATGAAATCAAAGCTTTCCAATGCTTTCTTAAAGCGCATGAAAACTGTACACCTCTTGGTACTCTTTACCTGGCACGCTGCTATAAGCGCGGCACTGGATGCAACATTGACCTGGTGAAGGCACGGACACTTTTTGCTGAAGCCGATGTTCAAGGCAAGCAGATGGCCACTTTAGAGTTGGCTTTGATGTGCCGTGCTGGCCTTGGAGGGGAAGTGGATTTTGCAAAGGCCGTCAAGCTTCTGATGAAAGCCGACCTAGCTGGAGATGCGCTCGCTGCCTATGAGCTGGGCATGGCATATGCCAACGAGACAATGGACCTACCGAAGAATTTAGAGAAGGCGCGCGGACACATGGAGGCAGCCTGCGACCGTGGATACATTCCGGCAGTGGTGGAGCTTTCACAGATGTGCATGATGGGCATTGGTGGCCCGCAAGATGCCAACAGAGCAAGGGAGCTGACAATGGCTGTGGACTTTCCGAAACCACACCACCCATCTGAAATTGTGGACGAGAAGGCATTGACACATGGATGGCTAAGCAGCAGGGTGCAAGAGCTGTATATCACGGATTTGGAAAAGCTCGACCCAAACGAGTGGTGGCAACTGCGTGTGCCCGATCCGGAGGAGGTTGGGAAACTTGTTGGGGCTTGTTGGCAAAGCCAGGCGAAGCAATTAATTACTAGCCGGGGTTTTTGCGCCAGCCAAGAGGGGCGGACCCAGCATGACCCAGCAACCCCTAGGCACTAGCCTCCTGGTGCTTGAGAACGCTCCCACCACGATCTGGTCAACCTCTGGGCCTGCATGTTAGCTGTCTTGTGAGGAACAGAACGTTCTCAAATTCCAGCACCAAGCGACAGGTCAGAACAGAGATCGCGACTGTGTAGGCAGATAAGCCTCAGAAGTGTGAAGTGCCTCTGAAGGAGGATCCAAACACTATGCTGAAAGCGATGGGTCTCTACACGGAGCCGGCCAAGATCACCACGAGCGGACCCTTTGCAGCACGGCCCACAGTAGAAGCACCACCAGGCCGGTGCAGGTGGTTGTTGCACGGTTGTTCGAAGCGAGATGTGTTACTTGGGACAGGCAGCGAGCCCGGCGGCTTGTGGCGTGCGACAATGGCATTTCAAGGCAGGGCAACGGGATGAGCAACTGTGGCTAGCGGCTAGCCTGCGCCTCGGGGCCCCGGCCCCACCTCCGCCATCAGGCATCAAGTACGGGGACCCTGTCGTTGTATCAGCCGAGCAAGCAGTCAGCGCCACAGGCGGCTTGATGGTGCTCGACGGTTGCATTTCTAGATCGCCAGAACTCGACGAGTTGGAAGGTCGGCGGGTTGTGGTGGAGATCAAGGCACTGCTTCCAAAAGACTTGAGTAGAGGGCGCCTCGCAGATCCTTTAGGACTCTGCTCATGCCTCTCAGGAGATCGGCGTGTCGATTATCGCGGAATATGTCTTGCCACGCGAATACGATGACTTTATGTGCATCGCGTCGGCATAAACCCAAATGCCTCAGAGACACAGCAGAAGAAATCTGTTCATCACATCTTCAAGCCTTCGAGCACTTTTCTGTCACTAGGCCGAAACCCTGAACTGGACGAGACATCCAGCATCAAGAGGCTCGCACGATCGCCCACGGTAGACCTTCACCTAGTGTCTGTGTCGGCTGTCCTGTAGTTGACCGCGTGCGTTTGCGTTGGTCTCTGGCCCTGCAGTTGTACGCCTTTCGGCGGCATATCCAGCAGGCGAGAGTGCAATCGTGGCGAAGTCCTTGTCATTGACCACGCCATTTCGCCGGCCAGGCTGCGTGAGTGGATGAGGGGGTCTTCCAGGGCTCGACGGCCGCGCTTGAACATGTGAGCATACGTGAGCTGGTCGTTGAAATTTTAGGAGCCGAACTCAGCTTCTGACAGTTTTTGGTTTTGCGACCGGACCGGGCCTTGTGCCCGAATTCATGGCGGTCGCCTCCAGTGTACAGAGCTACTGGAGGGCCAGGGCTGTGGCAGCTCCGCGAAGTGGAGCTGCTGCCTCTGCCTGCTAGTTGTTAGGACGGTACCAGCTTGGGCACCCACCATTCCTGCAGTTAACGATCTGATTGCCAGCGCTCATCAAAGAGAGTAGGCAAGTTGTCCCGAAGCGCTGAAGCTATCGCAGGCGCAGGCGGCACATTCGGCACCCGAGCCGACGAGGCGGCTTTGTACAACACCTGCCCTTCGTATTGTGGCTGTGGGTGGTTGGTGCCAAGGATTATCTTCAAAACGCGGGCAAGATCTACGAATTCGGGAGTGCGGGCTACGTTGCGAGTCCGCCGTAGTGACTGGGGAAAGCGTCGCCTGCTTTGTAGCTGGGCTGCGAATGGAAGCACATGGCCAAGCTGGAAACACATTGCATTGAACTCGCTTCTGCAAATGTCTGCCGTAGGCATCGCCATATGCAAGGAGGATGCCTCGAGCTCAGTCCGCCACAAGTGACGCTTAGCGCTTAGGGGTGATCCCAACTGCATAAACTGAGGCCTGCCATTGTCCCATGGCAAAGCTCCCTCAGGCACACGAACCACTCGAGTGCTGCGAGACTGGACCAGTCGCTTTGATCGATGCTGCCAGGGTTTTCTCCGTTTCTTTGTGGACCACGTCTTTTCATTCTTGCCGGATGAACGCCGGTGATCGAAGTGAAGGCTCTATGGTTTCCAACCGCTGCCGGCGCAGGTTTCACCACGAGAAGCCCATCTTGTGCCGGACAGCTCGGCAAGGTTTCGCACGCCGACTGTCGATACTCCGATGCAGAGCTGCTGCATCCGGCGCTTTCGTCACATGCCAAAGCGCGATCTGTCCACATGTGCCACGCGGGAAAGGATTGTTTAAGTTTGATGCCGACATATTGAGTGCACATTATCTCTACCATGCAGTGGAAAAGCTGCTCCTGTTGGGTCTAGTTTGCCCCATGGGTCTGCATTGTCCACCGGAGCCACACCCGCTTGGCTTTGGTTACCTCCTGTGGAGGCCAAAGATTCAAGTCAGATAGCAGCAAAGGCTTCAAAGAGCAAGGTGGCGCGAGGGTGTTCTTCGATGCACGAAGTCATGACCAAAGCTGTTGTTCCAGGACGAAAAAGCCAAGGACCACGGTGAGCTGTCATGTCGCTGCCACCGGCACTTCACGCTGTACCTGAGCAGGATAAAGACAAGGATGCCAAGAAGGGTAAGGCTGAAAAGCCGAAGAGCAATGCCCCGGTAAATGGCAAGGATGGCAAGGATGGGGACGAAAAGAAACGAGAAAAGGACAAGGCAAAGGAGGGCCTGAAGGAAAAGGAGAAGGAGAAGGAGAAGGACAGAATAAAGGTGAAGCAGCGGGAGAAGGACAAGGAACGGTCGAAAGAGAAGGACTCCAGCAAAGCACCCTGCTTCATCTTCACTTCGCACATAAGTGCGAAGAAGCTGCTGTTTTCTTCGTCTGGCCTGCTGTGAGGAAAGAACGAAGGAGAAACGGGCAGCCGAAGGGGCACAAGTGCTGGTATCGATGGCAGCGTGCTTGTGTGTACGTGCCGCAGCTGTCTTCTCAGCTAGGACAAAGAATCAGAAAGTCGACGAAAAGACAAGCCGAGAGCCAAGATATCACGGGATATCACGAGCGATTGAAAGCATTGCCCGTCGCTGTGTCTCAGGAAAGAAAGGGATAAGAGTAGAAAGCGTGTGACCCCAAGACGAAGCTGTGTTCGCATAAACTCTCAAAGAGAGCCACCCGCAGACCTCATCATCCCGTGGCGTTTTACAGGTTCAAGCTGATAGCGTAACATACAAACCGCACCGCTTTGCCCACGGGCGCACGATCTACTTGGAGACCATGCGCCAGGTCGTCGTCTTCATGCTGTGCGTGGCAGCTGGTGCGGCCAGCGATACGGAGTCTTCCGATGCGGACGTGACCAATCTGCTTCAGCTGATCAACCCACTGCCTGATCTTCCGTCGGGAGCTCGCAGCCACCTCCTTGTCTCTGACTTCACCACAGCAGATGACAAGTGGAGCACACCAGCTCTGACCGTGAAGGCCGTAAAACCAGCAACGAAAGCGAAGATTGTCGTTACGGAACGCCACCTTGCTAGCAGTCGAAAGACAACAGTTCCCACAATCCACGCCTCCTTGGCAGAGCCAGCTCAACTTGCCCACCTCAGTGCCACGAAGCCGAAGGTCAGGAATTCCAAAGCACTCGCCGTAAAGGCAACGAAGAAAATCGCCTCCACGGCACATGCCAAGAAAGCGACCAAAGCCAAGAAGGTCAAGAAGAAGAGCGAAAGCCAAGCAGAGTCGATCGAAGAGGTCAAGCAAGGCGTCCAGCAAAAGAAAGCCAAGAAAGCTTCGGTCGCCAAGGAGGTTCTAGTGAAGACTTCCCAGGCAGTCCAGAAGCATCAGGCGAGCTCAAAGTTGTCCCAGGAGAGTTTGCAGGCAGCATCCAACAGGAAAGCGTGCAGGGACTTGTTGCAGGAGTGCCGCACCGACTTGAAGGTTGATGCTTGCTTGCGATACAAGGGCTCCTGCCTGGCTGGCACTTCCAAGAAACCAGAGCTCGTGGAGTCCCAAGCTATGGGCCAAGCGGAGCCAGACATCTCTCCGATGGCAGACCAGAGCCAAGGCCCAGCAACCGGAGACGCTTCCCAACCAAATGTGGCCACTGCCGAGCCTGTGGCCGAGGCTGTGGAGCCTACCACGCACAGCAAGCACAGTGAGCGCAGCGCGGATGCTATGGATGCTGGCATCAGCCAGTCTGGCGTGGGTGGCTTTGGAACCGACACGGAGCCAGAACCTGTTGAGGTGGCGGCTTCTGAAGATGTGCCCGGTCCAATTGCAGAGGAGGCCGAGGAGGCAGAGGCCGAGGAGTCTTCGGAAGACGCCACAGAGCCAGTGCAAAGCGTCTCTCCCACGGCAGGGGCGCGGGAGGCTGAGGCAGAAGAAGCATCAGTGACCGACCCAGTTCAAAATGTCCCTTCCATAGATGTGCCAGAGGCTGAGGAAGGAGATGCAACAGAGCAAGATGCGGCCGAGGAAGTTCAAAGCGAATCTCCGGCAGCAGAGGCGGCAGAGGCTGAAGCTGGGGCAGCGGATGCGACGGAGGCAGAGGCAGAAGAGGCACCAGAGCAAGCTGCGACGGAGCCAGTTTCTCCCGCAGCAGAGGCGGCGGAGGCTGAGGCTGGGGCAGCAGAGGTAGCAGAGCAAGATGCGACGGAGGCAGAGACAGCGGAGGCACCAGAGCAAGCTGCGACGGAGCCAGTGCAAAGCGTTTCTCCCGCAGCAGAGGCGGCAGAAGCAGAGGCAGAGGCACCAGAGCAGGCTGCGACGGATCCAGTGCAAAGTGTGTCTCCCGCAGCAGAGGCGCCAGAAGCAGAGGCAGAGGCACCAGAGCAGGCTGCGACGGATCCAGTGCAAAGTGTGTCTCCCGCAGCAGAGGCGCCAGAAGCAGAGGCAGAGGCAGCAGAGGCAGCAGAGGCACCAGAGCAAGATGCGACGGAGCCCAAACCAGAAGCAGGTGTGGAGACAGAACCCGTCGATGGAAACCCCGCCACCGCCGCCACCGCCGATCGTGTACTCGAGCCAGAGGTCCCTGTGAAAGCAGACACTTTGAAATCTGAAGTTTCCGATGCGCCTGAAGAAGCTGCGGCACCGATCTTGGGCTCGAAGAGCCAGGCCATGCCTTCGATCGCGGATTTGGAGCCAAAGTCGGCCAACGCAGCTTGGGTGTTCGGGCAGGCAGCCAGCACCTTGACCAACAACCAAGAGGTAGGGCTTCAGAGTACGACTTTCGGACTGACACGGGTGGATGCCTTGGGAACTTCAGCCGGATCTCTCACCTTGGCTCAGAGGGAGCTTGAGAATCAACACTTAGCCAGTGTCAAGGAGAACCTCTGTGCATTGTGGCACACCATGTGTGGGCGTGTCACCACGGCAGAGATTTGCGTCAAGTACGCAAGTGTGTGCCAGTGAGCACGTGATGCGGTCCTATCGTGAGGCGCAGCGCCGCAAAATGCCTCAAGCCAATTTTGCTGCCAGTGCAGACTGGTAGGGTTTTCGTCCTGGCGCATTGGATGCAAATGTACTTTGCGCAAAGCTTTAACGATTATATCTCGCACCGAAGGTGCAGGATAAACTTAGCCCAGCTCAAAGGCGGCGGTGGTCCACCACTGCACGGCATCGGCACAAGGGCCTAAAAGTCACGCAAGCCTGCAGCAAGTGCGACAGAACACAGAAAGATGCGCCGTCCATGTATGGCAGGGGTGGGGGGGAGATTTGAACGCAAGTTTCCTGGTGGCCTGGTGGGAATTGGCCTGGCAGGCCGAGATTCTTCGTCCGACTCGGACTACAGTAGGCCATGCAAACGAACAGCCAGTATACTGTAACTCTATAGCATTGTGTTAACGGTTTGTGGCAGGTCCAGATCTCGTTCAAAGAGTCGCAGACAAAAGAAAGAGCACCCTGCCAGCAACAGGTACACAGGTCGTCAGATGCCATGTCTATATCTTTCAGCTTGCATGCCCGCATCATATTTCGCCGCAAGTGACGATATTGCGAGGAAGGACCGACATCGTTCCTTTGACGCAAAGAGAGGAAACCGCTTGTGAGTTCAACTCCGCTTCAGCTTCTCCAGATACAAATAGCGCTGCGAGCGAGACTCTGGGTTCACCCGAGAAGGTGTGAGCGGCGAGCAGGCATCGCAGTGTCCTCAGTAGAGCTGCCCTATGCTTGCTCTCACAAATCATGCAGTGCCTTGTCGGTTTGTCACGTCTGGACTAAGGCGGAGTAGAGATGCTGCTGAGGCCGCACGCTGCTAGTGCTGTCTGGCACAAGCTGCAGAAGCAAGAAACCCAGTCTCTCGTAACTGCAGGCGAGAGTCAAAACATTGGCCTTGCGGCACGTGCCTGAGACACGCATCATAGCAACAACACTGGGAGCAGCGCGGAAAGCCTTGTATTAATCGCGCAGATTTCTTCACACGCAGGCCTCCGGTGGTAAAACCTGCCATGGCTCCAGCAAAGTCGGCAGCAGCGCCGGCCCCGGACTTGAGTGGTTCGCATCTACCAGCCTTTGGACGTGTGGCCAGGACGTGGCCAGAGAAAAAACAGAGTTCGAGGAATTTTGCAAGGCAAGGATGGCTCCTCAAAAGGATGTCCTTGGTTTCAGCTCCTGAGTCCGTCCAGACCCGCAAAACATCGCATCCGCCCGTTTGGTTCAAGCAGCACCAGGCTTTGTTTCCTTCAGACGGGTGCGACACCGGAACAGCATGAGCTCAACTAGAGTAGTTGGAGAGTTTCTGCAGACGGTTTCGCCACGGTGTGTCCACATTTGGTCGGGATCAGCTTTAGAACAAACCGGCGCCTGCGCTCCAATGCGGCCGATTCCAGAACAGCCCCTTTCCGACTGTCACCAGCTCGTGTTGGAGATATTTCAGGGCGTGCTGCCAGAGGGGGATACTGTGGTGGGTCGCCCGATTGCACCGGAGAGAATCCCTTCCTCGGATTTGCCATTGAGGAAAGGATAATGTCCCGCAGGCATCTACGAAAAAGTGTTTGGATCTGCTAATTACTCACCAAGAGCGTGAGAATCAACACGAAGATGCACAAACCCCGACATTAAATGGACTTGCACTGGTCCAGTTCGAGACCAGGCAGGCTGCCTGCGTGAA